TCTAACACTCCTGGAAGGTGGAAGTTTGTTCTTTATTGAGAGCTCAAGACAAAGGGCAGAAATGTTTTCATGATCAATGTGAAAGTGTTATTTAAAACAGGGGCAAGCTACAGCCCTCCAGGCCAAATCTGGCCTGCTGCCTGCTTCTAAGATAAAAGTCTTACTAGAACACAGCCATGCCCTTTTGTGTCTGTGTTGCGTCCAGCTGCCTGAGCATTACATCAGAGCTGAGTCGTGATAGAGGCCGTATAGCCTGCAAAGCCTAACGAGTGTCTCTCTGGCCTTTTCAGAATACAAGTCTCCACCCCTGATTTAGAACAGCTTTGGGCTCTGGGTATCTGCCTACATCTGGGCAGAGGACCATCTGCTCACAGTGAACAATTTGAGGTCAGATGTAAACACACTGTTCAGAGCCAGTGCTCAGCCCAGCCTGCAGCGTATTGGGATATAGATCCCACGGCTGAAGGCCACGCAGAACAAGCTCGTGGGAACTGCTACTCCCTCGCCAGTGCACTGGAAAGATTCCTGGGTACTGCTTCAGATTTGGGGCTTCCCACTGCAACCTCCTCCTCCCAGGTTCAAGCAATTCTCCTGCCTCAGCCTCCTAAGTAGCTGGGATTACAGGTGCATGCCACCATGCCCAGCAAATTCTTTGTATATTTAGTAAAGACAGGGGGTTTCGCCATGTTGGCCAGGCTGGTCTTGAACTCCTGGGCTTAAGCAATACTCTTGCCTCAGCCTCCCAAAGTGTTAGGATTACGGGCATGAGCCACTGCATTCAACCCTAATACATTTTTTTTTGAGACAGAGTCTCACTCTGTCGCCCAGGCTAGAGTGCAGTGGTGTGATGTCAGCTCACTGAAACCTCCACCTCCTGGGTGCAAGCAATTCTCCCACTTCAGCCTCCCAAGTAGATGGGGTTACAGGTGCATGCCACCACACCCGGCTAATTTTTTTTGGGGGGGACAGAGTCTTGCTATGTTGCCAAGACAGGAGTGCAATGGTGCAATCTTGACTCACTGCAACCTCTGCCTCCCAGGTTCAAATCATTCTCCCTGCCTCCGTCTCCTGAGTAGCTGGGATTACAGGTGCACACCACCATGCCCAGCTAATTTTTTTATTTTTAGTAGAGACAGGGTTTCACCATGTAGGCCAGACTAGTCTCAAACTCCTGACCTCAGGTGATCTGCCTGCCTTGGCCTCCCAAAGCACTGGGATTACAAGTGTGAGCCACCATGCCCGGCCAATTTTTTGTATTTTTAGTACAGACAGGATTTTGCCATGTTGGCCAGGCTGGTCTAGAATTCCTGGCTTCAAGCAATCCTCCTGCCTTGGCTTCCCAAAGTGCTAGGATTACAGGCGTGAGCCACCATGTCCAGCCTGGCCCTAATACATTTTTAACTGAGAGACAGATGGAGAGAGAGAAAGTGTATGTGCATATTTTTTTTTTTAAAAAAGGATACAAGTTCTGATGCTGGGATACATGAAACATACACCACCCCCCTGTCACCCCCAGTGAAGGTAGCTGTAATACATGCATGAAACACATGGGGCAGCTCTGAGGACTCAGAAAGTTATCCAGTAGCAGGCAAGTTGGGGGAAAAGACTAGAATTCTAAATACCACCAAGCCAGCATCTCTTAAGGCAACTTGGAGCCTGAAATTGGACACCAGATGGGAGAATAGGGAGGTAGGAGGGAATGGGAAAAGGTCGGCTAACACTTGCAGGGGGAGAGTTCTGGAGAGTTTTTCTTTTCTCTGTTTTCTCACACTCGCCTCCAGGCAGTCCTGCTGTGGCTGTGGTGAACAGCTGTGTCAAAGGGGCCGCAGGTGCCTGAAACACTGAAAAGGGGGACCCTTACCTAGTCCCAAGAGAACAGGCAAAAGCCCTGCCAATCCTTCCTCTCTCTGTCCTCTCACCACTTGACCCTGGTCATGGGTCCAGTCGCAGGAAGTGAGGGGCAGAGCAGGATAAATAAAAGATCGAAAGACCAAAAAGAGGAGCACCAGGTGGTTGCTGGGAGATGCCAGATGGGGGAATTCAGGGAAGCAAATAAACAAAGGCTCATCCCTAATTTTGCACACGTGGGCCTGACCCTAAACAGCATTCCAGAGACACCGAGACGTGAACTGTAGCCTAGCTCACCGCCAAGTCCCCAGGTGCCCCTGGGTGATGCACACGCAGCACAGAGCTGCACGGTCACTGCATGGTGATGCAGAGGCATGAACACAAGACTGACACCAAAACCACACCCTGAGAAGCCTGGTTGGAACGTGCAAACTGAATCCAACGGAATCAATCATCTGCTAAGACAAAAATAATGACGTTTACAAGACGCAGAGCCTCATAACAATATTTAAAATGTTCAGGATACAAAATTACTTAGCGCAGGGAGAACCAGGAACCTCTCTACTCACATGAGAGCAGATACAGATGTCGCCACCGCGTAACTCAGACGCTGGAATTAGGGGATGAAGACTCGAAAGCGGCTATTACAAGAAAGTTCCAACTGGTGAACACATGGAAAGATGAAGTCTCAGCAAAGACACAGAAGGCAGAAAGAACTGATGCAATCAAAAACACACAGGACCAGCTCGATAGTGGAATGAAAACACAAGGGAAGACTCAGTCAATCCGAAGATAGTTCAATATAAATTATCACAGCTCATTGACAGAGAGAAAAAAAGAAAGGGGCTAGCTGTGGTGGCTCTTGCCTATCTATAATCCCAGCACTCTGGGACGCCAAGGTGGGCAGATCACTTGAGGTCAGGAATTCCAGAGCAGCCTGGCCAATATGGTGAAACCTCGTCTCTATTAAGAATATAAAAATTAACTAGGCACGGTGGGTGTGTATGCCTGTAACGCCAGCTAATGGGGAGGTTGAGGCATGAGAATCTTTTGAACTTGGAGTGAGTTGAGATCACGCCACTGCACTCCAGCCTGGGTGACAGAGTGAGACTGCATCTCAAAAAAGAGAGGGCAAGGTGCGGTGGCTCATGCCTATAATCCCAGTACTCTGGGAGGCCAAGGTGGGCAGATCACCAGGTCAGGAGTTCAAGGCCAGCCTGGCCAGCATGGTGAAACCTCGTCTCTACTAAAAATACAAAAATTAGTTGGGCATGGTGGCGTGCGCCTGTAGTTCTACCCATTCGAGAGGCGGAGGCAGGAGAACTGCTTGAACCCAGGAGGAGGAGGTTGCAGTGAGCCGAGATTGCACCACTGCACTCCGGTGTAGCGACAGAGCAAGACTCCATCTCAAAAAAAAAAAGAAAAAAGAAAAAAAATGATAAGGAAAAAAAAGATTGAAAAGATTGGCACCTCAGGGACCCGTGGGACAACAGCAAAAGGGCTAATGCTTATATCACTGGAGTTGTAGGAGAGGAGAAATAGTACGATGCAGGAAGTTACATGAAGAAATAAAGGTAAAAACTTCTCAAGTTTGGAGGGAAACACAAACCTATAAATTCAGGAGCTCAGCAAACACCAAGAATAAGCCCAAAGAAATTCATGCCAGACATATCATCATTATACCAGTGAAAATTAAAAACAAAGAAAAAAGCTTGGAAGTAGTCAGAAAAAAAGATGATGCATTATTTAGAAAAGGATTTGAATGACTGTGGATTTTTTCATCAGAAACAGTGGTCAAAAGTAAGTGGAGGCTGGGTGTGGTGGCTCACGCCTGTAATCTCAGCACACTGGGAGGCCAAAGTGGGAGGACTGCTTGAGATCAGGAGTTGGAGACCAGCCTGAGCAATAGACGGAAACCCAGTCTCTACAAAAAATTAGCTGGGCGTGGTGGCACATACCTGTGGTTCCAGCTACTGGGGAGACTGAGGCAAGATGAGCCTGTGAGCCTAGGTCAATATTGCAGTGAGTAGTGATCGAATCACTGCACTCCAGCCTGGGCACCAGAGCGAGACTCTGCCTCAAAAAAAAAAAAAAAGGAAGTGGAGTGCTAGCTTCAGCAAGCACATATACTAAAATTAGAAAAATACAGAGCATATTGGCATGGCCCTTAAAAATTACAAAAAAAGAAAAAACAGTAAGTGACACATTTGTCAAGTGCTCAAAGAAAAAACTGTTAACATAGAACTCTAATTCAGAATAAATATAGTAGCCTAGGAGTTTGATACCAGCCTGGGCAACAGAAACTCTATCTCTACAAAAAGTATAAAAATTAACTGGGTGTGGTGGTGATGTGTGCCTGTAGTCCCAGTGACTCAGAAGGTTGAGTCAAGAGGATCACTTGAGCCTGGGAGGTTGAGGCTACAACCTCCCACAGTGAGCTGTGATCATGCTGCTGCACTCCAACCTGGGTGACAGAGCGAGACCTGTCTCAAACATACATTCATTCATTCATTCATTCATTCATTCATACATACATACATAAAATAAAATAAAAAAGGAGAGTAATGACACTACCCAACAGGGCTCCTGTGGGGACACACGAGTCGGTGTGTGGTGCCCATCAGTGCTCAGTAGACGGGTGCTATGCTGCTAACCTCCTAAGCCCTCCCCTGCCCTCTCCAGCCTCCTCGTGCCCCAGGAGGCTGACCTCAGTGGACTGCAGACCTGGACTCCTGCACTTTGGCTTCCCTGGGTCTGGCAGGAGATCAAAGGATGGGAGGTGAGAGAGTCTGGGGCACCCCTAATTCTGCCTCCTGCCGCTGCCAGTCCCTAGTGCCTCACTATCACTTGTTGGTTGCCTTAACCCTCCCATGCTTCTGCGATGGTCCTGTCATTAAATGCTTTCCTGTGACCCCTCTGGGTAAGCCAGCTCTTTCCTGTGGGAACTCTGACTGATACACTGAATTCCACCCTGTTCCTTTTCCTTTGACAAAAGGGAAATCTATGTCTGCAGACTGGCCTTCACGGAGCTCCTGTCTGCCAGCCTTACCTTCTCCTATGCCTCTGGTCATCTCTGGTCTTGGAGAGGAACACATGCCCTTCACCCTCCCCTTTATTTTGGCACCGAAAACCCCAGCGCACTGGAGTCTTACCCACTTGACGCAATCCTCTTTAGCCAGGCGTTCCTGAACCAGTTGGATGAGCAGTGCGCTGGGAACTACCTGAAGGAAAAAGGACACACAGAATGATGGCCAGGGCATCCTGCAGCTTAGGACACAGACTGGCACATAACCCTGACCCGCACCCTGGCCTCTGCAAAGCTCCGACCACCCTTGGGGCCCTTCATCCGCCTGCCGCACTCGCTTCCTTGAACTCTCTTCTCCCCCCAGCATCTTTGAGGGCCTCCCTCACACGTGTACTCACCTTATCCTGTGCCCAGGCCCCACCATGCCCTCACCCACCTCCACCTGAATAACTCCAGGCTTCCCTCAGAGCCTCAGCCCCAAGTGCCAGCCCACAGGAAGCCCTGCCGGATCCTCCTAGGCCAGGCTGGTACTACTTCCCACACTCCAATGTCCTGGATGGAGAACTCTGTCACTGCACTAACCCACACACATTCTAACGGCCTGCCCATGTGTCTATGTCCCCAGTAAGTTGTGAAGTTCTTCAAGGAAAGGGGCAGTGTCTTACTGACTTTGGATCCCAGACAGTGGTAGATGGGAGGGGACTTGCTCCAAGACTCAGCAGAGGTGAATGTGTCCATCTCTTCCCAAGTACACGGTCAGTGACCTCATGTTGGTAACAAAATTGGCCGCGGTAGGAATGTTTACACCACGGAAATGTCAAAGGCTACAAATAAGGCCCCTGCCCCCACCGCCAGTGCTGGTTGTTAAACACTGACCAGCATACCACTGCCCCAGCACCAAATGGTGTCAAGGATAGAGGAAGCCCTGCTAACTGATGAACTAATGAAACCTCAAACCTCCTTAATTCATTCCAGTCATGACGTTTGTTGAGCACATGCTATGTGCCAGGCACTGGGCCAAGCATTCCATTCGTAACAACTCTGTGCCATCTATGCCACTGTTAGCCTTTTTCATAGAGGAAGAAGCTGAGCCTCAGAGAGGTGAAGCCACTTCTCCAGGGTGCTCCACACACTCCCTTCTCTGCAGAGGACTGGGGAGGGAGCAGCTCTTCTGGAGGGAGTCGCTGACGCCTGGCCTGTGCTCTTCCTGGTATATACGCCAGGGGCCAAAAATCTCCCCTACGCCCACCTACATCTCTGAAAAAGGACATGGGAAGTAGAAATACATTCCAATCAGGAAGGTTCCTTGTTGGGAGCAGGGGCTTCCTGGTGCAGCCTTTCTTATGCAGAGCAGACTCAGCCTTGGCATCAGGGCTCATCCCCCCACCTCTGCCCAGGGCAGGCTCTCTGCTCCTGGCGGCTGTGATCCAGCCAGCTGGGCAACCCCGGGCAATGCCTTGACCTCCTTAGACCTCACACACTTCACCAGTGGAAATCAGTAATGAGACTGCAGGTGTGGCTTTTACTTTTCCATACACTCCACTCCCAGTAACACGGGCTCCCAAAGTTCCTTTGAGGAGTCGCCCTCTTGCCCTTCTGCCTGTATGGTCTGGGTGTGTTCAACTCCATCCTCAGATCCACAAGAGGGCCCTGACTGGTCCAAGCCAATTCGCATATCCCACTCCTGCCCACTGTGATTGATTCAGAGGCTACCTGGGACCCAGTCCCAGCCAATGAAAGTCAGGCCCAGGACATCAGTGCAGTCATTAGCGGCATGAATCCCTGCTTTCCACCAGATCAGAAGCTGAGAAAATGTAACAGTGGGAGCTGCAGCAGCCACTTCGTGGGCATCAGGGGTGTGTAACCGAATGAAACCAGTACAAAGTGAAAGAGAGAAACAGGATTCAGCAGCAGAACGACTTTTCCAGGGATGTAGAATTGGAAGAAAAAGAGCAGACAGCAAGAGAATGAGGGAGGGGGAACCTCTGCTGGGGAACTGGATGAATGTGTTTGTTTAAAAGTTATGGGGCCACCATGTTTCTACAAGGTAGACAGCCAAATCAAAACTGAAAGCAAGAGAGACAGAGAGAATGAATGAATGAATGGTGTACAGTTCCTCTTTAAAGTTTCCTTTCTTGTTAAAGAATGAATCATAAGTGTGCTATTAAACTCTTTGTTAAGCCCTATCCTATGTAGCTGTTAGACATGCTGTGCTTACAGACACATAGTACGTTCTATGTCCTTGTGCTTTAACCAATATATCTGTGCTGGATGTGCTCACAGGCATGTCCCAGCTCTCCATTGCTTTTACCTGTTTAGAAAAGTTTTAAGTTTTAGCCAACTGGGTTTTAATTTAAATTGTGAGGTCTGGCTCCAGCCAACAGAGATCAGACACAGCAGTAAGGACGACCCCATATGTATAAGGGATAAATATGTCTGTTTTCCTTTGTTCATTGTACTCTCGTGACAAGATGGCTATCGAGGGTATCTTCCTGCAGTCCAGGAAGTAAAAGTTGAATTGCTGAAAGATCGTTTGTCTCCGTGCTAATTTTTCTTTGTGGTGTCAAACATCTGTTTCCTACAACAGATAAAAAAGAAGACCAGAGGGGCAAGAAGGAGGCTAGCTGGCATCCAGTCCCTGGCTCCAGCATCTGCTGAGATAGCCCTGTGTCTTTATCATATCACCCTACCCCCCTCCTTTCTTCCCTAAGCCAGTGGTTCTCAACTTGATTGTGGAACAGAATGCTGGCAGAGCTTCTTCTTCTTTTTTTTGAGACGGAGTTTCACTCTTGTTACCCTGGCTGGAGTACAATGGCGCGATCTTGGCTCACCGCAACCCCCGCCTCCTGGGTTCAGGCAATTCTCCTGCCTCAGCCTCCTGAGTAGCTGCGATTACAGGCATGCGCCACCGTGCCCAGCTAATTTTTTGTATTTTTAGTAGAGATGGGGTTTCACCATGTTGACCAAGATGGTCTCCATATCTTGACCTAGTGATCCACCCGCCTCGGCCTCCCAAAGTGCTGGGATTACAGGTTTGAGCCACCACGCCCGGCCGCTTTTTAAAACACAAATTGCTGGGCCCCACCCCAGTTGCTCTGATTCAGTAGCTCTGGGATAGAGCTGAGAATGTGCATTTTTAGCAAGTTTTCAAGTGATGCAGATGCTGCTGGTCAGGGCATCACACCTGGATAACCACTGGCATAAGCCCACCCACATAGGGCCCCTGAGGTCTGGGGGAAGCTGCTAGAGAGCAAGGGTGTCTTTCTGCCAGTGCCCATTTCCCCCAGGTCTCCAGGGGGGGCTTCCCCAGGCTGGTGAGGGAGGGGGTAGGCAAGAAGCAGCCCTGTCCCTCCCCTCTGCATTGCCCCACCATCTCTTCCTCTCCCCTCCCAACCCCTTTCATCCTTTCCCAGCCCCTCAAGTCCTCTCCAGAACCCAGGCACAACCAGTTTCCATCCTAGGGCTGTTTTCCCAAGATTCCTCTGCCTTCTCTGCCAACGCCCATTCAGGAGGCAGCGTTCAAACAGGTACAGGATGCAGGGGAGGGTGCCAGCCAAAGAACTACGGCTGAAAGGCGGCCGGCCCCGGTGGGGCACAGCGCCCCCTGCAACCTGCGCGGCAGGGGACAGGCCGGCAGCTTTGAGCGAAGCTACTCCTGAGCGCCCCCCGCCGCTCCCCGCCACAGGGCTGTCTCCACACCAGCTTTGATGTGTCACATCAGCAGCAGGGCTTTCAGGGGCTGCTTGTTGAAGCCCTGACAAACTGTCTTAGCAGGAATTAGCCTCTCTCCTCGCAGAGCACTGTGATGCTCTCCTGTCCCAGCCCTCAAAGCCTGATATTTGGGGAGAATTAGGGAGAAGCTGACAGAGTGCAGTGAGGCTGCTCCTGGCCACAGAGAAGGCCCAGCCCTGGCTCAGGCCCCTGGCCCCAGGTCTACCGGCCCGGCGGCACCACAGCACCCAGCTGCTCCTGTGCTGCTTCCATGCACTTAAGGGCAAGATAGGCTGCGTTTGCTGCAATTTGGATCCTTCTGTCTTCCCCTTCCAGCACTCAGTGCTGGCCTGGGTGGCTTCCTGGGCCTGGGGGCAGACTTGCTGGTCTGCTAACCCTACAAGGTGCTGCCCCTCCCTTGACGGATACTCTGTTTTGCTGCTCCGAGGCAGCTAAGTGGCAGGTGCCAACCCTGGCTCTGCCCCTGGGGCGTCACTTGACTTCTCCCCAGTGGGCTTCCTCACACTGGGATGACATGAGCCTGCCTCTTCCTATACCATCTCCAGGTCCCACTCTCAGGGACTCTAATGTCTCACCTTAGTGAGTGATGCCTGCTCAGAAGTTGTGGGTGTTTTGAGCTACAGTGTGAACTGGGGAAGCAGAGCAGTGAGTGGAACAGTTGGGATGCCCTGATCTCACCCCTGTACCTCCCTTCTCCAAAAAGGAGCTCTCCTGGTAGAGGAGGAAAACCCAGTAGTTGGACTTGAGCTCCCCTCAGAACTGACAGAGTATCCTTTAGAGACAACTCCCATTCCAAAGTTACCACTGCTGCTTGGAGCTGACAAAGCAGGTTAGGAGACAGCAGGAACTGCCTCTTGGAGTCTGGGACGGGGAGACAAGAGGAGGGCAGGGGAGGAGAAGAGGCTTCAAAGGAAGACAGCGGACCTCACAGTGCGGCACCAGATAGGCACATGGAAGGAGGCAGCAAGAGCAATCCTGGACTGGACAGAGCTCAGGGAATCTTCCAAGGAGTGATGGTGCCTGGTGCTCAGGGATCCCACCTCTGCTACCCCAAGCCTTAGGAAAAGGCCCATTCCATGCCACCACCTGGAGCAGTTGACTCAGGGAGACAGAGACTGAGGGTGTTCCCACTTTGTCTCAGCTCAGCCTCCAGAAATGGGAGCAGCAAGGCCAGATGGAGATGGAGTCACCAGAAGTGAGGGAGAGCCAGCAGGACTCGTAAGCAGCATCTGTGGGCTATTTCCCAGAAACCTCAGAACTAATTGGAGGGGACTGTGTTTCTTGTGTGCAGACAGAGGTAGATGAGGGCTCAAGTTCTTTTTTTCTTTGAGACAGGATCTTACTGTCATCCACGCTGGAGGGTAGTGGCTCCATCATGGCTCACTGCAGCCTCCATCTCCCAGCTCAACGTCCTGGGTAGCTGGGACTATAGGCACCCACCACCATGCCCAGCTAAAAATTTTTATGTGTTTTTTTGTAGAGAGAGAGAGAAAAAGAAAGATGGCAATCCTCCCACCTCAGGACTGAGCAGGGGAGCACATTTGGCTTTCTCTGGTTAGTCCTAGGTTGGAAGCAGGGACAAAAACTAGAGACACCGCCAGTTATTAATCAGGCCCTGGCCATTTGGGATAGACTGCTACAGGGGTTACTTAGTTCAGCTTCCTGCACTATTGGAAGAGACAGCAGCCGGACTTCCTACAAGCCTGACACAGCAGGTGGCCTCCCAGGCTGCCTCTCATAGATGACAGGCTGGACTCCTGGGCGGGCTGAGTCCTAAGTTTATATGAGGTCCGGCCATTGTCCACACTGAATATTCAGTCTCAGTAGATATGGACTAAAACATCTCTGGGGAAGGTCAAATGCTGTCTGGGTTTGCTTTCAAATAACTTAGGGACGGGGAATTAGGTGAGGGTGCCACACAGGCCCAGACTACCATGAGCTGACATCTGTCAAAGCAGGGGTGGATCCATGGGGGTTCTCAGATTATCCTCACAGCTTCTGGATATTCTTATGAGATTTCATAACAGACAGTTAAAGACAAACAAAACTCCCTGGCCACTGTGAGTCTCAGCATCCTGGGGCACAGTCCCTGTGCACTTTGTGATACTGCCCGATTCCAGGCCCTTCCATGCCTTGGAACGTCACAATGTGCCCTTTGGGAAGCCTTTGCTTAGTGTAACTGTGGGTTATGTGGGCCTCCAGGGGGCCCCTAAATCTTGCAGCCTGTACCGTCTTCCCAACCCAGAGCCAGTGCCTAGAACTTAGTAGGTGCTCAGGACTCACGTAAATGAATGAGGAAATGAATTGAGTCAAACAAGCCACTGATTACTTGCTTTAATGAAGGTTTCCTTGCTCCACTCACCTTGTGCTGAGTTTTATGGGACCATCAGTTTCCTACCTGGCTGGAAGCTTCTGGGGTAAGGAGAAGAAACTCATCTTCCACTCTCCCACAGCATTGCAGAAAAGTGCATGGCAAAAAGGCAGTTAGGAAGGATTTTGGAAACCATTTGGAAATGGCTAAGATGGAGATGTCTTGGATAACAGTGGCAACGTAAGAGAATTCTGCTTAGGAGGGCAAAAAGCCAAGACTCGCCAGAGAAAAGTATTTGAAGGTATCATGACTGCTTACAAAAAGAGCCGTAAGGATCCAAATCAGCAGACAATTTAAACAGGACATTTAATGAGAGGCGCTGCCTGGCAGGCGCTGTCTACAGACGAGACCACACACGGCCACACGGCCGAGCCTGCCACGCACCCACTTGCTCTTCACAACATTTTACTCCTTGACGAGGCCTGACATCCAGGCCTTTCATCTTCCCTCCACCAGAGTTTCTGAGCCAAGGACCCCAACAAGACACCCTTGAAAGCACTTCAGTGTGCTCTGAAATATGTTGATAATTAGCAAAATGAAACCCAGAAAGAATTTCCTTAAACTCCTTCCTCTCTGTTGAATTTTATAAACCTAATACAAACATTTTTGTCCTAGAAATAAGCCTTCCCCCAAAAAGCTTAACTTCTTTAGAAAATGAGATAACCACTTTCTTTCTAAAACCGTATTCCCAGCCTGAAAGGCTGGTGTCCCTGCAGGCTAAAGCCACATACTCCAACTCCTATAAGACACAGGGCAGCTGGGGACTGACTTGCCCTGGGGGAAGCCACCTTGCTGAGCCAGGCTTTCCTTCTCTATCGAGCTGTTGTCACACGCAGACTTGGGGCTGGGGGGGTCTGTCAAAGTCATACCCCACCCCTCTTTTTTTTGTTAAGATGGTCTTGTTTTGTCACCCAAGCTGGAGTACAGCGGCCTGATCTTGGCTCACCACAACCTCAGCCTCCCGGGTTTGAGCAATTCTCCTACCTCAGCCTCCTAGGTAGCTGGGAATATAGGCACCTGCCACCATGCCCAGCCACTTTTTTTGTATTTTTGTAGAGATGGGGTTTCACCATGTTGGCTAGGCTGGTCCTGAACTCCTGACCTCAAGTGACCTGTCCGCCTCAGCCTCCCAAAGTGCTGGGATCATAGGGGTGAACCTCCATGCCGAGCCCATACTTCTCATCTCTGAGAACTGCCATCCCCTGCAACCAGGAGTCTTCATGGTCTTGTTTGAGCTCTGTGGCCTCACTGAGTCCTCCCTGCACACCTTCAACAGAGCTGACTGTGCCTGGAATACCCGACCAGCTAGCCTGGGCAGATCCCCCTTCCCGAGGATTTGGCTTTGAAGCTGCCTTTGTGGGTGGTCTCAACTGAGGACGCAGGAGACAGAAATGGAGTGGTGCTCCCCAGTGGCTGCAGTATAAGAGAGACAGAAGAGAGGAGGAAGAGGAAACCACAGAGGATGCAGGTAAGAGACAAAGTGCCCTGGGGAGTTAGAGAGGCCAAGGCCCTGGATTCCTGACTGCTGAGCCATGGAGCTGGCCCTCGCTTCCTCCATCCAGGGCACAGGAGTCCCATGGCCCCCTCCCAATCCTCTTTCTGCCCCAGGCGGCCCAGGTGGATTCCTGCTACCTCAAGCCAAGGGCTGGCTATGAGAACTGCCCCGCCAGTCGCCATTCCCTGGTGGTCAATGGGACCTGGAGACTCACCTCCAAGTTCTTGGAGAACAGTGGCCACATGACCATATGGTGAAGACCTTGCCCAGAAGCCAGGTGTGGTGGCTCACATCTATAATCCCAGCACTTTGGGAGACCTAGGTGGGAGGATCCCTTGAGCCCAAGAGTCGAGGCTATCCTGGGCAACTTGCCTCCACCCGTTTGCCCCATATCTACAAAATAATCAAAAAATTAGCCAGGCATAGCGGTGTGCACCTGTAATCCCAGCTACTTGAGGAGGCTGAGGTGGGAGGAGCAACTGAACCCAGGATGAGATTGCAGTAAGCTGTGACTACACCACTGTACTTCAGCCTGGGTGACAGAGTAAGACCGTGTCTCAAAAAAAAAAAAAAAAAAAAAAAAGAAAGAAAGGAAGAAAGAAGGAAAGAAAGAAAGAAAGAAAAAAAAGGCCTTTCCCATTGAATGAAGATGAAGACGGAATCCAATCATTTCTCAGCTATAGCCCCCCCTGCAGAGAACAGTGGGAGATCCCAAGTTCTTACCCAACTAGTGATCGGGTACAGGGCAGACCTGGATTAAACATTATACAAAAGAAGCGCCTGCTTAGGGCACAGGGAAGGGGAGCCCAAGTCCCACCTGCACTCACGTGGACCCTGCCCTAACTCCTTTGCTGCCATACTCCACTTCTGGCCATTTTTTGGTCATTGTCTTTAACTGCCATGCTCAAGTTTAATCTGCAAGGTTGGGGAAAAAGTTTTCTTCGGCATGGTGAGGGACTGAAGTTTAAAAGTTTGGCTTGAAGGTGCCATCACGTGTGTTTCTGTCTCACGGGGTGAAAGGGGGCCTGACGGTGGCCTTGCTTAGCACATTTGTTGGCCTGAATCAACAGGCCTTGGGATCACAAGGTCAGCAGGGAGGCCTGGAAAGCCTGCAGCACGCACTGAATGCTCAACACAGAAGCGTTGGCCTCACTGTTCACAGTCATCCTGGCTCACAAACGAGAGAGAGCCCAGGTTCCAGGGAAGGAAGCCCCAAAGGGCAGATCCAAGCATCTGCTCCAAAGGAAACTATTCTTTCAATTTTTAATTTATTTAGAAACAGGGTCTCACTATGTTGCCCAGGCTGGCATCAAACTCCTGAGCTCAAGTGATCCTCCCGCTTCTGTCTCCCAGTAGTGGGGACTACAGGCATGCGCCACCATGCCCAGCCAGAGAGAATTTTGAAGAAATATTGTGAGTTTCTATTTGAGAAGATGTTTTTCAAATATAAAGCTGGTGGTCTTTTAGAAACGGAACACCCACACCTCCTGCGATGCTCCCCCACATGCGCGAGAGGGACAGAGTGAATGGGCACTGCCCAGACCAGAGGGTGGGCCCTGTGCAGCAGGGTGCCCAGGGTGACAGGAGGGAAATGCCTCTAAGGTACAGAACATGGGGCTTTACAGTCTGGGGACAGCTGGACGGCTGCCCTTTCACCTGCTGGTGCAGCCTAGCCAGGCATCTCCTGGCATGGGCCACCAGGCTCAGCACTCACCTCCACTCCTTTACTCAGCTGACCGTAAGAAGAAAAGGAGCAAGCCTACCATTCCACCAGAGGCTTGAACAAAACTGCCTCCTTCACTCGACTTGTGATCCTTTCCCATCACAAAAGCTCACCTCAGTACCCAACAGGACGTGGGCCCAGTAAAGAATTATCTTCCCAGCACTTTGGGAGTCCAAGGCGGGTGGATCGCGAGCTCAAGAGATGGAGACCATTCTGGTCAACAAGGTGAAACCCCGTCTCTACTAAAAATACAAAAATTAGCTGGGCATGGTGGTGTGCGCCTGTAGTCCCAGCTACTCAGGAGGCTGAGGCAGGCGAATTGCTTGAACCGAGAAGGCGGAGGTTGTGGTGAGCCAAGATCGTGCCATTGCACTCCAGTCTGGGTAACAACAGCGAAACTCCGTCTCAAAAAAAAAAAAAAGAATTATCTTCCTCCTTCCTTCACATCCTGCCTGTATCTCATTTTTACCCCAGCATTTTCTTTTACTTAATCAAAAATGAAATGGGAACAAGGCAAGCAATGGCTGTGTGGCAGTGGGGGTGACAGTGGGCACTGCCTCTGTGTGCCTACCCCTGTCCTGAGGCCAGTCCTACCTTCCTTTGCAGATAAAGCCTCCTGGCTTCGGTGGCTGTACAGGAAAACTCATTTAAGACCAGGCTCTCCAGAGAGAGGAGATTGCTGTTCAGATGTTTGCAGAGCCACATTGCCTGAGGAAAGGAAAGAAGAAAAGAGCATTTTAGTAAAAACAATAAATACACAAATGACTCCATTAAAATGCCAGCCAGGTCCTTCCCTCTTGTACGGGAAAAGCTTGGCCATGGAGAAGCATAATTATTTCCAGCTGGAGGAAGGTCACCAAGGAAGGCCTAAGAGCCCTGCTCAGAGCATCTCTTCTCCCAGCACAAACTTAAATGAAGTGGGAAGACCTACAAGCGGGCTACATTTTAGCTGCCCTTGGCATGCTTTCCAAGCTCTATGGACCATGGGTTTCATCTGAAGGAAGATTTAGAGCAGGAACTTGGAGGACAGAACCTAAGGATGGGTAACAACCCACACTCAGTGTTCCTTTATTTTTTTCCTTAAAGATTGGGAGATGGCATGTGCTATCAATGGGATGTTTAGTTCATTGATAATTAACTCTATAGTCTATAAGGAGAGAGTAATTTTTTTTTTTTTTCCTTTGAGCCAGAGTTTCCCTCTTGTTGCCCAGGCTGGAGTGCAGTGGTGCCATCTCTGCTCACTACAACCTCCACTTCCCGGGTTAAAGCGATTCTCTTGCCTCAGCCTCCCAAGTAGCTGGGACAACAGGCACACACCACCATGCCCAGCTAATTTTTTGTATTTTTAGTACAGACAAGGTTTCACTGTGTTAGCCAGGATGGTCTCAATTTCCCGATCTGGTGATCTGCCTGCCTTAGCCTCCCAAAGTGCTGGGATTACAGGCATGAGCCACAGCGCCCGGCCCGGGAAGAATAAATTTTAAGGAAGAATAATGCATTGAAACATTCTTGACACCAAAATTGTGCTGATGACCATTTCATCATTGAGATGGTTCTGAAGGACCTTCCAGGGCCCGGGGCTGTGGTGAACCTTCATTCTTCCTGTTCCTGCTGCTGGGAAGCCTCGATGACAGCATTGGGAAGGAGGGCTCCTTTTTGACTGTACATCATCTTATCAGATCTATGTGTCTCCGAAGGCACTCAGGAGTGGCGACAGCAATTCACCAAAAGGCTTGTTGCTGAAACACCAGCTGCCAGGGCCTGACCTCGACAGGGAGGACAAACTCCATTGCTTCAGCCATGCTGGACTTGCTGAAAGCAGGTCTCTGTGCTCTGAATCTGCTCGGCCCAGCAGACTCCTACCAGTGACCAGAGAAGAGCTAGGACAGGGAACGAAGCACAGATGGCCCCAGAATTCAGATGTCAATGACAAAACAAGAGCCTCCACTGAGCAACTAGACTCTTCCAGAAAAGCAAGTTCAACGAGCTTCTCTGTCTAAATGGAGAATCTGTCATCCTCACTCCCACTGTCAGAATTACCTGGGGAGTGTGTTCTAACTACTAGTTTTTATGGGCTTTGCTCCAGGAGATTCTGATGATGTGGTCTGTAGGGCACTTCAGAAACCTGCATTTTTCATAGCACCCTGGAAATGCTAATGATCAGCAGGTCTGGGAGTCCCTGGCTTCGAATTGTGAAGCAGCAAAATGGTTGGATGCAGGTGGGTTGACTGCAAGAAGGCATGGAACCCTAAAGCCTGATACTGAGAAATCAAATAGAAAAACTGTAGCCCAACATAAGGATGAGCAATGGACAGATGGACAGGTGAGCAAAACAGCTATGCTAACTCCAAAAGCATAGCAGATGCAGGTTAGTTTGTATAAGGATCAGCCATTTTAACTCCTTTTCAGAAGAAGGGAAGGTGCCAGTTAATCGGGGGAACAGGCTGCCCCATCCTGTCCGTGACACATGCTCACAGCGATGACCCAGTCACAGAGGAAGGGTTCACTGATGTTTACCAACCAGGCTTTTAAAAGGTAAAAAGGGACTGGACGTGGTGCCTCACACCTGTCACCTTAGCAATTTGGGAGGCCAACGCAGGATCACAAGGTCAAGAGATCAAGACCATCCTGGCCAACAAGGTGAAACCCTGTCTCTACTAAAAATACAAAAATTAGCTGGGCATGGTGGTGTGTGCCTGTAGTCCCAGGTACTCGAGAGGCTGAGGCAGGAGAATCGCTTGAACCTGCAAGGCGGGGGTTGCAGTGAGCAGAGATCATGCCACTGCACTCCAGCCTGGTGACAGAGTGAGACTCCATCTCAAACAAAAATAAATATAAAAAATAAAAGGTAAAAAGGGTCCCATCTCAGACAAATAAAATGTTGACATGTTTCTGGCACTGTAAAATGGACCTTAGGCCAGGTGTGGTTCCTCACACCTATAATCCTAGCTCTTGGGGAGGCTGAGGTGGGCGAATCACCTGAGGTAAGGAGTTCAAGACGAGCCTGGACAACATGGTGAAACCCCATCTCTACTAAAAATACAAAAATTAGCTGGGTGTGGTGGTACATGCCTGTAGTCCCAGCTATTCAGAAGGCTGAAGCACAAGAATTGCTTGAACCCAGGAGGTGGAGGTTGCACCACTGCACTCCAGTCTGGGCAACAGAGTGAGACTCTGAAAAAAAAAAAAAAAGGGCCTTAAAGATTGAAGCCACAGATGAATAAAGCACACACCACCAGTTTCTGGACAGTGAATGCCTCTAGGGAGGGAGAGATGAAAAACGGTGGGAGAGGTGGACCCAAGCATTTGCTGCATCTTCAAAGATATGTTTTCTTCAAAATGGGGAGAGAATGGAACGATCCAAGATGGCTGATCGCTAACATCTCAGGATTGCAGCTCCCAGTGAAAATGCAGAGAATGAGAGGATGCCACACTTTCAGACAAATTTTGGTCGCTCACGGAGCAGAAGAATCCCAGTGGAGGAGCTGCATGGGTGGCCAGCACGACTCTTGTGGCCGGCGCAGCGGTTGTGCCGGCACCTCAGCACAGCAGCTCTTAGTGCAGAGTAAACGGGACTGGTTCCCCTTCTGACCGAGGTTTGGAGCTCCAGGAAGGCAGAGTCACCTATTATGGACTCAAGAAGGAAGCCAGACTGGAGATTCCCGGGCAGAAAAGCACCATCAGTCTTAACACTGCTGTTTTGGCCGGCATAGTGGGTTGCTCATATTTCGGCCCTGGGAATGAACAACTTGGATGTCCACTCAGAGACCTAATTTGAAAGTTGGTAATTACAAAGACGACAGGTGGATAAATTTACAATGATGGGAAGAAACCAGCGTAAAAAGACTGAGAATACTCAAAATCAGAATGCCTCTGCCTCTAAAGACGATCACAGTTCCTCATCAACAAGGGAACAAGACTTGATGGAGAACAAGCGCATCCCCAATAACAGAATCAGGCTTCAGGACATGGATAATAAGAAATTTCTGTGAGTTAAAAGAACATGTTGTAGCCCCATGTAAAGAAACTAAGAACTTTGAAAAAAGGTTTGATGAAATCCTAATGAGAATAGACAACTTAGAGAGGAATATGAGTGAATTAATGGAACTGAAGAATATAATACAGGAACTCCGAGAAGTATGCACAGGGTTAAACGCTCAAATTGTTCAAGCAGAAGAAAGGATATCAGAGGTCGAAGTCCAACTTAATGAAATAAAACGAGAAGACAAGATTAGAGAAAAAAGGATAAAAAGGAATGAGCAAAGTCTCCAAGAAATGTGGGACTATGTGAAAAGACCGAATTTACGTTTGATAGGTATACCTGAATGTGACGGAGAGAATAAATCCAAGCTGGAAAATATTCTTCAGGTTATTATTCAGGAAAATTTTCCTACACTAGCAAAGCAGGACAATATTCAACCCCAGGTAATAGAGAGAACACCACAAAGATATTCCTCAAGAAGAGCAACCCCAAGGCACATACTCGTTAGATTCACCAGGGTTGAAACGAAGGAGAAAATACTAAGGGCAGCCAGAGAGAAAAGTAAGGTTACCCACAAAGGGAAGCCTATCAGATTTACAGCAGATCTCTCAGCAGAAACTCTACAAGCCAGAAGAGAGTGGGGGCCAATATTCAACATCCTTAAAGAACAGAACTTTCAGCCCAGAATTTCATATCCAGCCAAACTAAGCTTTACAACTGAAGGAAAAATAAAATCTTTTATGAACAAGCAAGTACTCAGAGATTTTATTACCACCAGGCCTGCTTTACAAGAGCTTCTGAAAGAAGTATTACACATAGAAAGAAACAACCAGTATTAGCCTTTCTAAAAACATAAAGAAGAATTTACATCAACGAATGGATAAAACAGCCAGTTAACATCAAATGGCAGTAACCCTAAATTTAAATTGACTGAATCCCCCAATGAAAAGACACAGCCAAAACCCAATGGCATGTTACATCCAGACCCATTTCACATGCAAGGATACACAAAGACTCAAAACAAAGGGATGGAGAAAGATTTACCAACCAAATGGAGAGCAAAAATAAATAAATACATAAAAAGCAGGAGTTGCAATTCTCGTATCGGATAAAATAGATTTTAAAGCAACAAAGATATAGTGGTAAAAGGATCAATGCAACAACAAGAGCTAATGATCCTAACACCCAGACACATAGAGACTTAGACTCAATGAGACAGAAAATTAATAAGGATATCAAGGACTCAAACTCAGATCCAGAACAAGTAAACTTAATAAATATTTATAGAGCTCTCCACTTTAAATACAAAAAAATACACATTCTTGTCAATACCACATCACACCTACTCATAGGTTTAAATGAAACATTGATTGGCCATTAATAATACCCATTTTTTTTTTAGAATAAAGCAACATTTCCATTCTCTCTCCCTCTTTTTCTTCCTCTTTCTTCCTCTCCTTCACTCCTTTTTTTTCTTTCCTTCTCTCAAAAAAAGAAAAAAAAGAAATCAACTTGTAGACCTCTAGATTCAACTTTATGAATCTAGCAATGTCTCTCTCATTGCCTGATTTCCTTCCTTCCCTTCTCTCCCTCCCTCCCTCCCTTCCTTCCTGCCTCCCTTCCTCCTTTCCTTCCTCCCTCCCTTCCTCCTTTCCTGCCTTCCTCCCTTCCTCCCCCCAAAAAAAAACCAAACAAAACAAACAAAAACAAAATGGGGAGAGAATAAACAAAGCAAATATGATGAGATGCTAAATTTGCATAAAATCTGGGAGTTGGGTACACGAATATCAATGATATTGTTTGCTGTGCTTTTCTGATTCTTTAAAATATTTCACAATTAAAATGTTCAGAGTGAATCGTAGGATTTCAAGTCCGTCTGTGAAATGTGTACTGTCGCACCCAGCACTTCTACTTCTGGAAATTTATCCTACGGATATCACAAAGGGTGTGCAAGGATAGTGCATATGCAGGCAAGAAAAAGCTCTGGGAAGTATATCCAAGCGTGTTACGGGAATGCGTATCTCTGGATGGTCGGGGAATTATATTTTTGGTCTTTCGCAGTTTCTAGGTTTTCTGCTATGAATACACACTACCTTTTGTAATAAGCAGAAAATAAGGAGGAGGAGAAGGAAAAGAAGAAAAGCTCAGTTATGCTGCAAATTCATGGAGGTGCAGTCTCATTCCAGCTCAGGAGGATAAATGAGATACTACAGTATCACAACACTTAATATGATACACTTACTATGGTTGTTTTCCCCGAGGCCGGTGGACCTAATATTACAATCCTCGGCACTGTGGAATAAAAAGATTTGAATGTCACCACTCAACATGACAAGCAGCCTTCCACGTCTGCACTACTCGGGGTGTACTAATTTTTTTCCTCCCCAGATTTCATTTTCTGCCAGTGACACGGCCATTTGTAACCCAGCAGCTCAGAGGCGCTCCTGCCACGGAACATATTCTCTGTGTTTAGAGAGCTTAGTGATCACCAAGATGGTTTATTCTTCTACCTCCAAGGGGACATGGACATGGTAACTCATAAATATCAAGAACAATTGGGATTTCAAACAAAAAGCATTTTAAATAAGAACTTTGTCTGAGGGAGGCTCTCTCCAATAAAGCTGTAATTTATGTAAATTGACCTTAGAATTTTTTTTTATGTTTATGCCTTTTTATTTGGCAAATTTTATTCCCCATGATTTTACAGAGGGAAGTAATGGGAAAAGCCTGGAGTGTTTGGGCCAGATTTATAAAACCCAGGTTTTATAAACCGACGGACATTTCTATACAAATGGAAGACAATGGCAGTGTGTTTGATTTTAGTCTTGGCTGGTTTTGGTCCCACAGAATTCTTAACCCAGGCTACTAACAAGAGTGGGATGTGAACCAAGAGCTCCTGGACCCGTGACCCAGAGTCTGGGCTCACCCGGCAGGTGAAGCTCTGGGGGCAGGCCCAGGCCTTGGCCATCATGGAAGCTGGAAAGGCATTTTCAGCTTCTGGTGGGGGAGAGCCAGGGCAGAGATTCAGCGGCCCTTTCTCTGTTCAAGGCCTGTAAGCTGAGGCATAGCTTTCCAGGGACCTCCCCGTAGGTGAGAGAAGCCGCTGTGGGTGGAAATACTGCTTACAGGACAAGTCTGGGAACGAGCGGACTTTGAGGCCAGTCGTCAGGTGAGAGGACAAGGTAAGATGGAGCTAGAGTGGCTGCTGGCGACCAGAGAAGAGATGACCAGCATGGTGAGAAGGGTGCTGGAAGGCATCACATTTGGGTCGAAATGAAGGGAACAGCAGTGGGGTCTGCACAGACGCACCCACACTGCCTGTGTGCTGAACACCATCTTGATTGTGCCAGCTCTCCCTCCTTATAGGGAGCTGGTAACCTTGGCCGCCTGGCCCCTGACCCAAGGGGACAGATGAACAGATGTCCACTGCAACTCACATGAGCCTCTAACATCTGCATGAGAGCCCCTTCCGGCCAGGCTTCTGGGAGGGAATCTTGTCTCAGTGGAGGAAGGAGGTACATGGCCTTCTAGTTTGGAGGCAGACACAGAAAAGGAGCTGGACAATGTCCTTTTGGCCAGTAATTTAATGGTTAGCACATCTACAGCCAGTGGCTGCTTGGGTTTAAATGGATCTTTGTCCAAATTCATGGTACCTTCTCATTTTTGGAGGAAGTAAAGGTAACTCACTGAATGATCCTCTCCTCTGACCTCAGAAACTGTGGACCTTCCTATTCTCCCTATGGCTGTTCCCTCCACATTCCTGCCTTGCCACCTGTCATTTCCCATCAGGAACGTCCTCCCTCCCCAGCGCCCGGCACCCCCAGCCTCTCACTCCCTCTCCCTCCCTGAGATCCTTGTTCTTGCTCCCTGTGGTGGCCCGTGATCAAGTGGCAGGCTGCTGCAGCCTTCCACGCTAGTGAATGTCATCATGCTGCTGGGAAACAGGAGGAGTCGCTGTCTCCACAGGAAGAGAAGCTCCCAAGGGCAGAGACGGAGTCTCATCTTCCTGGATCACCCCATGGCAGCTGGAACTGTGAGGAGCCACACACAGTGAGCTTCAGGACCACCTCCTTGGCTGTCCCCATCTTGTTCTATGATCACTGAGTGTTTGTCACCTTTGTCACCACCATTACCATGGTCTTAAAAAGGGCCCCCTCTGCTGGTCAGCATGTTTGGGTACAAGTGCAGGAATTGGATGAGTCAAGAAAAGAAGGGGGGTTGATTGCTCACTACTGCAATCCCAGCAGTTTGGGAGACTGAAACGGGCAGATCACTTGAGGTCAAGAGTTCGAGACCAGTCTGGCCAACATGGTGAAACCCTGTCTCTACTGAAAATACAAAAAATTAGACAGGTGTGGTGGCGCATGCCTGTAATCCCAGCTACTTGGGAGGCTGAGGCAGGAGAATCACTTGAACCCAGAAGGTAGAGGTTGCAGTGAGCTGAGATCATGCCACTGCACTCCAGCCTGGGTGACAGAGCAAGACTTTGTCTCAAAATATCTGTGTCAATTGATCAGTCGATCAATAGATAAGTAGATAGATATAAAACCAGCATGGCTCACAGAGTCCTGCACAGGGTGGGGAGCCAGGCCCTCAGGGCTACCCCACAGGAATAACACCCCGAGCAAGACCGCCAGATGGGCTGGGGAGACACCAGACAGTGCAGCCCGTGCCCATGATGCCACTGACACATGTGGGCATGGTGCTGCCATCAACCATGCTGCCCGTCCCCCCAGGAACCAGGCCCTGCAGAGCTGCCAGGAAGTGTTCTGGGACCTGCTGTGATTCTGAGTCTGGCAGGTGAAGCTCTGGTGGCAGGCTCAGGCCCTGACTGTCATGGAAGCTGGGAAGGTGTTTTTAGCTTCTGGGGTGGGAGCCAAGGTGGGCATTCAGTGGCCTTCTCTCTGTTCTAGGGCTGTGGCCAGGGCAAGGCCTTCCAGGGCCCTCCCTGTGGGTGAGAAAAGCCACTCTAGGAAATGGTAGGAAACACTGCTTGCAGGACAAGTCTGGAAACAAGGTGGCTTTGAGGACATGTGGTCAGGTGAGAGAATGAGGTGAGATGGGAGCCAGGATGCCTTGGGAGGTTTGTGGGGAGGAGTGGAAGGAAGGTTGTTCAGTGTGGAGGAGCCTTGGCTCATGAGAAAGAAGGCTCACCTGGACCATAGGGAGAGCACCTGCTTGGCCAAAGTCGGATGAGGGAGCAGTGGGGAACCTGGGTCTGCTCATGCAGCACCACCTGCTGCCTCTCCAGGGCTCTGACCACAGGCCCTGCTGAAGCTCCTCCAAACACAGACAAGACCCAACGGGACTCAGTGGGCACAGAGCCTGAGGGGCAGGGAGATGCAGCTCCGCAGCAGCCTTGGGGAATGAACCTGACTCCTGAGTTACGCATTCGCCTGAGAGTTGCTGGGCTGGGGGCTTCAGGGAAACCCTCCCCTTCCAGGTTCCTGTAAGTGGCACCCAAATGGTACACATCTATGAACATACTTTAAAAGGGGAACATCCAGGGCCTTTCTCCCCACCTAATTTCTCCCACACATTTATGTGATTAATTTCAGTTTCTTAAAATCTAACACCTTGAAACTCTGGCCCTGCTCATGAGTAATTATTTATAAACAGTGTCATAAAAGGCTGCTTGACTGCCAAGAGTAATCAACTTCTTCCAACCACTTCAAAGGAAATCAAAAAACCTTTCCATCCACAGATCCTTTTGAGGTTTAACTAGGAGCATGATTTAAAATTCACAAGAAAACCCTTAGGTATTGGAGCTCTAATACACGGCTTTCTTGGACAAATGTTTGATAAAAAACGAAACATACCATTATATACACCATCGCCTGCTTTAATATTGCCCAGGGCTACTGTAAATGCTCACTTTGTACTAAATCTGCTTTTCTGGCGGTGAAGGGGCTGCCAGCCCATGTGCTGAGCTCCCTCTGCTCCCTCATGTGCTCACTCACCGCGATGAGTCCGGGGCCTCCTCTCCCTCTACACCAGTCACCAGCCACGTCACTGCATGTGGCAGTTAATCCCAGGCCCAGAAAGAGGAAGGGCTAAGGTCCTGGCTATAGTTAGCACAGGCTGCTGCGTGGCTGGAAGGGGGCAGGATGACCTGACACATCAGCCCAGAGGAACAAAAACACACATTGGACGTCATGGGTCTCTCCAGGCCTCCCACACTCTTCAAGGACACATGAGGATTGGGCTTAGCTGATTCGAGGCTTCTCCCCACTCCTAGATGAGTCGCCAAGGCAGGGTAGTCTCCCCTCCTCCTTCCCATTTCTGCTCCACTTGTCTGCAGAGGCTTGGGAAAAGGGAGAGAAACCCATGGGTGTCCCTCTCTTCTTTCCATTTCAGTGGTTGGAACTTGAGCCAAAGGACAAAATGTTTCAACATCCACAAAAGCCACCAGCTGAGGGCCTGCAGTGGAGTACAGGGCTGTGGGGAAGAAACAAACTCCCCAAAACAGTGGTTCCTGGGACCCAGTGACTCTACTCCCTGAGAGCATCTGGGCCAAGAGCTTGACTCAGCTATTGAGGAGGACAGACAAGAGGCTGGCCCCCAGCTAGAGATGGCACGAGGCAGATCTGGATCCCTCATCCCTGTTCGAGAGCAACGGAGCAGGTGCAATGCAGAGAAAGGAGCAAGGGATCCATAGAGGGAGCCTCTGGGAAGCCCCAGACCTGCGGGTGAAGGGAAAGGGGTGCTGACAAGAGTGGGAAGAGGAGATGAAGGGACAGAGGCGGCGGCAGGAGTGGCTGTCCAGCTGACATCAACTACACTGTGTCCAAACCAGAAAGATGATGTTTAAAACTTCAAAATCCTGATGAAGTGGATAGTTTGACATTGAAATTAAAGCTGCACACAGAGGAGCAAGATCAAAACATAAAGAAATGATTGAATCTGCCTCAAATTTCTTGAGATTCAAGACTCTTGAATTTCTAGGCTGGGGAACTAGGTAAGCCTTGATCTTAGTGGTTTAAGGACACAGACGGCAGGGCACAGTGGCCCATGCCTGTAATCCCAGTGCTTTGGGAGGCCAAGGCAAGAGGATCACTTGAGCTCAGGAGCACAGACCAGCCTTGGCAACACAGTGAAACCCCATCTCTGTAAAAATATTTTAAAAATTAGCCAGTGCAATAGCATGCGCCTATAGTCCCAGCTACTCAGGAGGCTGAGGTGGGAGGATCGCTTGAGCCCAGGAGGTCAAGGATGTAGTAAGCTATAATTACCCCACTGTACTCCAGCTTGAGCAACAGAGTGAGACCCTGTCTCTAAAAAAAAAAAAAAGAGAGAGAGAGAGAAGGGCAGGAAAAAAAGAGAAGAGCACAGGGCACGCCCCAAGTAGGATTTTCAAACAGTAGGAAGTGTCAGTGCAACCTAATTTATGAGAGTTCAAGTGGTCACGTTATTATCAGGCACATTTTTTTTTAGAAAGGTTCATTATGTTGCCCAGGGTGGAGTGCAGTGGTATTCAAGGTGCAGCCGTGGCACTGTGGTTTCAAACTCCTGGCCTCAAGCGATCCTGCCGTGTCAGCCTACCAAGTAGCTGGAGCTACAGGTGCACTACCACACCCAGCTTTCAAGCACAAAATTTTTTTTTTTTTTTTTGAGACAGGGTCTCACTCTGTCACCCAGGCTGGAGTGCAATGGCAAATTCTTGACTCACTGTAACCTCCGCTTCCCAAGTTCAAGTGATTCTCCTGCCTCAGTCTCCTGAGTAGCTGGGATTACAGGCATGTGCCACCATGCCCAGCTAATTTCTGTATTTTTAGTAGAGATGGGGTTTCACCATGTTGGCCCAGCTGGCAAGCACAGTTTTTAATTCAGATAAATCTATCAAGCTTTTCACCGGTGGAAACTCGACATCGTATCCCTGGAAGCCCCCTACCCACGCGTGCATCAGGGATGTCCCATTCCTTCAGCCACCACTGACCAGACCAGAGCTTCACGGCTTCCCTCTGGGTTAACCAAACACATCCGCTTTACAAATGAGGAAAGTGAGGTCAAAGAGCAACCCTCTCTCATGGTCTCCATATTTTCAGATGAGTGAGCTGAAGGGTCCCTGGCAGTGGCGGGGGTAGGGCGGCAGGAGAGGCCTGCACTGCACCGTGAGGTTGACTTTTAGTTTTACTTTAATTTACTGTAGCTGTTGCTTGGCCCTTTTTTCACTTTTATTTTGTGTTTCCTTTTGCTTTGCTTTCCCTTTGCTGTCCATCCTTTCTCTGGTGCTGGCAGTGTAAGATAGTTGCGTGGAGGCAGGGATGCTGTCCACAGCCCTGGAATAACACCCAAGCCTCCATGGAGGCGAGGGGAGTGTGGGAACTCCTTCCTTGGCAAATGGAGTCAGTGAGGCCTGGGGTTGAGCCTAAGTCTGCAGCAGTAAGGAACACTCAGGAGGGCAGGGTGACTTTAACACCCACCCTAAGAGCAGGTGAATCTGGAGAGGCAGAACCTCCCACCTGTGCCATATAATAAACAGCCAACCAGAGAAAGGAGGTCTCTAAGAGTCGCTGCAGGACAGAATAAACTGCACTAGGAAGGTGGGGTTGGGGAGACGGAAAATGAGACACCGGGAAGGGGGTTCCAAGGCTGCCCCAGCACCGCTCCACCCCTGCCCGGGCACATGGACTCTCAGTCAACATCTGCTGAATGAGGCAATGCCCAGTGAATCGGCCATTTGTGCCTAACTAGAGGCTCAGAAAAGGGTCTCTTTGCGGCCCCTTTGTAGGGACTCTCTTTGAATCTGCCCACTTAGTTCCATGCAGTGGCATCGGGACCTAAGAGTCCATCATTCTGCTGCTCCGCAGCCAGGCCTGGATGTGTCAGGACCCCCTGCGGTGCACAAGAAAAAGGCTCAGAACCTCCTCTCTCCTTTGTTTCTCTTTCCTTCCTTCCCTCCCTCCCTCCTTTCTTTCTTCTTTCTCTTTCTCTTTATTTCTTCCTAGCGTCATTTCTCACCTTGGGCCTTCTGAACCTCTGCACTGGGCATCTCAGGCCTCTGTCTTCAGCTGTACCAACTGCTAATTTCACTGGTAAGCTGTAGCTCCTTCAAAGCAGCTAATGCTCCAATGAAAGAAACATAAAAGCTCCAAGACATCAGTCCTCCCCAACAGCTCACAGTGGACAGGACTGATCCTCTCTTGGCAAATCGACTGTGGACTGGAGTAGAATGGAGGGACCTTCCTTGTGTGAGCGCCTCCCTCCTCCCCGGTTCTGTGCTCTGGCCTTGGGTCTGGCTGATCTGGTCGATTGCAAAGGTTTGGGGAGCTCGGAAAGTCATTAACAGGTGCCAATGATGAGACTGTGGGAAAAGCCCAAGTGCTTACCTGTCTAGGTAGACCAGAAACCAAACTTACACCTGACAAGTAGAGTGATGAGAGAGCTGAAACCTAACGCGACATCAGCTAGGGCAGGCAAAAGCATTAATAATTGATTCCATAGGCCATTCTAGGGTTTTCATTTTAATAACTTGGCAAGAAAATTTTTACAAGTTGGGCTCCAAAAGAAACTAAGGCATTTTTCAATTAACCGCCACCTCAAGTTGTTGAAACCCCTCCCTTCTGACCTCCCTTCAGACACAGGTAGGACAGAATGGTGCTCAGCTATTCTCAGGGTAGGGTAGGGTCCCTGAAGAGGAGGAGGAGGCAGCAGCAGAGGAGTTGGGGAAGAAGGGGAAGGAGGAGGAGGGAAGGGGAAGATGGGGAGGGGATGCCCCAGCCAGTGCTCACCATTGTCGTTGTCTCTATGCAGGTGCTGGATCATGAAGGGGATGGGGTCCTCAGGCTGGTGGATCAAAAGTTGCTCCAGCATGTTCTGTAGGTACACGGCAGACACCCAGGTTATTACTACCTGCAGGGACACCTGGTCACCAAAGATACTAGCTATGGGGTCTGCTTTCTCCACTGCACCCCACCAAACATGCCTTCAGCCTGGGACCCAGCTCCTGCCAAAACTGGCATCTGCTTGGGTCCTCATGCTTGGCCACGTGGTGCTGCTGGGGAGCCCCTAGAGGGAGGCAGAAGTGAAGGAGCCTCGCCCTGATTCAGAGTAGGCAGTCCCAAGGCCCTCTCCCCTGGGGCCCTTTGGGCTTCCCAGACGAGCCTTCTCCAAGTTCTCAAGCACCACCATTCCCCTCAGAGCCTTAGCCGATGAAGCTTCTTCCTCATTTTCATCCTGGCTAATTTCTGCTCAGTCTCAGATCTCAATGGTAACATACCTTCTTGAGTATGTGCACTAGGTAAATATGTCAGATGCTCCTGTACCTGCCTGCAGGCATTGCCATGTTCCATGCCTCACCCTGTCCCTACTCATCAAGCCATCATTCTCCCAGCAGGCCATGGGTTCTGTGGGCCTCCTTGTCTACCTAGAGCCCTCCTGGCACCCCAATGCCTGGCAGTGATAGCAGATGCCCAGTGCAGATGTTTGTTGGGGAACAGACCGTCACCACTCCCTGTGTCCCTCCAGAATGGAATGGAATATTTACCAGCCAGATTTCTAAATAGTCCTGGGATATTCTGGCCATTTCATCTAATCAGGCAAACATATCAAGGGAAAGTGGTTTCTGGGGCTGCAGAACCCTAGGCACAGAAATGAGAGGGAGCTGACAGCAGCTGTGCTGTCACAATAAGGGGTATCCTTCAGCCCCAGGGACAAGGAGGGAGAGGGGCTCCAGTCCTCTGGGAGTGAAGGGAGTGTGGGGCAAGAAAAACAGCACCGAGCCATGAGAAGTCTTGGTTCCAGCCCCGCTGTATCTCATTAGCAAGTCCCTTCCCTTTTCTGAGCCTCAGCTTCTCTACCTGTTCAGTAGCACAGCTGGAGCAAATTCATGTTTGTAGATCACTGGTGCGATGGAATGAGATGATTTTAGATGGTTCACATATAAATATTTTAAATTTCATGTTTAAATAATCATGTATTTAATGTGTATTGGAAAACTAAGTACATCAAATGTATAATTTCAAGGATATCACTTAGGAGGAGGCAAAAGCAGCTATTTAATTTTTTAAAAGTTGAGTTGATTTCAACAAGTGATTAGTTCAAATGGAAATGCAGTAGTGGTAATGCAAATCTGTACATGTGATAAATGCACAGAACTGTATGCACGACGAAAACATCAATGCAGGCAAAAAAGGAGGGAATCCAAATCAGGTCACAGTCCAGGTAATCCTACTGTACCGATGCCAGTTTCCCGGTTTTCACAATGTCCTACAGTTATGTTAGATGTTATCATTGGGGTTATTGGGGGAGACCAGATATCCATATTTTTTAACTTCCTGTGAATCTAAAATTATTTTAAAATAAAAAGTATAAAAAATGAAAATGGTCAAAACCATGGAGGGAATACACGGATGACTAAAACTGGAAAAATGGACTAAAAGCTTTCTTGTTGGGAGGCTGAGGCAGAAGGACTGTTTGAGTCCAGGAGTTCAAGACCAGCATGGGCAACATAGCAAGACCTCATCTCTACTAAAATAAAACATAAAAAAAAAAAAAAGATTAGCCAGGTATGGAGGCCTGCACCTGTAGTATCAGCTTCTCTGGAGGGGTCTGAGGCAGAAGGACTGCTTGAGCCCAGGAGTTCAAGGCTGCAGTAAGCCATGACTGCAGCACTGCACTCCAGCCTGGGCAACAGTGCAAGACCCTGTTTCAAAATAAATAAAAGCTTTCTTGAGCAATTCCTTCAACAATCACTGTGGAAAACACATCAGGTTCCCTAGAGTAGACTACAGGGCTCCTGATGCTCCCCCATCCTGCCCTGACCTGTTGACTTCTAACCCAACTAGCTATTTTATTTGTGATTGGCCACTCAAGCAGTTTTAGGAATCTCTAGCTCTCCCTCGGTATCATTTAACACTTTCCAAGGGAAACATGTTTGCTGAAGGTACAGCTTTCTTAGTCAGGGCTCAGCTATCCAGTGTGCAGGGTAGAGGCTTGCATGACCATAGACACCACCATGCCCTCCCTGCCATGCCCCTGGGGATGGGGTGTACCCTGAGAAGCAGACAAATGTTCTGGAAGCTGAGCTCCAGCTTCCCTTTGCCTCTCAGAATCTTTGAGTGGCTGAGAGTTCTTCCCCTCCAGCTCCTGAAGGCCTTGACCTCCATCAAGTGCAGAAGGGAAAACTGAGGCCCCAGCGGGGGCGGGGCCTCGGCCTCGACTAAGGTCACACGGTGAGCTACAGGGGCCCAGTCACAGACCTGGACCCAGGATGAGAGCTTCGGAGCTGCTGGGGACGTCTGACCCTGAGGAGGAGGGGCCAGGGTGGGAGATGCTGCTGTCCCAAAGGCGGCCCTCTCAGAGGATGGAGATGCTGGCTTGAACTCGGACAACGCCCACCTCAGAAACCTGGGCCGAGAAACTCCCCACAAATTCGACAGATGGGAATTGTCAGCGTCAGGAGAGCCCCGGGAGACCACCTCCAGTAACCTGGCATTTCACATGTGGGGAAACCGAGAAAAGGAAAGGACTGGTTTCAGACCATAAGGCCCGCTGGCGGCACAGCCAGGGCCAAAATCCCGGCCCGAGTGGCCCCCTGCCTTCCCCGGGTCCGCCTGAGGCCGACCCAAGCAGGGCCAGAGGGCGTCCCCAGCTCGAGGGCCCCCTCGGGGTCACGGCGATACACGAATCCGACACCCAGAGTTGGGCTGCTTCGTGGGCTCCCGACTCGGCCCCAGCTGCGGCTCCCGGCCGCGCACCCGACGTCGCAGTGGAGGTTCCCGAGCCGCCGCCGACGTCGCGACAGGCAGGGCTGTCAGGTCACCTGCATCAACTCGAAGATGTGGTTCGCCTCCCCGTACTGCGGCATCTCGGGTGGGATACGGTGCGGGGCTGTAGTCGCGTCCATGCAGCCGTCGCGGCGCGCCGCTCCCTAGTAACAGCGTCGCTAGGGCCGCCGCGCGCGGCTGCGTCATCAGCGCGCGCTGCGGCCCAGCCCCGCAGACTCCTCCGCGCCCGGCCAGGGTCCTGGAGCCTCGGACGCGCGCGTCGCCCCCGCCCCGACCTCCCCGGCAGAGGCACTCGGCGGCTCGGGCAAGTTCTTTCCCCAACCCCGGCCTCGCTTTCCCCATTTGAGCATCTTAGCGGGGACACCCTCAAGCGGATTCCAGCTGGGCCTCCTTGGATTTGAGACCCCCGACGAAACCCAAGAGGGGCAAGTCGGCCCCCCCCGAGGTGGCGGGAGGCGGACCCTGCTTCTGGTTCTGTTAGCACTCCCCGGTCCCACCCCCGCCCCGCTCCCTGTGCCTCAGTTTCCTCATCTTTAATAGACGCAGGAATAGATGTTGGGGAGGCTGCTTGAAGAGAGAGGGGCGTCTATGGGACAGGCCAGAGGTTCGAAGATCGGGTGGAAATCCTCAGCTCAACTTCTAGCGTCCAGGCCCGGGAGACCCCTCCTCCCGCTCCCGGGCTCAGGCCAGGCGGCCACGTGACCCAATTGCTATGGTACCGGCAGTAACAATCAGGCCCGCGGCCCCGCCCCTTCTTGCCGGACCTCCCCACCCATCCCGCCTCCCAAGCCCTGGGGTGGGCCTCCCCCACCCTCCGGGTCCCCGACACTCCCGGAGCCACTCCAGTTTCAGGGTGCTCCGTGAACCGAAGAGCGCTCTAGGACAAGCAAGGGTAAACAGGGACGAAGGTGGGTAGGCCCACTCGGACCCCACCCCTGCCTCTGGGTCAGAAACTGGAAGCTGGAGTGGAGGATAGAAGGATGGAGGGGTCCGGGGGATGGAGGGGCCTGCACAGCTATCTTTGGGACGCGAGGGGGAGGTTCGAGCTGGAGACTTTCCGAGTTGTGTGAATTCCCAGTGGTACGGGGTTGCCTGGTATTTTATTGGTCGTAGCACTGAATTGGGAGTTCTAGCTCTGGTCTGTTGCCATTAATAGTAGGAGCTACGGTTTGTTGAACTCTTAACTTTGTGCTCGCGGCAAAACTCTGTTGTCTCTGTACCTTAGAGAGAGGGAAAATGGCACAGTCAATGCAGGCAGCCCAGATGCAAGTCCTGGCGCCATTTCTTACTGTGTAAGCTTGGTAAACTCTTCACTTGCTTGTGCCTCACTTTCCTCCCCTGTGAGGCGGGGGCTGCTGAAGGATTTCAGGAGCTGATGTATTGGAGAGTAGCTGGCATGCAGTAAGCATACAGTATATGGGGCTACTGTTAGTAGTAGTATCTCGTTTAATCGTTCCGACAACCTTCATTCCCATTTCACAGGTGAGAAATTGGAGGATTAGAACGGTGAGGACTGGTTGGCTGGGTAACTTTGGGTAAGTCATGTTCCCTTTCTGGGCTTCTTCCCTCATCAGTTGTTGATACGACCTTAGAATCAGAAGGTCCCTTGAAGAAGAGGCTAATCCAAACTGTCTCATTTGACAGATGGATAAACTGAGGCCCAGAAAAGGGAGAAATCTTGGCTAGGGCCACTGTTAAATTGGGCAGAGCCAGGGCATGAACTCAGCATCCAGGCTCCAGCTAAAGCCCTTTTCTACCAGCCACCAGCCCAGAGACGTGCCCTCCCAACATAAAAGCCAGCACTGTCGCCTCTTCCCCTCCAAACTCCTTCCTCATAGTGTGCACAGTTTGGTAGGCTTGTCAAAGCCAACTGTAAAGATAGCTGGGGAAGAAAAGGAAGCTGCCTCCCCCTCAACAAGGAATACAACAACCACACCTGCCATTTGCACTGGAGAGGTTTGGTTTGCTTCCTGGACATTTCTGAAACGACTTGCCTTTCTCCTCATTTATTTTAAGCCCTAGGCGCTTTTCATACCATGATTTAATCTTCTTTAGCAGCCTGGAAAAATACAAATCAATTAAAGCCTAAAACCTGCGGGTAATCATCTTTTTCCTCCCTTCTCCTCCAGATTGAAAAGTACCCTCTGCCTTTTATCCACACTAATTTGGCTGCAGTGGCTCTCATTCAAGGGCCTATCACTTTGGATAGCTTATTACAGCTCTTCTCATGACATTCCTGGTGTGCATGTCACAAGTTACTAGGATCAAGAACGGAGTCCGTTTTGCTCTCAGAGGCTCTTGGGGCCACCAGCCAAGGTAGTGCTGTATCCCTGGAGAACTTGACAGCTCCAGGAAGCCCCAAGAGGGTGGCAGGGAGCTGGGCCTGCAAAGGGCAGACCCTTGAATGTTTAGTCATGTTTGTTTTGGGTCAAGGAAGAGGGAGAGTCTAGTGGTAATGGAAGTGGGGCCTAGGGCTAGGGGTCTAGCCAGTGGATGAACCCTAGCGAAGTCAGGCCGCTCTTCAGGGCTTTCGCAGTCCCTATCCTCACTGCCACAGTCAGTCTGATGTCTGGTGTGTTTGTCTCTAAGTACTACCAAGGGAAGGGGAGGAGGAAGGAGGGAGGGAGGAGGAAGGGAGGGATCCAAGTTAAGAGCCCAGACTTTATAAAGCCAGGCGGAGCCAAGCAAGAAGTCCTGACTTGCCCATTCCTTATCTGGCCTCACATTCTGATCTATCCTCTGAGGATAACCATGATACCTCGATCCAGGGTTGCAGTGAGGACTCAAGCTAACTCATGTCCTAGAGCCCCATCAGGTGACCCCCCGCTCTTCTCAGGAGGACTGGAGTGAGCCACCCTTCTTTAGCCCAGGATCTAAGCACAGCTCCAGCTCTCCCGGCATGATACCCACCCTCTTCCTGCAACTGCCTCTCCTGCAGATGGTGGCCCTTCGTTCTCAAGGTTCCCACCTGCTTCCCTGCTCTATTTCCTTCATATCTAAAATGCTGTTCATTTCACTCTTCTGCATGGTCTGCCTTCCCCTGTGAAAGATGAGTTCCTCCAGGGCAGGGAATCTTGTTGGCTAGCTCAGCACCTGAATAGCACCTGGCACACAGTATGAATGCACAAGGGAACGAATGCATGCATGACATGCTTTTCACCGCCTTGGCTTAGAAGCCTTCTGCCGTTCTTTCAAATGCTTCTCCTGACACTGGGTCCCTCAGCCTGACCCTGTCCACTGCCCTCTTCTGCACCTGCTTACAACAGTCCCACATCCCTACCCCCCAACCTCTAGCCCAGGGTCCCACCCCCACTGCACACCTGCTCCACCTCTCCACTTGGACTTTCTGAAGTCCAAGTTCAAACTTCCCCTACTCCAGGAGGTCAAGTTCTCAGCAGTTCCTGCTTCGTTTGAGGTCCACACCATCTTGTGGTGTCCCCTGCTACTGCACACATCCATGCTTCAGCCACAGTAGCGTTGATGATCCTGATGATGGCACTGCCACATTCCAGGCTCCATGGTCTATGCCATACACCTCTGGTCTCATGTCAGCTCCCACAAGGCTGGGAGGCTGCTGCACACTGAAGCTTAGGGAGGTTGGGCAGCTTGCCCAAGGTCAGCAAGAAGGGGTGGAGGCAGGATTTGAATCCAGGCCTTTGTAACTCCAGGCCTTCTCAACCACAATGAGCCACAGCTCTGAGCATGATGGTTTCCCACCTCTTCTCCTGGAATTCCACTTATGTGCCATCTCTCACTTTTCTGGAGCTTCAACTTTGAGTCATTTGTAAACCCTGGGCCAGAATTAGGGCAAGGCAAGTGATGCACCCTCAGCACAAAACTTAAGGGAATGTCAACAATTCAGTCATCGAGGTGGATGTTTTAATGCAATATTTTTAAAAAGTCAAAAATAGTGCCTAAAATCCATTTAGAATAACATGTCAAAAATTTAAGTAACGGCAGGCTCAGTATTACTGATTTTTCCTTTCGCTTCAGGCTTCAATATGGCAAAGTACAACAATCTTTTCTTTAAAAATTGTGATGTTGCCATGTTTATAATCCCAGCACATTGGGAGGCTGAGGTGGGAGGATCGCTTGAGCCCAGGAGTTCAAGACCAGCCTGAGCAACATAGGGAGACCCCATCTCTACGAAGAGAAAGAAAGGAAGAAAGTAGTCAGGCATGGTGGCATGTACCTGAGGATGTGGCATGTCCCAACTACTTAGGAGGCTGAGGCAGGAGGATCTCTTGAGCCCAGGGAGGTCAAGGTTACAGTGAGTTGTGATCATACCACCACATTCCAGCCTGCATGAAAGAGCAAGACCCTTCTTTAAAAAGCATTTTTGGCACCAGTCGAGGTGGCTCACAAGTGTAATCCCAGCACTTTGGGAGGCTGAGGTGCACAAATCACCTGAGGTTGGGAGTTTGAGCCCAGCCTGACCAACATGGAGAAACCCTGTCTCTACTAAAAATACAAAACTAGCTGGGCATGGTGGTGCATGCCTGTAATCCCAGCTACTCGGGAGGCTGAGGCAGAATTGCTTGAACTCAGGAGGCAGAGGTTGCAGTGAGCTGAGATTGTACCATTGCACTCCAGCCTGGGCTACAAGAGTGAAACTCCATTTCAAAAAGAAAAGAAACATTTTTGGCACTGGGACACTGGGTACAGTGACTCATCCCTATCATTCCAACACTTTGGGAGGCTGAGAAAGGTGGATCACTTGAGGCCAAGAGTTCAAGACCATCCTGGCTGACATGGTGAAATTTCATCTCTACTAAAAATACAAAAAATAGCCAGGTGTAGTGGTACATGCCTGTAATCCCAACTACTCCGGATAATTTTTTTTTGTGAGATGGGGTCTCACTGTTTCACCCAGGCTGGAGTGCAGTAGTGTGATCATGGCTCATTGTAGCCTTGACCTCCTGGGTTCAAGCAATCCTCCTGCATCAGCCTCCCGAAGTGCTGGGATTACAGGCATGAACCACTGTGCCTGGCCTATTTTTATCTTGATTGCTGAGTTTTTTGGCGGCTCCTTAAGTTTTGCACCGAGGCAAGTACCTCCCTCGCCTCACCCTAGTTGGGCCCGGGTGAGCCAGACACCATGGGAGGCACAACAGGGAACCTCTGCCAAGGATATGGCAGGTGTGACTAAACCACGGGCCCTCCACCTCATTCCCCAGCCTCGGCTCTCTTTTCCATGGGAGGTTGAGCTGGAAAGAGGCCCCTTCCCTGCCTGCCCTGGCCCTGGCCCAGGCCCACCCCAGGGGAGCTGCAGCTGTCCCTGTGTCTGTTGACAGTCACAGTGCTGTGGCTGTGCTGCAGAAGTGTGCTCTCTTGTCTTTCCAAGGCTGTTGTCTGTCTAAGGCAGCCTTGCTGGCTTTTGTCTCCAGGGACACTCCATGGCTAGGCTCTATCTTGCTAAAGGGCCTCTTCCCTAGCCTTTTCCAAGTTCTCTGATTTACCACACCCATCATCTCACCGAGGCCATCTCCTGGTCTGTTCTTGTGTTTCCTTTCATTCCTCTGATGCCATCTCCTCTTGCATCAACTGGGGATGCTCCGCCTACTCCCTGCCATGCCCCAGCTCCAGACCTGCTCTGGACGCAGCAGAAGGAAATACTCCCAGCCCCATCTCGTTCTCATTCCTCTCTACCTGGGACCTGCTTGGAAGCTTGGAATGTGCCTTCTCTGCCCCATGCATGCTAAATGTTCTGGCCCCTTCCACCTGCAACATCTCCCTTGGGCCGGACCTGACCTCAGCACAGCCTCCTCTGACCCCTGCTCATGTGCGGATATGTTTGAGCCTGGACTTTGTACTGGAGGCAGTGGAGGGGCAGCACTGAGGATGCTGGTTAGATGTAAGGAAGCCTAGGACCCAGGGTGTCTTGGGCACAACTTGCTGTGACACCTGGGCAAAATCTTTCCCTCTGAGCCTCACTTTCCTCCAGAAGCTCAAGGGAATTAGCCTTCTGAGTTCCTTCCAGCTCTAACATGATAGAAATCTGTGGTCTGGAGCCCTTTGCATGCACTCAGCAAAATTGTGATGTCATGGAGCACAGACCTGCAGACTCTTCTGCTCACAGGAGGATTGTAGACACTCTGAGGACCACCCAAATCAAAGCAGGGACAGTCTGCGAGGTGCCAAGAGACAGCCCCTCCCCACAGCCTTCAGGTTACTGATCATGGCATTCCAGCAATTAACAGGGGCAGGGAACAATCTGCTAGCCACCAGCCTTGCCCCGAGAATGTGCAAACCTGACATCAAGGCTCCTGCCCCCAGCACAGAGCAGGCAGACTCACATCTCCTCAAACTAGACAGTCGAGTATATCGATTCTTCTCCCCGCTTAATTCATTGGAAGGATTTCCCAGACTTTCCTACCAATTGCAGAGCAGCAGATGCTTTAAAATAATTGGATTCAAACTGATAATCTCCTGGTTTTATATCCTGTGGCATAACCCTTGATCCCAGGTTTTGCTGACACCACAGCGAGGGACTGGAGACTGTGTGTGTGTGCGCGTGTGCGTGTGCATGTGTGTGTGCACACATGCGTGTGTGTAGCCACATCTGGAGAAACTGAGGACCAGAGAAACACTGTCCACAGCTGAGGGAAGAAGTCACATTTCATGGCAAAGAATGTGTCCATAGAGGGTAAATTTCAAGGTCAGGCTCAGCTGTGTCGTGGACAGTCTGGGGGGTCTGGACAAGGGTATAGCCTCCCAGGGCCTCGCTTTCTTCTTTGGGGAGGCGCTCACAAGGAGCTCCAGTGAGAGGGGCCGTGGGTATCCCTCTCACCCGACGGTCCTTCTCTCCAGAGCTGGCTCCCAGCGTCTGGTCCCAGAACCTCATCCCTATCCTCTTTCTCCCAGTAGATTCTTCTTCTCCTGTAAATGACCATCGAGGAAGACAATGAATGAAGTGAAAGAATCCCTTCGCGGCATCGAGCAGAAATACAAGCTCTTCCAGCAGCAGCAGTTCACCTTCATTGCTGCGCTGGAGCACTGCAGGGAGAATGCCCACGACAAGATCCGGCCCATCTCCAGCATCGGACAGGTGGTGCTCCCGCCCCCCGCCCCGGGTGAGGGGCAGCAAGCCCAGTCCCCTCTCATGAAAGGTGAACCCACTGGGGCCCAGGGAGGGGAAGCACATTGTGCCAGAATCAGACCCAGAACCTAAATGGTGGAATGAGTCCTTCCTTGGTTTCTCCGCCAAATATGTAAGTGAATAACACAGCAGTTAAAGAGGCAGGTGCAAGACTCAGCCGGCCAGGGCTTAAGTCCTAGCTCTACCACGTGCCACAGCTCGGGCTGGTGACTTCACCTTTCTATGTCCTCATCTGTGACACGGGTTCAGTGGTCACCCATCGAAAACTGGGGATTTATTGGTGACCAGAAGGATCTTGTCCCTCCCGTCAGGTTCCACTGGCGGGTGAGGAGTTGCAGCATGCCAAACACACTGCCAGGTGCTTTCTCAGATGCTCTTGTTTAACTTGCATCTCTTCCAGGGTTAGCTGCTGTCCAGGTTTACTCTGCATGACTTGGAGGCCTCGAGACCAAATGAGCCTTCCGGGAAGTTAGGGTCTGGAGCTGCAGTGCAGTTAGGAAAACACGGGCAGCCCCCTTGCAGCTCGGAGGGAGTCAGCTTGTGGAAGGGTAACTGCCCCACAATGGGTGGGAACAGGCGCTGGGCTCAGAACTGCAGAGGAGAAACAGGCTCAGGAGGGACAAGCAACCCTCGCTGGCAGCATCCTTTACAAACTTACCTAATTTTTGTAAAATGTTCCCTCGATTTTTTAAATTAAAAAAATGTTAAATGTAGAGGTCAGATGCAGTGGTTCATGCCTGTAATCCCAGCACTTTTGGGAGACTGAGGTGGGTGGATCACTTGAGGCCAGAATTTTGAGACTAGCCTGCCCAATGTGGTGAAACTCTGTCTCTACCAAAAATCCAAAAAGTAGCCAGGTGTGGTGGCATACACCTGTAGTCCCAGTGACTCAGGAGGCTGAGGCAGGAGAATCACTTGAACCCTGGCGGCAGAGGCTGCAGTGAGCCAAGATTGCACCACTGCACTCCAGCCTGGGTGACAGAGCAAGACCCTGTCTCAAAAAAAACCGTTAAATGTACAGAAAAGGAACACCCATATAACCCTCACCCAGATTTACCAACTTGTGACATTTAGCCAATTTAGCCATATTTGCCCGTGCATGCAGCTCCTGAGCTGTTAGAAAATAAACTGCTTATTCTGTAAACCTGGACTCAGAGGGGAAAAGGAAAGAAAAAGAAATTGCCTAGGTCATTTTTAGTCCATCCTCCAGAAGCTTCATAAATCACCGAGTGTCCCTTCCCAGAATGTACATCAGTGCTGCGTGACCCCCACTTCTATGCATAAGGGTGGCCTTCTTGCCTTAGGTTTCACCGAAGGCTCTTGGTAAACAATGGCCTTGTGTTCTGAGTTCCCTCTTACCCCTACCCTGCCCTCCCAGAACCAGAGGTGTGCAAAGGTTCCCTGCACACCCCCTACTGCTCTGCTGTAGTTACACCTAGGGGCAGGTTCCTCATCCTCAACCCCCATAGGTGCCCTTGTGGGTGTGTGTCAAAAGCCTCTCCCCCTTACAAAGCTGCTGTGTGCCTGGCAATCCTTGGGAAAGAACCACTTCAGATTGTTTGGGGAAACATCCTTAGCAACAAAAAGGCAGAGGGTTACAACAGGAAAACCCTGACTTCGATGTAGACCTTTGTGGGTATGGGAGGAGGTGATACCTGCATTTGTCATCAGATTGTGGAGAGTTGAACCCTCTGACTGTGAAATGGGTCTGTTAATCTGGCCTGGACCAGAGCCAGTTCCTCTCTAGCACAAGATCAGACCTCCCGCTCTGGCACAACCTCGGATGCAGTCACTAGGTAACCCAGTAAGCTCCTGGCCTGTTCCTCCTTCCTCTACCTGTGAATACAGCATGGCTGAAGCCCAAAGGATTCCAGTTCTGCTGCTTCCTCCTCAGTGTGGGTGGCCTGCCCCAGCATTTCTCACAATGAACCCTCTAAGTGGGATGGCAGGCACTGTGGCATGAAGAGTCCGGGAGCAGCCCTCTTTTGCTTTAGGTGGCGGTTGATCGGGGGCGTGGGGACAGGTGAGGGCAGAGCATGGAGCCACTGAGCTGGGGACAACATCCAACTAAGCCACTTCCACTGGGGCTCTGGGCGGGTTATTTCACCTCTCCAAACCCCACTGCTCATGTCATGGTACTCATCTGTAAAATGAGAATTTAAAAGGTACCTACTCAGTGTGTAGGGTTTATATGAAGACAAGCGAAAACAGGCCTGAAAGCATTTTTCATGGTGCCTGGGACACTTAATTTTATATCCATCCATCCATCCATCCATCCATTAGTTTAATTAATTTTTTTGAGATGGCGTCTTGATCTGTTGCCTAGGCTGGAGTGCAGTGGCACAATCTCAACTCACTGCAACCTCTGCCTTCGGGGTTCAGGTGGTTTTCCTGCCACAGCCTCCTGAGTAGCTGGATTACAGGCATGTGCCACCATGCCTGGCTAATTTTTTTTTCCTAGTAGAGATGGGGTTTCACCATGTTGGCTAGGCTGGTCTTGAACTCCTGACCTCAAGTGATCTCCTTCCACCTCAGCCTTGCAAAGTGATAGGATTACAGGTGTGAGACACTGTGCCCAGCCGATCCATTAATTTTATATCCATCCATCCATCCATCCATCCATCCATCCATCATCTATAGAGAGAGATACCACCATTAGGGAGTGGTCTGTACCTTAAAATGCTTAAGTGTTACTTGCATCTCCCCCATGAATCATGGAGGGTGGGAGGGAGTAGTATGGGTGCCCCTGGATGTTTGCACCGTCAGCCAGCCAGGACCCAGGTTGGCGTGTCCCCAGCTTATGTGGCGGTGGCCTTTGCAGGTGCAGAGCTACATGGAGCACCACTGCAACAACTCCACGGACCGGCGGGTTCTGCTCATGTTCCTGGACATCTGTTCAGAGCTGAGTAAGCTCTGCCAGCACTTTGAGGCCGTGCACTCTGGCACCCCAGTCACCAACAACCTCCTCGAGAAATGCAAAACCCTCATGAGCCAAAGCAATGACTTAAGCAGCCTCAGAGCAAAGTAAGTCCCTGTGGTGCTGCCCCCGAAGCCCCGTTTGTGCCTGTGGGAGGCCCCTGTGCTGCATCCGTCCTGTTGCCTGGACCGTGCGGCTCCTGTTAGACCACCCTGGGCAGCAAATCCCAGGCTCCCTTTATTTACTGGATTGGCGTGGATTCCACACAGCCTTTTCTTTACAACCATTATAGACATGGCAGGACACCAAGCATCTCACGGGAGTTAGCACCAGGCAGGTGGAGAAGTGGGTGTAGAGCCTAGAGCAGTTGCTCTGGAAGCCCACAGAGATCCTCACTGATGTGCAAAGAAGTGGACCCAGAGCTCCCTCCCGGGGCAGCAGCACTGCCACTGCGGGCTTCTCACCGTGATAGCCCGGGAGCCCGGGAGCCCAGGAGCCCACAGCACAGTGGGCTGGAGCCTGGGGAAGCTCTGTAGATACCAGGGTGAGAAGAGCCAGAGGGACAAGCCAACCAGTTCCTCACCCCTAAGCCAGGTTCCTACGGACCATGGGGAGTGCTTTGCACCTCCTATCTTTCACACCAGAATTACCTGGGGCTTGTGGCCCGCCAGGCCTGCTCTGCCAGAATCTCTGGAGACAGCCTGAGCATGCTGTGTGTCTAGTTCTAAAGCCTCCCTCCCCAGGTGACTCTGCTGTGCCAGAGGTCTGGCAGCTGCAGTCCCGGGAGCATGGGCTCACCCAGCCCCCTGCCATCCTGCAGATACCCTCATGACGTGGTGAACCACCTCAGCTGTGACGAGGCTCGGAACCACTATGGAGGTGTGGTCAGCCTCATCCCCATCGTCCTGGACTTAATGAAAGAATGGATCGCCCACTCCGAGAAGTTGCCCCGCAAGGTGCTGCAGCACGTGAGTGAGCCCCAGCCGTGCCAGGAGAGTACCAGGGGAGCCGCTCGTCCTGCCCAGGCCACAGGCACCCAGCTCGGGGCCACTAAACTCAAGTGTAGACCGCTCACAAAAGGCAGCCTCAAACCCAGGGGGGAAGACAAAGGACATTCAAAACCGCCCTGGAGGCCTCCTGGTGGGAAACTGTAACTCAGCCAGGGTGCCCCGTCACTCCATCAGTGGAGAGCTTTGCTATTTAATTTGGATGTTACTGGTTGGTCCTTTTTCATTGGCACCCATCGTTCCTGTCACTTACTAACCCCAAAGGGAATCAGCCTTTACTGAGACCCCCCCATCCCCGGCTTTAACTTCTAACGTTTCCACTTCTACGCATCAGGCTCTGTGCTGATGAAGAGGAAACCCACTTACAGGAGCTGCCCAAACAGGGTGGCGTGGTAGAGGGTCCCAGGAAGGCACTGAACTGTCACCTAGTCCTCTGTGAGCCATACCCGGCTCCAGTGCCAGGCCTGTTCCTGCTGCAGGCTGCAGCTTTGCAGCGAGCCATTTAGCTGGAGACCATTGCTCCTTGCCCCACCACCAGCCCCAACTGTAGTCAAGGCACACACTGTCTGCGAGTCAGGGATGTGCCCCTCCAGGATGGAGACAGGGTGGGCATGTGGAACTCAGTGTGTTTATTTTTATTTTTTGAGATAGAGTCTTGCTGTCTCTCTCAGGCTGGAGTGCTGTGGCACCATTTCGGCTCACTGCAACCTCCACCTCCCGGGTTCAAGTGATTCTCCTGCCTCAGCATCCTGAGTAGCTGGAATTACAGGCACCTGCCACCCGTCCTGGCTAATTTTTTTTTTTTTTAGTAGAGATGGGGCTTCACCATGTTGGCCAGGCTGGTCTTGAACTCCTGACCTCAACTGATCTGCCCAACCCGGCCTCCCAAAGTGCTGGGATTACAGGTGTGAGCCACTGTTGCCAGCCAGATCTCAGTGTATTTAGTTCTCCAGACCACAGCCAAAGGGGAATGCACTCACCTTTCCTTCTCGCTTACTTGGGAGAGGGAGACCATGACAGAAGCCAGAATTCTGACTTTGTGGCTCCTGAGCAAGGGCATCGTCAAACCCCAAACACTGTGAAATGTGTCCCTGGCTTCTGAGCTTGCCCAAAGTAATATCTGACTATTGGTTTTTCCCTTCACAGGGGACGACTTAGCTTCTGTATTGTTGCTTCCTCAGGGGGAGACAGTCGAGAATAAAAAGTGTTCTACCACCTCTCTGCCTGGCTTGGTTTCCTGGGATTTATCCCTGAAAAAAAAACCCGCGTGTCTCCTGGGCAGTAGCCACAGAGGCAAAACCGCCGCAGACAGCAGAGGGCCACCCTAGGCAAGGGAGCATGCCTGTCTCTAGTCAGCTTCTAAGAGGTTCATGCCCAAGCTCCAGAGGGCCAGTATTCAGATCTTCTGCCAAGGGTGGGAAGTCTAGGATAAGAAAGAGACCCTGTCAGATAAAACCTGAATTTTCCAGAGAAATTAAAAACTGCCACCTGCCAGTTTTAGTCTCAAAATTGTTGCTTCAACCATTAAAATGGGCAGAGCAGGCTGGGCATGGTGGCTCACACCTGTAATCCCAGCACTTTGGAAGGCTGAGGTAGCTGAATCACTTGAGGCCAGGAGTTCGAGACCAGCCTGGCCAACATGGTGAAATCCTGTCTCTACTAAAAATACCAAAAAATTAACCAGGTGTGGTGGCAGGTGCCTGTAATCCCAGCTACTTGAGAGGCTGAGGCAGGAGAATCACTTGAACCTGGGAGGCAGAGGTTGCAGTGAGCCAAGACCGCACCACTGCAGTCCGGCCTGGACAAGAGTGAGACTCTGTCTCAAATAAATAAATAAATAAATAATAAAATGAGCAGAGCAATGCCAATTTCCAGACACAGCCAGGCAGAGGCAAGCAACTGAAAGCCACATTGCAAATGACTCATCCCTGGTCCTTACATGGAAGTCCCAGGCCAAGAGATCATAAACCAAATTGTGTAAAGGCAGTTTCCGGCCTTCTTCCAAAGCCTTGAAGGGCATGGAGCAAGGGGTGCTGGGAGCTGCACTGTCACCTCAGTGCACTCACATTATCACCACCAGCCAGGCTCAGGAGAGTGAGCTCTGGAGCACTGACGTGTCAGTGGGGTGCCACCAAAAGGACTCCGTGGCACCCAACATGCCAGGCATAGCACAGCAGCACAACCCCGCAGACCACCTGGCTCTGGGGTTTCTCTGTAGACAGGATTTAAGTCACCCCCTCCCACACTATGCCACTAAGCCACTCTCTGAGGAAGAGCATGGATTTGTGGCCGTGTACCAGATAATTCACCAGAATAAAAGGGTCTTCTTAGAGACAAAAGCCCAAATCCACTATTTGTCAGGCCCCTCCCTCCTCAAGTTACTGAAGATAGCCAAATCAGACCCTAAGGCTTTCTGTCTCTGGACTAGTCCCCTGCTTGACCTATAAGCCTGCCAAGGCCACTGTAAGTCACTCCATGTCCACACAGCAGAGTAGTGCAAAACGATAAATTTTTATTTGTTCACAGTTAAACACAAGCAACTGCCTTGACATTTGAGAACATTCTAAGGACAGCAAACCCTTTTGATTCCAATTCCCGTTCACTAAGATTGTACCATTTCATCTTGCAGTTCATATTCATGGCATCCGATGTGGATTGTTGACATGCTTTTAAGATTGAGGCGGGAAAGCTTAGACCTTTTGACAAGAGCTGACTTTCAATTTAACTAAAAGCAGTCCGTTAAAAAAAAATCAGTTTCTTTTCACTGATGGGACCCCTTTAAATTGCAAGTTTGCCACACATGGTTCATCCATGATTGAGTTATAAAACTAGATTATGTCTTAGCAAAATCTGTTCCTCCGTAATATATTTGTGGTCCATAGAAGTCGTCTGAAAAGTGATTATTGATGCTTCCTAGTGCAAAATGCATGGCTGCCTCTTTCATAAGCCCAAGTATTTGCTACACAGAGCAGCTCCTGTCCAAACACTGGGAGAGGTGGGGAAAGGGAGGGAAGGGTTGGTCTGGGGGTTCTCAAGACTCTCAGGGTCTCCCCTGAAAGGTCCATGCTAATGGTTAAATCAGCCTACTTATCCCAGAGAATGGATAATGTGGCACGGGGAAGCGGGGCGGAAGCTCCTCTGCCTTCATTAACTCGTTTCATGACCAAAAGCCATGGGCACAGGTGCTCGGCTCTTCCAGGCAGGCTCCCCCTGTAGCTGTAGCCGCTCTTCCCTCAGGCGAGCAGGTATGGACTGCAGGATGGCATGGAAGAGACAGGAACATAACCCCTGGGCACATCGAAGAGTCCCAGACAGGGAAACAAGCCACATGGGACAAGGGTCACAGCAGCAGCCTAGGGGCCAGTCCTCGACCTAAACTTGTTCTTTTACCTACAGACAAAAGCTTAATCAAGTGCAATCAATTACTTTGCAGCAATCTGGGGGGCATGTGTCACAGAACTCTGGATGTAAACAGATACACAAACATCTTCGGACTGGATACATTTTTCCAACACTCATCGCAGGTCTGTTTTAAAGCCTGTACCCTGGAGAGTGAAGATGCAGCAGACATGGTGTGCTGATTTGGTCACTGCACACAAGGCAGCTTTCTTCTCCAAGTGGGGCAGAGCCCCCTGGGGGGACCGTGCTCCAAGAATATCTGTAGGGGGCAGGCAGCACTCCATCTCACCAAGGTCCTGGCCAGGCCTTCACTCTGCCCAAACCCTCCTCCAGCCTGTACAGGCTTCCCCCCCGCCTCAGTGCTTTCAGTGAGAAAAAGTGAGTATTGTTACTCAGTACTTTCGTTTGCTCTTCAGTTCTTTCTTTCTTCAAGTGGTATGCTCTACTATTTGGTAGAAATTCACATTGGCTCATCACAGCACACTTCAGTTCTGCTGGCTACACGAAACATACCCAGTTTTCTATTCTTAACAGTGAGTCTGAGCCTCTGTGGTCTCAGACATCCTTTCATCCCCACAACCACTTTATATCCTCCTCTAAACAAGTGCTAGAGTTTTATCTTTCTCAACAAATATACCAGAAACTACACGTGCTGTTGTAAAGGGGACGGTCCAAGTCTGGGGTTTCACTCCCTGTTGTCCTGCTTTTGCCCAGTAATGTGCGGCCTGGTGTGTGAATTCTTCTAATTGTCAGTGGCTTCCAGGACCCGTTCCTGGGTTTAACAGCTCACCTTCTCAAACAGTTTGGACTGTTTCCCCCAACCACGTCACATAAACTTTGGCTCACAAAGTAGCTCACCTCTCGCCTCTTCACTCATCAAGCTTAGTAAGAAAATTCTGCAGCTTATTCCCAAAGGTTGGGCAGTTTTCTCTCCTGAAAACCACTGTGGGCAAACCTAGGGAGGTCACTGTCTGTCCACCTGCCTTAGGAATGCTGGGCCGGTACTCATCTCCAAGGGCATTTTTAACAACCTCTCCACCTAAGAAATGACCTTGACCTTCCTACCTTTGGGTTTCTTCCAATCCCATAAAAACAATTTTTATAGACTTTATGGCAGAGCCTTGTCAATGGCTTTTTGCAAATCCATAGAAGTTCTATCAGACGCAGATCTGTGTGCTTATTCACCTGCAGGGACTTGGGAGCTCATTTGCTCCTCGTCTTCTTATCCCCCTCCCCGCTAAAACTGTAGTGCTCCTTTTAAAATGAATCCCATGCTGCATAGCAGCAGACTCCAGGCTCCTCAGGGCCTGTGCTGACTCTGGTTAGTGTCAGGTGGGGAACCGAGTAGGTTATGCATATTGGCCGAACAGCTGAGACAGGTATCCTCGCCCATAGTGATTTCTGGACAGAGACCATCCAATCCCAGTATTTATGAATACCAAGCTGCTTAATTGGTTTCAAGGCAGACTCTGCCCTTAATGCTAACTGTACTAATGCCTTTGCCCAGGACTGAACTGCCTCTCGAGAGTCCTACTATCACCTTTTCATCCTTAAAACTAATCACTGCAGCATGATCAAGTGACCTGTTGACCCTTGGCAGGTTTATCACTTCCAAAACCAAACCAAACCTAACTACTGACTCTGGGGTTTTTTGCAACATAGAAGCCTACATTTTTAGGTTGGGCACTTTCAACCTAAGTCCAGGTCTCAATCCCCCAACCGTAGTTGAGTAAACCCACAGCCTCCTAGAACTCAAAGGCACCTGAGTTGCAGCGCCTTTGTTATAAAGCTGAGTAAAGGGACACCCAGGCCAGATGAATGAAGCTCCATCCATGGGGCTTCCAGCCTAGGCCTCTCACCACTTGACCAAGCTGCCTCCATCCACTTCTAAAATGTTTTTTCTTTTTCACGTGAGCCTCTTTTCCTTTGCCAATTAAGGAAAAGGCTTTAAGTGCCTGCTGTCTTGTTCCGTGGCACAGACCTCTTGGGCATGAAGAGGGGAAAGCACTTGTTTCAGGATTCACCCATGGGACTTCCTTCCCTTTCTAAATTTGTTCACATTTTCCTTTTCTAAAGCTGAACCAGGAAACTAGACTGTACTGGATTTTAAGCTTTCCTTTGGACAAAGCTGAATTAAATGTGTGGTATCACTAATACTCCACATCTGACATTCAGTGGTAACTGCCAGCCTGTGCTAGGCTGGGTAGGGACCTAGGGACCACACCCTGCCACAGGCTGGGAATCAGTCACACCCAGAAATCCTGCCCCAAACAGGTTTCTGCTGGTATAGCGAGGGTGACACGGAATCTCTGTCTAGTTCCCTCTAGTTAGGGATGCTGGAATATTTATTACCATGCTTTAAAAAAACAAAAACAAAAAAACTTTCATTCTCTCATGCTGGAAGCCTCCATGTGCACTAAGATTTCGTACCGTGAGAGGTTTTTTTTTTACCTCTTTGACTCAATCCTTCTCTTCTTTTTACTGTAAGAACAGAAACAGGAAAGCCAAGTTCTCTGGCTCCTTCTTACCAACTTTCCCCTGCCTCGGCCGGACACCAGGCAACAATTCTTAGGCTTCCAGCATTTATTTCAGGAGCATTTGTTGAGTTTGGTTCTTTGCCACTGCCGCTTTTCTGACTAATGTCCTCTCTCGTGAGCATATGGGGCAGCCTAGTGCCAGCATTCTCTGGACTCCGCTTAAATTGCTCTGCCATTACTAAAATGGAGAGTGTGATGACTCAGCTCCCTGGAGAGTCAGCCCCTAAAATTGGAATTGGTATGAAAAAGCTGCCCCCCTTCTGGTGGCCTAGAACCTGCTACAGCGAGGCAGCCGTCACGGCCTGAGAAATCATGGTTACATATACTTTGCAGAAACTCGTTTGGCCCTTCAGAGCCTTTCTGCTGCAGTCTCACAAATAAGCTGACATGAACAAGAGGCGTGTGCACACCAAGGAAGGCCAGCAGACAGGCGGCTTTAACAGAAGGCCCAGCAAGCTGAGACCAGCCTGCAGGTGCAGTTCCTCATGCTCAAGTGCTTCTCGGGTAACCTCTCCCAGTGACTCCTCCTTGCCTCCTACGAGAACAGGTTTTATGACCTACACATCAGCCAATAGTACCAGCATTCAAGCAAACACCAAATAAATAAGAGGTAGTAGGGGAAGAAGGGACAAGAGCTTTCCCAAAGGGTGTATGGGTTCTACAGTGCCAGCTCTAGATTTCGGAAACAACAGGCTTCTGTTCACACACAACCTTCTAGGAAGCTTATCAGAACTGCCAAAAGAATGTAATCATGAAGAAACCACTGTTTTTCTAGATCTGCTGCTTTAGATGCTGAACTTCAGAATCAAAAAGCAGTGGGAAAGTCTCTTGTAAAAGCTTTCATGTGAAGACAGCCAGCTTTGCAGGCTACATCCTCCTGGAAAAGACAAAACTGGACTTACCTGCAATGCAACAAACTACCTAGTCTCACTGAGAGCCAACCCAGTTATCTGAGCTTCAGAAAAGCAGAACGTGGTGTGTTAGACTCAAAAATTAAATTTGGCCTCATATTGCACAGGTTCAAAGGACGCAATCATTTGGGGCAGGAAGGAAGAAAATAAAGCTACTGAGGAACACCAACTGGCCCTTGGATTAGAACACACTGCGAGGTAAATGAGAAGAGGAGGTTAGGGGCGGGTGGAGGGGAAGGTCAAGAGGCATTTCGATGCCAGATCCAAAAACCGTTCTGCATTCAGTCAGCTGTCCAAAGGACCTCCGTCCCATTTCCACACATGAACTTGCACTCAGACCCTGGAAAGAGGAAAGCTTTGAAACGTGCATTCACACCTCCTGTTCTGTGCCAACGATATGCAAGTTAACACTGATTGACCATCATCCTTAGCTGTGTTCATGATGAGTCTCATTGTAGTCCATGATATGTAGCTGTCCAACACTGTCCGGGTTCGGGGGAGATGGGTGCGGGCCATCTAGGTTCAGGGAAGTCTTGGCTTCCACACCCAAGTCTTTGCCCAGTTCTGGCTTTATGCTCTCGGAAAGGCTACTGATGACCACGCCGTCCTCATCACATTGGCTCTCACTCTTATTACGAAATAACTCTCGGGCCTTCATACCCAGGAAGCTTTTTGAACTGGGAAGTGAGCCCACAGTGGTGGGGATGCTGGCAGAGGATTCTCCCATAGTTGTCTCCCACCGACTGCTGAAAGGGCCTGCCCTCTGGTTTGGGGGTTTCTCCGGGGTAGAAAGCTCACTGCTGCTGCTGCTGCCTCCACCTCCTCTGCTTCCACTACTGCCCCGAGTGCTGCTGGGCCTGGGGGTCTTGGTCTCACCGTTGTGGCCAGATGCCTCTTCATTGTGCCCTACTATGGAATCTGAGCAGCCATCATTACAACAGTCAAGCCTGTAAGAAAGCCAGGGAGGAAAAAAGGAGCTGGTGAGTAGAACGTTCACATTCGGAATACGTGGAATTGCACTGACGCTCACACTGATGACGAACTCTGCCAGCCCACTCTCTGTTTCATAATACTGGACTCAAGCAGGAGAGCTCATCAAGAGAAACCTGTCACAACTAGGGATACTAGGTGGCAATCTTAAATGTGAACACTTCCTGTGGCCATATGGAGGGACTCAAGGTCAGGAAAAGGAATACGGAGAGATCACTGGGCGTTTTGAGGAAAGGAACATCAGAGTGGTATCTCTGAAATGCAGTGAGCTGAGTGCTGCAGCCCTGTGTAATCAGCTGTAACTGCTTCCCACACCATGTAACACAGTCCTCGTGCTGGTATTGGCAGCTTAACCTGAAGGTCTTTCATCAGTTCTTTGCTCCTACCTTTCTTCTGCTGCTTCAGCTGCTTCTGCTTTTTCTTCTTCAAGTTTTTTCGGGAGGCCATCTTTCTCCAGCCTGCCATATAAATCTAAGATCTCCAATTCAAACACCTGGGTTATCCGTTTCTGAGCCTCATACCTGCTCTCTGCGGCCTGCAGCTGTCCTCTGAAAGATACAGACCAGCCAGAATATAGGAAGTTCCACTTAACAAAAAACACAAAAACCTTTCCTGATGAAAGTTACCTTGCCTGGAGTTTGACATCCTCTAAATATTTCTTCTGTTCCAAAAGAAGGTGGTCTTTCTTGGCCAGGTGAGATTCCAGTTCCAGAATCCGTTTTTGGGAGGTATCAAGCCTCTGAGTCTGCTGGATAACTTGGCTTCTGTTTTTTTCTAGCTCTTTCCGATAGGCAGCTTTCATCATTTCCACTTCCTTAAAAAAAAAAAAAAAAAAAAAAGACTAGAATTCATACTTATAAAAAATAAACATGCTGTATCCATTTTGAAAAGACAATGTAAGGACTGAGAAGGCCCTTTAGTATACTGATAGTAGAAATATAAACTAGTACAACTTTCTGGAAAGTAAGCTGGTAGTATTATCCTAGTAACCCTTTCTTGAAATCTATCCCCAAGGAAATCATGTAACATAAATAAGAATTTTGCACAAAAAATAATCACAGCATATTTATAACAGCAAAAACCTAGAAACACCATCATTTAAGTCTAATGTCAGGGGAACAGTTAAGTAAATTAAAATATATCCTATATTTCTAAGTCTTAAAAAATGATATGGTATCAGTAAAAAGATTAAAAAGCAGACTATAAGACTGTGTGAACAGTACAATCAACTATGCAAACATATACAAAACACCAAGTGAAAATATGCCAATATTCAGTTATCCTTTCAGTCTGGAGGTACCGCAGGCCACTTGCTTTCTCTTCTACTTTTCTCCCCTCCTGACAGTAGCGCAGGAAAGGCTACAGGATGGAACACCAAGGGAGCAGATATGCTCAAGCAAAGCAGCCTTTGCAGACTGGGTGCCCTGATGAGGTTTGCTGATCCTGCTATGGCAGATGGCCTCCTGCCGACAGACTAGACTGGCTTGAAACCCAGAGCAAATATACACTAATGCTCAGAAAGAAGGCAGAAAGGGTATTTTTCTAACAAGCCTGTGTAACATTTGTGTGTGTGTATGTGTGTGTTTACTGTGGTAAAATGTATGTAACATAAAATTGACCATATATATGTTTTCTGAAAAAGATAATAAGCCATAAACAGCAAGGAGATGAGCTTCATGAAGGTGCCCCTGCCTTGATGCTGTCTGGTAAGCCCAATTCTTCCTTGTTATAGAATGCTCAGAACTGGCTCTCAGTGTGGCTGTTCCAGCTGCGCTAAATGGCTCCAGACTTCAGCACAAGGCAGGTGAATGCATCTATCTGGCCTCTGTCATAAACAATAGGACTTCCTTTAGAGATAATAATGCAAGGCTTCGAGCCAGGAACATCTGCCAGGAACATCTGTGTACTCTCTCTAATCCTTACCAACTCCTACCAACCATTCCCACCTGATTCCCCACCACTCACTCTTCTTCCTCCTCTGGATGCAACAAGAGCAACCCCAGCTCCAGGTTCAGGGGCAAATCCTGACTGGGTCAAGGCATTAACTAGGCTAGGTTAGGGATGGGCACAGGACAGGCCTGGCCAACAGGGGAGATGAGAAGTATGGTGGAAGTGTCTGGGAAAGTTGTTTTTTTTTTAAGACAGAGTCTCGCTCTGTCACCTGATTGCACCCAGGATGGAGTGCAGTGGCACGATCTCAGCTCACTGCAACTTCTGCCTCCTGAATTCAAGTGATTCTCCTACCTCAGCCTCCCAAGTAGCTGGGACTACAGGCATGTGCCACCACGTCCAGCTAAATGTATTTTAGTAGAGACAGGGTTTCCCCATGTTGGCCAGAATGGTCCTGATCTTCTGACCTCATGATTTGCCTGCCTCGGCCTCCCAAAGTGCTGGGATTACAGGCATAAGCCACCATGCCTGGCCTGGGAAAGGTTTTCTTGCTGAGAAAGAAATGGGAAGAGATGCTCTCCTCCTCTGTGGGACATCATGTCTGCCAATGGCACACACCTGGCAACCATAAGTGCAGGTAGCTGGAGGACAAGGCCTACAGGATAAGCGAGGCAGTGCAAAAGAGTGGAAAGAGCCTGGCTCCTTGACGCTGCCTCTGAATGCCAGCTTGACCAACCTGGAACTCACCTGCCTCAGGACCTCTTGTCAAGTAATCAATAAAATTCTTCACTCTTAGGCTGGCTTAGTGTTTTTTGTTTTTGTTGTTTTTTTGGAGATGAAGCCCTTTTTTTTTTTTTTTTTTTTGAGACAGAGTCTTACTCTGTCACCCAGGCTGGAGTGCAGCAGTGCAATCTCGGCTCACTACAACCTCCGCCTCCCAGGTTCAAGCAATTCTCTGCCTCAGGCTTCCGAGTAGCTGGGATTACAGGCTCCCACCACCATGCCTGGCCAATTTTTATATTTTTAGGAGAGATGGGGTTTCACCATATTGGCCAGGCTGGTCTTGAACTCCTGACCTTGTGATCCACCTGCCTTAGCCTCCCAAAGTGCTGGGATTACAGGCATGAGCCATCAGGCCTGGCCGGTCTAGAACTTCTGAGCTCAAGCAATCCTCCTATTTCAGCCTCCCAAGTAGTTGGCACTATAGGTGTGTGCCACCGGGCCCAGCCCTAGTTTGGTTTTTGTTGTCTACAACTGAAGGCATCCTGACTATCACAACTCAGCTGCATCACCCCTGTTCTATGAACTGGGAAACAGGGCCCCAAGGAGAGGTGGCTACTCAAGGTCCCAAAGAGCACAAGCCATCTAGGCTTCTCTCAGGAGATGACACGGGCGTGTCTCAGCAGCGTTATCTTGTGCCTTGGATCTGTTTTTCCCCCTTTCTGTTCCCAAAGCCATTACACCTCAAAAATAAGTGACGGCTGCTTTCTAGAGAAAGTCCCACATCTAACATCCTTCTAAAAAAGGGCGTCTGTATCTCTGAGCTGAGAGGAGCCAAGAAATAAAGAGCAATTCTATTTGGAAAATTACTATCTCTAGTTCTAAGACTCCTCTCTATATCCGGCTAAAAAAAGACTCTTTACAAAGCACATGCCCAAGAAACCTAAAAAGAAGGCCCTTGTGTGATGGAGAAGTTAGTGACAGGAAGCATCTGAGCAGCTACTATTACAATTCTATTCCCAACTCATTCACTAACATGACCTGAGGCTATTTATAAAGTGAGTTAAAACTTCTGCCTCCACACCACTGGTGAGGCACTAATTAACATAAGATCATCCCAGTGCTGGCCTTGTTGCCAGGACTGAACTACCATCGGCAGAAATCCAACATTAAAAGGAAAAAAAAACTGGTATGTATACCAAGCTATACCCATCGTCCTGAGAGGTAGGGTTAAGCACAATAGGTTCCCCAGCCTTTTATCCTCTCCCTCTTTTAAAGGGGGCATAGGGAAGAGAAAGGAAACACTTCACACCTACTCTGTACCAATTACTATTAAGTGCTTTCCGCTTAACTTCAAAGCAACCCAGGAAGGAGAAACAAGCTCACATGGTGGCTGGAAAGTGCTTGTAGAGCTGGACCAGGGAGCAGTGGGACTGCCACTCTGTCTTTTAGGAAACAAGTCATAAAGCCATTCTATATGACATGCCGGAGACTTACTGTCTGGGTCTGAAAAGCTTTCCCCACTAAGGTCTGGCTCCCCCAGCCCTGGCATACCTTTGTGGTATCTGAGTGCTTGTTCTGCAGTTGTTCCAAATATAGCTCGTTGACCTCCCCAAGAACCAACAGCTGTCTGTTCAAGAACTCCATCTGCTGCTGGACCGACTCGCTGTTTGAGAGCTAACCAAAAACATAAGCAAAGTGAAAAATCCGACGACATAAGACTAGCACGTGGGCATTAAACAGGGAACCAACTAGGAGCACAATATTTCAATGTTAAGGCAAAATGACCAAGTCCCAGGGTTTTACAGTCCATGACAGGTGGAGAGCTTGGCACCCAAGGACAACAAAAATAGACAGCAATGCACTTCAGAACTGTGCTCTGCAACGGGGAAGCAGCACAAATGCGGTCCATCAAAACTGACCACCCGGCCGGGCGCGGTGGCTCACGCCTGTAATCCCAGCACTTTCGGAGGCCGAGGTGGTGGGTGGATCACGAGGTCAAGAGATCGAGACCATTCTGGTCAACATGGTGAAACCCCATCTCTACTAAAAATACAAAAAAAATTAGCTGGGCATGGTGGCGCGTGCCTGTAATCCCAGCCACTCAGGAGGCTGAGCCAGGAGAATTGCCTGAACCCAGGAGGCGGAGGTTGCGGTTAGCTGAGATCGCGCCATTGCACTCCAGCCTGGGTAACAAGAGCGAAACTCCGTCTCAAAAAAAAACATTGACCACCCACAGAACACCTGGAGCAGTTGGACAGGTATATGACCAAAGTCCAGTGGGATAAACCCTAGGGAAAACTCACTGTTCTTGAGTAAATGATGTCAAAAGTGCAATGATTCCCAAAGAAGGAGGACTCACATTCAAAAGCCCGAACAAACTTTTTACACTGATGTAAACGAGGTATGAAGAAAGAGTCCCACGGGATACACACAGACCAGGATTTGGATACTTCTTTGCTGCATGGGCTGCCTGGGCACTGTAGGATATTTGGCAGCATCCTGGCTCCTACCCACTAGATGCCAGTAGCACCAAAAACATCAACCTAAAATGTCTCCAGACATTGCCAAATGTCAGGGAATATGAAGCCATGACACAGAAAGTCAAGTCACAGGTTTCTTCCTCCTGTCTGAAGGAAACAGTGTTGGAACAGACTCAGGTCTGCCTCACTTCTTACCTTTTGAGACACCTGGCTGAGCAGCAGCTCAGTGTGACACACCTTGTTGTTGGCCTTCTTCAATTCTAGCCGCAGCTCTGCGATCATGTTCCTGCAGTCCTCCAGCTTGGTCTACCCAAAGAGACGTGGACATGAAGTTTCAGGAGCACTGACAGGCCAGATCACAAGCCTACCTGGCCACCAGCCCACAGAGAACTGGGAATGCCTAGCTCATTGACTCTACTATTCTTGGGCCCTCAGGATTTGACATCTTAGTTTAAAAAAGTAAGTTATGGCTGATTTCTGAGTGCCTCACTGTTTAACAAAAGAAACAAAGAGACCTTAGATCCTCAGTTCCCAAACTGTGCACCAAAGAGCCCTGAGGCTACACAGCAAACTCACAGGGATGCTGCAGAAAGATTTTAAATTTTCGAGGGAGACACAGCGCCATCTGTTGGACACCCTGTGAATTACTAACTGGCTGGAGATGATGCTGCGTGTCTGTGGATGAAGCTGGGCTTTTTTGGTTGCAGCGATACAAGGTACCACAAGGAAAACCAATGTGAAACAGGAAATGAGGGTGTCACTGTTCACTCTGATTTCAAGGTCTGAGACACCATGCAGTGCCCAATAGGTGCAGTTATTTTTTTTTAAATTTATATCTATTATCTTCAAACAGCTACTAAGTTCTTAGGACATTAATACACACTAAGTTATTCAGATCTAGTTAATGAGCAGAACTGTTTCCTTCTGGCTGCAGAAGTGTTTCTTTTTGGCTGTAGAAAAAAAATTACTGAGACACTAAGGGAGCTATTAAATGAACCAAGAAAGTTGGGGAACCTCTGCCCTAAGAAAGATTCACCTGCCATGAAGAATCTCTGCCATGATTTCAGAGAGAAGAGCATTCAGCTTAGTGAAGCTGAACAAGTCCAGGACATCCAAGGAAACCCGCTGCCTCCCTCTCTACTGCTATCCAGCATTCTCGCGGTTGACTCTGCCTGGTGGTGGTTTATACCTGTAATTCCTGGCTCTGGTTATAGAATTCCTCTCGGTCATGCTGCAGCTGTCGGATCTGGCTGTGGAGCTTGGTTACCATAGTGTCACGCTGCTCCTGAAGCTGACTGTATCTAGCTTGTTCTTTCTGCAGGCTAACTTTCCACATCTGGATGTCTTTCTCTTGTAACTTCAACTGATCTTTCTAGCAGAGACCAGAAATGTCATCATTTTAGCTGTCTTCCAACACAGGCAATTTAATACACACTGCAAACATTTCATCTGAACAGTCAAGCTACCCTGACAATGTAAAACTACAGACCCAAACTCAGAGCTCACTACTGTCTTACTTGGCTTTAGGTCAAGGTTTTCCAAATTTAGCATTAAGCAAATGGATCTTAGTTGCTTAAAGAAATCTTCTCAGGGATCAAATTGCTTCCAACACTTTCAAAAGTCTGACTGCCAACAATGGAGTAAAATCTCTCATACATGGTACTAAGTTCACTAGATGATGAGCATTTACTGAATGCTTGCAGTGTGCTGGGCACTGAGCAAGTGCTTACCGACATCATTTCTTTAAACCATCACAACTTAAAGAGTAGGTGCTGCTATTATCACTTCCATCTTATAGCATGGCTAACAGAGGCTTCAAGAGGCTGTTACTTTTCTAAGGTAACACTGCTAGAGCCGAGATTCAAACTCCAGGTCTGACTGGCTTCACACCCACTGTACAATACACACTTCCATTCTGTACCATGAAATAGCTTTACAAGAGTTAGTTTTATGGAAAAATAAAATCATCTTCTGATCCTTCATCATCATGGCCGATTACACACAAACATACACACAAAAAATCACTTGTCCCCGTGATTTCTGAGAATTCTGAGGGAATTCTGAGACGTAACCATTCATGTCTTAACCTCAAGTGACCTGCCTGAAGGATTGGGAAGGACTGGGAACTCTGACCTCCTCAGCTTTACAAGCTATCATGCTGACCCAAAATAAAACAAGAAGTGAGCTCCACCTGCCCCTCCCCAGTCCTCACCATGGCAGCATTATGTTCCTCCAGAGCTGCTGCTTTGATCACCTTGCGGAGGAGCCGCCTGTTCCGCAGGGCATGCTGCTGCCTCTTAAAACGCTCATAGAGTAACTGGTTGTGCAGTAAAAGCAACTGGTCTCGGAGGGTGCGGATCTCATCTGAAGGAGGAGAGCCTGATTTAAAGCAGAGGGAGGGTGGCACAAATGCCTTTTACAGATTGTTCAATCAAGCCCCTTCCCATGTGTTGTTAGCTTAACAAACACAATTCTTTAAAACAAATTACCACTCTCTTGGCAAACGATCACTTGGCTCCCAGTAACAGGAGGGGGAAGATATGGACTATGTGTCTCCCTTGTGAAAGAATGCAAAGGGTTGTATCACGTGGGATGACTCTTTGAGAGCTTGCTTTCTTTTCCCCACAAATCGAGATCACACATTTCAGATGCCCTTTCTACTTCTCAAGGCCCTTCCTTCACTGGTGCCTTGTCCCCCAGGAAGACTCAGCTGCACCGCCCACCCCACGTGGGTCTTTTCTAGGGAAGCATGGCATGAAGTCTGTACTGTGTGTACTTCTTCTCTCAAGTGCATGCTACTTGCCACTTTTCAAAAATAAGAAATGCTGACTTTGCAACACTGAAGATCTTTTAGCAGGCAGATAGCCTGGCTGGAGCAACAGCCAAGGGGAGATGTGTTTCCCAGAGGGCACCTCCTTCAAGGACAGAAAGGGCAACAAGCAAGTAGGAACCATGTGGAGTATACAACTTTACCTCCAAAGTGGGTCCAGTCGACAGACTTGCTGGGTAAAGGCAACCTAGGAAGAAAGTTTTTGAGTAACAAAGTTACCGGTCATACCAAGAAAAGAACTTATTTGGACTTTTACTTGCAGCAAGGTTAGATTACTTCCTTGTGGTCAGAATTCGCAATGGCATAAGAATGTTTCAAGCTCCAGGTCCACAGAGAATTACAGAAGCCTACAGTAGATGCAATGGGAGGTGGCCCCACTGCCTACGACCTGGTCTCCAGAGTGGAGAGGGCCTCAGCCTGACCTCCACTGCACACACCACGGCCTCTGTTTCTGAGGCCAGCTCTCCAGAGAAACTGAGTAGTCAAACACACTGAGAGCCATTTTCAACCCTGTCCATTTAAATATACAGGGAGTACACTCTGTTGTAAAGCTACTGCCATTCAAATTTAAGGAAAAAGTAAGTAATTTACCTGAGCCTATCACACCAAATCTCATTTTAAAAAGAGAGTTTAAATATTATTACCCCTGCCAATTGCCACCATAGCATAGTATATAAGAAGAAAAATAAAAATATTCCCTAAGCACCTGTAAAATAGCTAATAAAATAAGGATGGGAAACAGTTTCTCAGCTAGATTCCTATGAAAACTTATGTGCCTCTGGGGGTTTGAAGGGGATGTCAGGCCACCTGAACTTGCACAAAATGGTGGTGATTTTATCCTCCACCTAAATGAACTATGATGCCAAAACAGAAAATGAGAATGATAATCTGCAGCTAGAGAGGGAAACACTGTGACAAATACTCCTATATTCTCTGAAATTCCACAACCTCATTTTTACCTACAGCTTGCAGAGGGCACACATGAAAGCACTGGAGTGTCCTCAGAGAACAGAGGCACAAAATAGCCTATATAAAAAGACTCATCTGAAATGGACTGCTAAGGAGTCATCCCAACTTAGGTGCACAGAGGTCACACACGGTTACACATGTGAAGATGCAACAGCTAAGAAGGACATCTGACAAACAGGAGAGAACCAGCTGCCTCAGGGTGGGAGTGCGAAGAATGATTCTTGTTCCTTCCTTACGCTTTTTGTACTTTACAATGGAATGGACCATTTAACACAGAAGAGAGGGCCCCAGTCTCTTACTTGTTCAGCTCCTTGCTGTGCGCGTCTGCTCCCTGCTCTATCAGTCTGTCCAGCACTTCCACTGGGGAGGTAGAGGGCACACCATCTTCCTCTGTGTTTCCTTTTGCTTTCTTTAACAGCTCCTCAGTCTTCCTGATGACAAAATGATGGGCTGTCTTTGGCAATGCCACCTCAAAAAGATGATCATACGGGGGAGGCTGCCCACTTCCAAAGCCCCCTCTCCTCTGAGGTGGAATTTTACAAGGGCTGGGAGTGAGGATACTGGTCTCCACAGAAGTCTGGCATTCCCTGCCTCCTGCAGGGCTTTCATCAGCACCACCGCAGGGCAGGTCTATGGGAGTAAAGGCTTGCTTTGGTGTATCAGGCCCAAGCTTGTCCAGGGAGGAGTGTAAAGGCTCAGGGTTCATGCTGGTGCCCTGAGCACTGGAGGCTGCTGAATGGGTCTTCCTCTGAGAACCTGAGAGACTGTCTCGGTAAAAGGGAGAGTCAAAGCCTCCTCGAGGAACCACAGGCTCGACCTCTGCTGTGGTGATCTCAGAAAGTTCTCTAGATATTGCAGCTGAGAGGATGAGAGGAAACAAGAGAAACAGCAGTCAGTATTCCATCTGGGAAAGGCTAGACAGTTTGGGTTGCATGCTGCCACGTACCGGCGTCACTCAGAGGGGAGAGAAAAAATGGCATCCAGCTGGGCATGGTGGCTCATGCCTGTAAATGCCAGAAGTTTGGGAGGCTGAGGCGGGAGGATCACTTGAGCCCAGGAGATATTGACCAGCCTGGACGACATAGGGAGATCCCATCTCTACAAAAAAAATAAAATAAAATAATCAGCTGAGCATAGTGGTGTATGTTTGTGGTCCCAGCTACTCAGGAGGCTGAGGTGGGAGGACTGCTCAAGCCTGGGAGGTCAAGGCTGCAATGAGCCATGATCATGCCACTGCACTCCAGCCTGGGCAATGGAGCAACACTCTATCTAAAAAAAAAAAAAAAGGGTGGGGGGCGGACAACTCTTTACCTGGCATAGATCCCAGACTAAACCACCCATCTTGTTACTTCAAGAGAAGATCAATCAAGCAAGCCTGTGAACACTGGTACAAAATCCCAGATTTACAGCAGAATGAGGGTCAGGTTTTGTCATCTCACAGCAATCCCACATGCATTACCTTCTTCTTTATCTTTTTCAATACTATCTTCTTCAGAGGCCAGATCACCTAAAAACCCTGGAAGATCACTTAGAGTGACAGAACCTTTGCTGCCAGGTGGCTCTTCTGAAGAGAAACAAAGAAAAATGAAGTCAAAGAAATCCAGTATAATCCCTGTAAGTGTAAAACTGCTTTCACTATATGGAATAAGTCTGTAATAATTCTTCCTGTTGAACAGAGAAGGCTGGACATGGCTCTGCCCTGGGGATATTACAAATGACTGAGATGTTAAAAACAATATAACTATAAGTACCAAAAATAATCCTATAGAAAATAAAATTCTCAGTTCTTAATGTCTCTGAAAACAGACACCAATAGTTTAGCCAAGTCAAAATACAGGTACTTCATTGCAATAGCTTAAAAACTGTTTTTGATATTATTAGGTTGGCTTTTAGAATTCTCTACTTGTTTGATTATCTGTAGACCTCAGTATTTTGGATATCCCAGAATTTCCTTGTCTTTTCTTAAACACATATAACCCAATTAGAAGAAGCAAGAAAGGCCTGTCATGAGGCAGAAACTTTACCTAATCCTCTGTCATTCAGAAGATGGTGCTGTCTGTGTAGACATGGTCTTGCAGAATCCATTCGCTCTTCCTGAAAAGATACGTATCACTTATATCACAAAGCGAAAAATGTTATACATGTTCTTAAGCATACTGTAAAGTAGTTTAAAGGTCAGCCCAGTGATTCTCAAATTGTTTGGATGCTTTCTTTACAGTCTTAAAAATGACTGCAGGCTGGGTGTGGTGGCCCACGCCTGTAGTCCCAGAACTTTGGGAGACGGAGGCCAGTGGACCCCTTGAGCTCAGGAGTTTGAGGCTAGCCTGGGCAACACGGCAAAAACCCATCTCTACAAAAAATTTAAAAATTAGCTGGGTGTGGTGACCAGTGCTTGTAGTCCCAGCTACCCAGCAGGCTGAAGTGGGAGGATCACCTGAGCCAGGGGGTCAAGGCTGCAGTGAGCCATGATTGTGCCACTACACTTCAGCCTGGGAGACAGAGTGAGACCGTGTCTCATACACACAAAATAATAATAAGAAGAAGATTGGAGAATCCCAAGAGCTTTTGTTTATGAGGCATAATTATTGTATTAGAAAACTGGGAAATTTTAAAAATATTTATTAATTCCCTTAAAAATAAGTCCATTACAAGTTAATATAAATAACATACATATTCTTATTTAAAAAAAAAAACTATATTTCCCGAAATAAAAATAAATGTAGTGAGAGGAGTGGAACATTTTTGCGATCTCTTTAATATGTGGCTTTGTGAAAGATAGCTGAATTCTCATAACTACCTTTACATTCCATCTGTTGCAATATGTTATTTTGACTCAAGTGTATAAAGAAAATCTGGGGCCCCACTGATATGTAATTGTAAAAGTAAACATATGTGTTGGTTTTTTTTCTTTTTGAGACAAGGTCTGGCTCTGTCACCTAGGCTGGAATGCAGTGGTGTGACCATGGCTTACTGTAATCTCTGCCTCCTGGGCTCAAGCCATCCTCCTACATCAGCTTCCCAAGCAGCTGGGATTACATCTGGGTAATTTTTTTTTTTTTGGTAGAGATGGGGTTTTGCATGTTGCCCAGGCTGGTCTTGAACTCCTGGGCTCAAGCAATCTACCTCCCTCAGACTCCCAAAGTGCTAGGTACAGGAGTGAGCCACCGCACCCAGCCACAAAATGTAAACATATGTTAACAGACTTTTCAAATAATTGTCTTTGTTATAACACCAAAATTTGACAAGTGGTAGTTTCTTAAAGTTACAAAGTGAAATTTGAAACCACATCAATGAGCTTTTCCCACTGCATTAAAACCCACTAGTCTATCTTGTACTTTTTTTTCTTTTTGAGATGGAGTCTTGCTCTATTGCCCAGGCTGGAGTACAGTGGCGTGATCTCAGCTCACTGCGATGCCTCCTGTGTTCAAGCGATTCTCCTGCCTCAGCCTCCCGAGTAGCTGGAATTACAGGTGCCTGCCACCACAGCTGGCTAATATTTGTATTTAGCAGAGATGGCGTTTCAGCATGTAGGCCAGGCTGGTCTTGAACTCCTGATCTTAAGTGATCCATCTGCCTCAGACTCCCAAAGTGCTGAGATTACAGGTGTGAGGCACCATGCCCAGCCTGCCTTGTACATTGAACGTGCTTTTTACCTATGCATGGTTCTGTAACAGCATACACTGGACATTCTGAAAATATTGGCTCCTCAAGTTATTCAAATATTCCAATGTTGAAACACTTCATTATACAATATCAAAAAATCAAATGACTACATTTCCAAAGACTTTTCAATCTCATCATAAAAGTCTTGGGGCAGCTATCAAGTTCATGGCGTTACAGACACGTTTTTCACTATCCTAATTTCCACCTGAGAGTTGAATTTTATTGTAGGCAACAAATACTGTCAGTTGTTTATCTTGAAGTGACAGGCTCAGCTCATCATTTAAGAAACTGCCTGCCAAATATTCAAGTCTGAATAACCAGTTTGTAAGACAGCTGTTCTTTCAAATAAAACTGGTATTTGGTGAAAAAAGGCAGCTAGTTCACCTCTCAATTCAAATAACTGCATGAGGGCCAGAGGTGGACCGTCATACTTTGGTATGCAGTATCTGTGCCTTATGCATATTTTTTATTTTGTCACAAAGAATATTACACATACAGCTACTCAGGAGGCTGAGGCAGGAGAATTGCCTGAACCCAGGAGGTGGAGGTTGTGGTGAGCCGAGATCGCACCATTGCACTCCAGCCTGGGTGACAAGAGCGAAACTCCGTCTCAAAAGAAAAAAAAAAAAAAACAAATATTACACATACATGTTCTCAAGGGCTAAGATTTAATAAAATTAATAACTGTTACTGCTTAATACAGAACCCTCGACTTTAAACATTTTTTTATTTTTATTTTTAATAGAGAGAATATGTCAAGGAAGAATGCAAGGCCTACTAGGATAGGACACTTCAATGCCTGCCTTGATTCAGGCTAAGTTGCCACCATTTCACCCCCCATAGTCTTTGTGCCATCAGTACAGATACCAACGCAGTGAGAAGGGCAGATGACAGCTTAATGTTACTATGAAAGTGGATTTGGCTAGGTGTAGTGGCTCACACCTGTAATCCCAGCACTTTGGGAGGCCCAGGTGGGAGGATCGTTTGAGCCCAGGAGTTTAAAACTAACTATCTTGGGCAACATAGTGAGACCTCATCTCTACCAAAAAAAAACTTAGCCAGGCATCATGGCACATGCCTGTAGTCCCAACTACTTGGGAGGCTGATGCAGGAGGATTGCATGGGTCTGGGAGGTTGAGGCTGCAGTGAGCCATGATCACACCACTGCACTCTACCCTGGGTGACAGAGCAAAACCCTGTCTCAAAAATTAATAATAATAATTCAAGAAAGTAGATTTGACCTACTGGATTCCCTATAAGAGTTCTTCCAAAGCAGAGTTTTGAACCACTCAGGGGTCAGCAGATCACACCTTGAGAGCAGCTTCCTAGTAATATTTTTAATTATTCTGATTCAAACCCATTGCATTTTAGGTGAGATCTGTATCTGGCATAATTAGGCTTCTCTAAGTGAGGCTTGCAAACGAGTTACTGTGCCTGGGCAGAGGGATAGCAGATGAGCTGGATCGTACCTTCCTGGGGGGTGTGGCTGTGGCCTGGGGGAGTGAAATGTGCACGTAGTCATCTGAATGACAGAGAGGGGCTGGAGGAGGAGAGGTTGCTGGGGTTCCTAGAGGAGTTCCTTTTCCACCTGCTCAGAGACAAAGGCAGAACATATATGAACACTGAGCCCAACTATTAGAACAACTGCCAATTTTTTTTAGCCTATTACTATGAATAAAGCTGCTAGAGTTAACTTTCTGGGGATTGAGAGCAGTCTCTTTTTGTTTTTAGGTTCACTTTACACATGCTGAAAGCCCCAGGGATTTGCAGTAAGTATCAAAAATAAGTTTACAACTGCAAGTGGCCCCTTAGATCTAACAGAGAGCTCCTCCTGCTATTAAAGGCAGCCAAAACCAACCAATCAAATCAAACTAAGACATACATACCAGTTGTACCAAAGACTTTACTGTAAGGGTGTGACAGATCAGGTGGGACATTTCCAGGAGAAGTTGGAGGAGTGGTCATACCACAAACCATAGATGGGCTCCAAAGAGTAGCCTGGGAAGTTAATAAAGTGCATCAGCAGTGGCAAAGGAATGCTAAGTCATCCACAAGATTTCTATCCGTGGCCAGTGTTCAGTTTAAATTTAGCTTTTTCAACTAACTTATTAAAGGTTTATCAAGAAACAAGTTGCATTTTGTGAATCAAGACTTCAAGATGAACCTAAGAGGCAACAGTAACTTTCTTTGCTAATATCATGGGTCCTTAAAAGTGACTCCTGAAAAGAGCAGTATGAAATTTTCCTAACCACATACTAAATCTGACCCAAAGGGTCAGCTTCACCAGAAAGCAGAGGAGAGAGCAGGCATACTAGTTGACACCATACTTGTGGCGGTTCAGTTATCAACCGTGTCGATGGGGAACTCAGAGTCTGAGGTAGCTGCCCTGGCGTATTTAACAACGTCAGCCGAGAAGTGGAGTAAGGGGTAGAAGTAGCACTCCCTAAAATGAAAGGAAAGAACACAGGCGGTTAGTGTGTGGTTTTAGATTATGCTGATTAAAAAAAAAAAAAAAAAAAGACAGTCCTCTAGACCATCTGATAATATTCAATTCTCTGTATCTAAAAAATGTGAAGGACTTATTGACATCCTTGAGGACAAAGTAACAATTCAGAGTTTCTTGAAATGCTCCTTTAAAAGAAAGTTCAACAAGGTTTAATGTCTAGTTAAGCCTCAGGATAATCACAGTACGGATGACAACTTCAGTGGGTGTGACCCACAAATAAAGCCTAGATTTTTATATGAATCCAATTCTACATTGTTCAGACTCATTCAGATTGTGTCGGTGCCATGGCCAAAAGGGCCCCACTCTTAAATGTCTGAAATTTAGAAAGATTCCCTTAAGAGGAGAGTCTGGAAGTCAAATACTTGAACCCATTTTCTTTGTTAAGTGTTGGAGACACGTTACCAATTCTGTTGGCATACAATCAGGCAGGAGACCAAGGACATCTAAATCAAACTTGAAGGAGAAATTAATTAGAAGAAAATGGAGGCAAGTGCAAATTTAAACTATTTGGGGAAAAATTCCTAGGAACTGAACTAAGTCTTACTCAAGAAAGGAAAGTCAACAAAGACAAATGTTTTCCAGAGACAAAGCTGCAAAACAGAGAAGTACCAAAGACGCTTTTTTTTTTTTTTTTTTACCATAGCTATTCTGTGTGTCAACATAAGGGCTGGAGGTGACTTCAGCTGAACGATGAGGAAAGCGGGCTGAGATGTGGTGAGACACAGAATAGCCATCTTCATATGAGGCTTCTGTGGGGTCCAGAGAGATTTTGGCACACTCAATCACAACATCATGAGTTTCTAATCTCTTCCACCTGTAAAAGGCAATGAATGTCAAGAAATGCAAACTAATTAAATACTTCAGAGTTCAGAGCGTCGTCAACTCAGTGCCAGCCACGGAACTCTGATAGCAAAGAACAAGCAGGACCATGCCAGCCCAAGTCTGAAACAATTCTAGTACATAAAGTAATAGCCGTTCATTTTACAATCCTATACCTTCCCTGTTTAAAATGGTTATATCAAGTTAACAATCTAATCTGAAACCAAAATTTCCTCAACAAAAGACTAGGCGTAGCCTCAAAATGGAACAGCGGCACATAAGGGATGCAGTAGAGCAGCCAGCAGGGAAAAATGTCCTTTGGAACAAAGGTCATCAAAAAATAAGGTCTTCCTGTCAAGGCCTCAGGTGTCAAATCCATCCCTAGATCAGAAACAGAGTATAAAAGACAAACCAGAGAAAGCCCACGAGGATTTTTTTCTTTTTTTAGAGATGAGGTCTCACTCTATCACCCAGGCTGGAGTACGGTGGCATGATCATGGCTCACTGCTGCCTCCAGCTCCTGGGCTCAGGGATCCTCCTGCCATAGCCTCCCAAGTAGCTGTGACTACAGGCATATGCCACCATGCCTGGCTAATATTCTTACAGAAATGGGTCTCACTTTGTTGCCCATGCTGGTCTCGAACTACTGGCCTCAAATGATCCTCCCACCTTGGTCTCCCAAAGTGCTGGGATTACAGGCATGACCCACCGTGCCCAGCTGAAGGCATGATTTTTTTAAACCAACTTTAGTATGGCATAATTTGCTTACAATAAAATTAATTTTGCTAAGTTTTGACAAAAGTTGTAAACATAATAGAACATTTCCATCACCCCAAAATTTCCTTTGTGCCCTTCGTGGTCATTCTCCTCCCCCACTTCAGGTAACCATCGATCTGCTGAAAGCATGCTTTCTCAGGTGGTATAGTAGTTATTCTACAGAATAGATCCCTTTGGTTGAACTTTGGGTTATTTCTTCTTTCCATTGCAAGCTGTGCTGTGCTGAACAGTGTTGTATGTGTTGATAAACATCTGTTTCTATAGAAGTGAGCCATGGTGCCAGTCTCCTGTGAGAATTTTTTTATTTTTTTTGAGATGGAGTCTCGTTCTGTCGTCCAGGCTAGATAGTGCAGTGGTGCGATCTCGGCTCACGGTAACGTCCACCTTCTGGATTCAAGTGATTCTCTTGTCTCGGCCTCCCAGGTAGCTAGGATTACAGGGGCCCACCACCATGCCTGGCTCATTTTTTGTATTTTTAGTAGAAGTGTGGTTTCACACTTGGCCAGGCTGGTCTCGAACTGCTGACCTCAGGTGATCCACCCACCTCTGCCTTCCAAAGTGCTGGGATTACGGGTGTAAGCCACAGTGCCTGGCCGAGGGTATTTTAAAAACTGTCTAAAGATTCCTTCTTTGTGATCTGCAGTTTCACTTCTAAGAATTTATCCTATAGAAACAGACATACGTCAAGACATACAACAATGTTCAGCATAGCACACCTTTCAATGAAAAAAAGAAATAACTCAAAGTTCAACCAAAGGGATATAGTTTATAGAATAACTATTATTACATCACCATGAAAAAGCATGCTTTTAACAGATCAATGGTTGCCCGAAGGTGGGGAAGAGACTGACCACAAAGGGCACCAAGGAACTTTTGGGGTGATGGAAATGTTCTTATGATTGAGACTTTTGTCAAAACTTAGCAAAATTGGTTCATTTTACTGAAAGCAAATTATGCCATACTAAAGTTGATTTTAAAAATCATGCTTAAGGCCAGGTGTGGTGGCTCATACCTGTAATCCCAGCATTTTGGGAGGCCAAGGCAGGCAGATCACTTGAGGCCAGGAGTTCAAGACCAGCCTGGGCAACATGGTGAAACCCCAACTCTAAAACAACAATGAATTAGCCAGGCATGGTGGCCTGCACCTGTAATCCTAGCTAACTGGGTGGCTGAGACATGAGAATCGCTTGAACCTGAGGGGCGGAGGTTGCAGAGAGCCAGGAAAGCACCACCACACTCCAGCCTGAGCAACAGGGCTAGACTCTGAAAAAAAGGGAAAAAAAAATCATGCTTTCAGCTGGGCACAGTGGCTCACACCTGTAATCCCAGCACTATGGGAGGCCAAGGCAGGAGGATCATTTGAGGCCAGGGGTTCAAGACCAGCCTGCCTGGGCAACAAAGTGAGACCACACCCCACCTCCACAACAACAAAAAATAGCTGGGTGTGGGCATATGCTTATGGTCCCAGCTACTCAGGAGGCTGAGGTTGGGAGGACAGCTTGATCCTGAGAGGTTGAGGCTGCCATGAGCCTTGTTTGTACCCTGCACTCCAGCCTGGGCAACAGAGCAAGACCTTGTCTCAGGGAAAAAAAATCGTGCTTTCCATGTGCCTGTACTCTCAGCAACCAGGGAGGGTGAAGCAGGAGGATAACTTGAGCCCAAGAGTTTGAGATCAGCCTGGGCGACATAGCAAGACTCTGTCTCGAAAAAAGAATAATGCTTTCAAACATTAAATGACATAAAATGCTTGTAATATAATCTTAAATGAATAAAAGATACAAAACTATTCAGAGAGACCCGCAAACAGATCTGAGTGTAGTAAGTATTCAAATGAAAAGAAATGAAGTTATGAACAATGTTCATTTCTTCTTTCAACTCTTCAGTATTTGCCAAACATCTATAAAGGCCCTAATAATTAACGGAATATTTAAAATATAAACATCTAGTCAAATATAAAGTTTTTTCTTTTAGACAACATAACTTTGCTCTATGTGTTTGTAAGTCGTTGGAAACTTCATCAGAGATTTGCATTTTTTTCCCCAAGTTTACAGAAAACAGCAAAGCTACACTAAAGGGGATTCCATAGGTTTACCTTAAGAAAACATATGACCCTACGCAACTTGTAGAAAGCTCATTATATCTTAGATGCTAAAAACATGGCGTTAAATACAGAAAAGGAGGTGTCCAGGGTATGGGGAAAATACAAGGCATTCAGTTTCAGGAATGCATCTTCATTCACTACCTAGGTTTTCACTGCCTGTGGGATTGTGTTAATGGGGACAGACTCCTCTGTATGTGTTCTCAGCATGACTAGAAAGTGATTAAGTGAGAGCAGGCATCCGGACACATATGTACACATAAGAAGATTGATTTCAGAGAAGAAAATGAGAATCATAATAAAAGAGGAATACATTTAAATGTTTTATTTTAATCAAAGTAATTTATGCATTTTTAGTATTTCCCTGGTTCTTAAAACGACTTTTCAGATTTTAATATCTAAAACTGGGAACCATAGTCTAATCAAATGCATATTAGTTTACTTGGCATTTTTTTCTTTCTCAGATGTATATAAAATAGAAGAACACCACATGTCTAATGGTATCTTATATCCAATGATTTTTTTTTTTTTTTTTTTTTTTTTTTTTTTTTTTTTTGAGACGGAGTTTCACTCTTGTTACCCAGGCTGGAGTGCAATGGCGTGATCTCGGCTCACCGCAACCTCCGCCCCCTGGGTTCAGGCAATTCTCCTGCCTCAGCCTCCAGAGTAGCTGGGATTACAGGCACGTGCCACCATGCCCAGCTAATTTTTTGTAATTTTAGTAGAGACAGGGTTTCACCATGTTAACCAGGATGGTCTCGATCTGTCGACCTCGTGATCCACCGCCTTGGCCTCCCAAAGTGCTGGGATTACAGGCTTGAGCCACCGCGCCTGGCCCAATACAGTAGTTTAAAAAGTCAATATAATATTAAAGATTCTTCCCATCCCTCCCCGCTGCAACCACTCTGGCAGCTGCTTTCAATTCTGTTAGCTGAATTGTTATCCTACCTCCATATTTCTAAGGAATACAACCTGTGCTTTTAATTTCTTGATTTATATATTATAGATAGCTTCTATTAACTTACCATTGTGGGAAGTAAGGACTGAGATCTCTTCCATATATCCTTTCCCTTCTCCTCAATGTTCTCAAAAGAAATATGTAACTGTTGGCCAGGAGCAGTGGCTCATGCCTGTAATACCAGCACTTTGGGAGACCACGGCAGGCAGATCATGAGGTCAGACGTTCAAGACCAGCCTGGCCAACATGGTGAAACCCTGTCTCTACTAAAAATACCAAAAAATTAGCTGGGCACAGTGGTGCACAACTGTAATCCCAGCTACTCAGGAGGAGACATGAGAACCGTTTGAACCAAGGAGGCAGAGGCTGCAGTGGGCCCAGTTCATGCCACTGCACTCTAGCATGGAAGACAGAGTGAGATTCCATCTCAAAAAAAAAAAAACAAAAAAGAAATATATAACTGTTTTTGTTGTTTTCAAAACTGATTTCCACAATTATTATGACTACCTAAGTACTACTCTTGGCTGAGCCACAGAGTATACTATAATAATATTTCCTTTCTTGTAAGTTTTAATTCTTCTGTTTCTTTTCCTCACTTCTTTGTGTGTTTACTGCTAATTTTTACTAAACATATCCTAACAGCTCTGAAACAATGTCTAATATAACTTTTACTAATGAAATGCAAAGAGTCCACCAGGATTATTCCTCATCTTCCCGAAGAACTCCCTTCTGAAGCACTCTCTCCCCAGTTAAGTCTGGACTAGCTGCTTTCGAGACTTCTGAGCAGCTGTTATCTGAACACTTTCCCTGCACATGATCCTGTAAAAGGATCATGATCAGGCCCCAGGCTCCTGGATTCTGTCTTCCTCCTTCTTGATTTTACTCTCATTTTGGTGGAATACATGCTCCAGTGATTAACTGAGGAAGGATATATGGGAAGGAAATTTGAGTCTATACATTCTAAAAGTGTCTCATTTTGATAGACAAGTTGGCTAAGTACAGAATTATAGTGGAAACTTTTTCTCTCAATTTTGAAGGTATTTCAGAAGCTAACAGCACTCTGATTTCTGATGCTTATTAATGTGATTTTGTTTTCTTTCTCTGAAAGGTTAATCCCTAGTAGTTTAAAATTGTACGACATTGAAAACTGGTAGCATTCTTTTTTTTTGTTTTGAGACAGAGTTTTGCTCTTGTTGCCCAGGCTGGAATGTAATGGTGTGATCTCAGCTCACTGCAGCCACCTCCCAGGTTCAAGTGATTCTCCTGCCTCAGCCTCCCAAGTAGCTGAGATTACAGGCGCCTGCCACCATGTCCGACTAATTTTTTGTATATTTAGTAGAGACGAAGTTTCATCATGTTGGCTAGGCTGGTCTCAAACTCCTGATCTCAACTGATCCGCCCTCTTCAGCCTCCCAAAGTGCTGGGGTTACAGGCGTGAGTCATCACACCTGGCATTAAAACTTTTTTTTTTTAATTGGATGTTGGGACTTCCTGCACTTATTATTCTAAATTTCTCTTCTGCTCATATTATCCAGCTCTATCATTTGGTCTGCTTTCTGAGATATTTATATGTATCTCAGAAAGCTGATATCTGAGATATCAACTTTATCTCCCAATTCTTTTACTGAAATGTTTATTTTGGCTATCATTTTTAATTTTGAAGAATTCTTTCTTTGGCTTCAAAATGGTCTTTTTCTGTGGCATCCTGATCCTTACATATGCACAAATGCCTTATCTCTGTGGCTACTGTGGACATTTTCTTCTGCTCTATCATTATGGTTTTGTTCTAGCTCTTTCCTCCTCTTTATGTTGGTGTCTGTCTTTAGTGTTAAAACCTTCCAAAGTCCAGCAATCTGCCTAGCCAAGGTGAGTGAGGTGCTCCTTCCAAGTGAATAGAGTTAGTTGAACATATGCACCCAACTGTACAACCTCCTGGAATCCCACTGTCTGCAGTAAAGACTTCTTTGTCTTTGTTTTTAAACCTAAAAGGAGGAGAACAGGAGAGAGACAATAGCATCATACACTTTTGAAACTAAAAAGCAGACAGGCAGGTGCTGACACTGCAAATCCATGAAAACAGAATCCTAAGCTACCACTTTCTCAAAGTGATTCAACTGATTATACTACAGATCCCTAAAATCATGAGGAATTTATAGCATCTGGTACTTCTGGAACAGGAAATGAGCAGCAGGTAGATAAGGGCAGCTAAAATACTGAAGACGGTAAAAAACGCTGGAGGAGCAGTCACAGCCCCTGGGTCCCTCCCCAACTCTACACTCCCAAGTAACAGCTCTTTTCTCACCAGAGATCTGGATTATTTTCTAGAGAGAATAAAACAAGGATTGCCTAGATAAGGTATTCCAGAAATAGTTGAGGGCATGAGTGTCATTCCAAATGAGGGAATTAAGTGAAGTACATATATTCTGAATGCCAAGACCACCAAACCCTTCCTCACCATGAGCCTCCTTCCCTGAGAGGCAATCAAACCCTTAGTAGCCTGAAAATCAGATGACTGTTTTCTAAAAAATGTGACCAGCTCAAGAAGAAAACAATACCGACACCACTATTTCCAACAGATGCTCAGTTCAACATACAACAAAGCTCAAAGTCAACAAGTCCCGCCACTGTGAACAAAGCTGTTTTGTCTCCCCAATATATAAACAGTTTACTAGATCCTTGCAGAAGGCCTCAAAGATTTAACAAGAGTAACACAAAACAGAAAAGAGGGCAGCTTAGAAGAAACAGCTTATACAGGGAAAAGAAAACTCCCTATATATGTATACAATCATGTGTCACTTAACAACAGTGATGACATGTTCTGAGAAATGCATCATTAGGCAATTTCATTGCTGTGTGACCATCAGAGTGTACTCATACAAACCTAGATGTTATAGGCTCCTAGGCTACAAACCTGTACAGCAAGGTGCTGCACTAAATGCTGTAGGTAACTGTAACACAATGGTAGGTATTTGTGTGTCTAGATATATCTGAACATAGAAAAGGTACAGTAAAGATGTGGTGGTACAATCTCATGGACCCACTATCATCTATGAGTCCATCATTGACTGAAATGTCATTACGTGGTGCATGGATGAACTACATTTCTAGAGGAAAGACAGAGAAAACAGGAAATCAAGAACAAAATGACTAAAGAAAATGTCATAGAACTTAAAGAGCTTAAACAATGAGAACAGATTCATACCAAGGTGCATCACTGGAAATTTCAGAATATTATGACAACAAAGAGAACTCCCTAGCAGCTCCCCTGGAGAAAAACACAGCAAATACAAATGATCAGAAATTCCAAGAGCAACACTGGAAGCAGGTGGCAATGGAATAATGCCTTCAAATTACTGAATGAAACTGACTCTTAACCTGTAAGTCTACACCCAGCCAAACAACTGCACCCTTCCTCAAAAAGCTCCTAGAGGATATGTCCTACTAAAACTAGAGTAAACCAAGAAAGACGACAAGAAACCAGAAGTGGGAGATCCTGCAATGAGAGAGGCGAAGGAAAGCCCCAGGAGACCAGGAAGACAGCTGGGTACTTGGCACAGACGAGAACCAGTTCGGATCAGACCTGGTAAGAGACAGGGATGTCTCAAGGTTCTTGCTGTCATGCACTATCTTTTTAATGAGGGACAGAGCCTGTAGAACTTGTCTGTACTTCGTTTGTCTTGACTACAAACTGATGAAGTTCCTACTCTCCCTTCTCTGCCTGATCGGCAGAGGACATTCATTTTATTCCACAGGAGGATTCTGTCTGACCTACTCCTGAGAGCTGGAAGCAGGAACAGAGAGCAGCCTCCCTGCCTGCCATATTTTGCGCATGTCCAGCACCCTGCCCTTGCTAGAAGCCTTGCCAGACGCTCTGATGAGGGTAAGCCTTGTGTTTCCCAGACTCATTCATGACCTTGTACACTGACTTCCCAGATGGGGCTGTGAAACCTCAGGGACAGTGAAACCACACCAAAACTCAGACGTGCTGCTCCTCCTCTCATCTCCTGGAAACCTTCAACTACTACTAGTGACAAGACTGCCCTTCTCTTAGCCAGACTTTGCTTCCTAATCAACTAGCTTTTCAAAACAAAGCAATATATACAGTAAAACTATAAAGAAAAGCAAGAGAATGATTAATATAAAAGCAACAATTGACCTCTGAGGTGGTTAGGGAGAAAGAGGAGTTCCACAGGGTGCCCCTAAGGTACTGGTAATGTTCTATTTTTTTAAGCTAGGTGCCAGCTACATGTGTTTTTGTGTTATTATTAAACTTCACATACACGTTTTCTATATTTCTCTACATATATCTGATCATAAACTGCTTTAAGCTGGCTGAGGCTCTGTGTGGTGAAGGCAGTGTCTGTGGAGAGGTGAGATTTGCTGTCAGAGGATCAGGCAGGGAGCCAGCTTTTTCAGCAGGAGATCCCCAAGTGTCAATATCCATGGGTCAGTTTCCCCAAAAAGGGCTGGGTCCCCTAACTGGGGAGCATAAGCCTAGCTACCAGCCAGAGACAAGCAGAGGAAGGAGGTGGGCCTCCTACAGCTCAGCTCAGTCTGTAAATTTCCTCTAACTCACACTCCCTTGCTCAGTCTCATCCTCAGTTCCACTCTCCACTGTGCCTGGAATCCTCCAATCAAAAGACCTGAAGGTTCAGTTTTTACGGAGAACATACCTGGGGGCCTCTGTAGGGCCCTGGAGAAGATGGTAGTCACCTGTTTTTGCAGAATGGAGAAAGGACCTCAGCGAGTCCAAATACTTAATACAGGATTCCCTGAAGCCCTCTCTCCATTCTACAAAGCCAAATTTAATACTAAATTATTTTTCTGCAATCTCTTGTTTTTAGCCACATGCTTCACCTCCTTCATCACCCAATCACTGGCACTACTGTAAGCGTTTCTAGGGGATGGGCATTTGTGCTGCAACTTTCTCCATGATGCTAAATGAGTTATTAGTCCTCCAACTGTGAAGAGCCTGTTTCAAACTCACACAAATTTTAGCTGTACCAGTACTTCCAAGTGGACTGATTCTGTAAGTAGGACATCTATATTCCCAAATATACCTCAGCAGGGACACCTCCTAGATCACATTTTCAATCTCTAAAAGATTCTTTAAAATTTGAACACTAGTTTAGTTTCTGTACCTTCGAGGGTCCAGTTCATGGTCCTTGGATCCAGTCACTAATTCCGGATGAATTCGCACATGCTCCATCATTGGCTAGAAGAGTTGGGTCGACAAATTATAAAGGGCTGAATGTTTGTGGAACATCCAAACAATGGAATATTAGTTGACAATAAAAAGGAATGAAGTACTGATACATGTTACAACCCAGATGAACCTTGAAAACATTATACTGAGTGAAAAAAGACCACATTTTCTATGTTCCCACTGATATAAAATGTCCAGAATAGGCAAATCTATAAAGACAGAAAACAGATTAGTGGCTGCCTAGGGATTGCAGCAGGGAGTAAGAAAACAGAATTTCTTTTCAAAATTTCCCTGTCTGCCATTACATACAAAAGGTATAAATGCAGCTGGTCTAAACAGCATGCTAAGTAGTAAACAAACAGGCAGTTTTAATTTACCTTGACCACTTCTTCAAAAGTCTCCAAGTTTTCTTTCATACTGTAATGAGAACGCAGAAAGGAGACGAAGTTGCAAGGGTACATTCCATAAAGGCGATGAAAGAGCGCGTACACACTGGCATGGAGATGGACGAGATAGACTTCTGCCACGTGGCCTAGAAAAGAAACCCGTTGAGAAGAGCCTCTTAGTTGGACGCAGATTGAGGTGTGCAAAACAGACATAAACAAGTGGCTGCCAGCATGACTTTTTATCTATGCATCTCCCACCTCACTCCACACACAGGAAGAGTGGTTTTCTACAATGCAAACAAATCTGAACACACCAGACACTCTTTTCAAATCCATTAGTGACTCCCTATAACCCTTGGGTAAACTCTAGTCTACTGAGTGTGATCCATGAAGGCTCTCCCTGATCTAACTTCTGCCCTCCTCTCCAGCCACTGCCCAAAAAGGATCCCAAACATTCTCACAATACTGAACTACCTTTATTATAGAAGCTCTCTGTAAAATTCATACTTTTCCATTGCTGAATTCAGTATGAGCTTCTTTTTTTTTTTTAGAGATGGGGTTTCATTATGTTGGTCAGGCTGGTCTTGAACTCCTGACCTTGTGATCCGCCCACCTTGGCCTCCCAAAGTGCTGGGATTACAGGCTTGAGCCACTGCACCCAGCAAGCTTCTTGATAAAAGAACTGTCTTACTCATCTCTCGGTGCTTTGCACCGGACCTGGTGTTTAACAAGCATTCAATATTTATAAAATGAATGCGTGAGAAACTTTTAAATCGGCATGTAGTCTTAGCTATGCAGATTTATAACTACAGAGTGAAAAAAACTATTATCCAGAAATTAGCTGAAAGAACTAAGAGTGAAAGAAACTGAACATCTTAATTTAGCCTTACCTAGACCCTGTGGAAACCCATGGCCACAGTATACATAAAGGTCCTCCACAATAATGGACAGGCCATTCCTTTCTCCCAAAGATCCTACTAAACAAGCAGGCACCACGTGAGCCTATGCTTGCAATTTAATCCTGTACAGGAAGCCATGCTGTTCTGTCTCACAGGTCTGACATACTTCATCCTTTGATAGAAATACCTCACACTGGGATAACCCAAAGATTCCAAATTTCACATGCTTACAGCTTCTGATCCCTTTGATAGAACTCTGCTCCCTGCCAGTAGGAAAAAAACCCCACTGTATTTGAAGCTGGAGTGCTAATAAGGACAGATTGCATTTCCCTCTGACTCCTACGGATACAACAAGCGGGTTCTCAGAAACTGACACTTGTGTTTTGTCACAACAGAGCAGCCAAGGAAGACAGAAATGTCCCACAAGCTTAGTGCTGTACTACTGCAATTCAGACAGAAGTTGTTTTTCACTTCATCAACAATCATGAAGTTTTACATCCTACTGCTCAATTTCTCTGACAATCAATCCTTTTAAGCCGACAAAATAAAAAAGTTATCTCAACAATCATGCTTCTCATATGTGCCTGTAGTGGATGCACCAAAGGTATTCCCTCATCTATCTAGTAAAAACCACTCACTACAGCTATAAAAGTCTACGTGTCCTTACAGCATATGAGCGATTCATCAATAATGAAAGCGTTCACCTCACAGGGCCCAACAGGTATATGAGGAGACCTGTACCTGGTTTCTTCAGGCACCATGATGAAAGACGGCCAAAAATGTCAAAGAAATCAAGAAGATGCTGTTTCCCAGACTGTGGAATCATTGGTAGCATGGTTATCAACACCAAGACGCCTGTTGTGAGGACAACGACGTTGGTGTCCATCTGCGGGAGGAAAGGTCAAACAGAAAACACTTGTCAGGTGCTGCACCAGGGGTGGCATTGTACAGTACGTGAAGAGGCTCTAAACACTGAGAGAATCACACATCAGCAGTTCACTCACATACTCATTTCCCTATCCCTAAGGATTACTGAGGGATAGGGAAATGCTCCATCATTCAAACAGACTCAACAGGAAACACTGAGCCCCAGCTCTACTGTAATGAGTCAGAGAGGAGGACCATTTACAATACACCTATGCAAAGGCATCCTGGAGATGAGTTTAAACTTGACTCGGGGACACCCAAGTCCTAAAGCCTTAGGATGCCCTTTTTATAGCACTTGGATGAAAACAAAAGGAGTTGCTTTTCAACAAAATACAAGAGCACTGCTCTGTTTTCATTCATTCAACCAAATCCTAAGATATTTACTTTTTGTTGTCAATTTAAAAAAATGCACTACACAATGACAAGTTACTTGCTTGCTATTTTTTAAAGAACTAAAACAGAAGTATAACTGAAGGAAAAATTTGTATAACACTAACAAGTCAACTTAATGGCTCACTTCAAAGCAGTATTTAGAGACCAGTATATTTAAAAAAAAAATGGAAACCTTTGAGCACACCTATAATTTAAATATTAAGTCAAATAAATAATTTCCAGCTAACTGAAGACATTTAACACCCAGTGGATACTCAATCAACTCTGACTAGCTATAGCAGCTCACCTGACCCATAATTAAATCACAAGTGTTTGCCAGGTAGATGAAATTCGGATTAATCAAAAGACTCCTACATAGGCTAAGACATCCATTATTCCTATTAGAATAGGAATCTATGGTCTGGGAATAAAGTTTTAAATATATTTGATTTTTACATCAAGCATCAAGTCTTTCATTATGGAAGATATCTAGTAAGAATAATATATTGGTAAGAGAATTGAGAATATATGAGACTATATAATGATTCTTAGCAAAAAGAACTAGCCGTGATTTCAGTTATCCTAACAGTCTAACTCAAGACTTGAGTAATAGTCCACAATTAAATATTCAGAGCTTACTCTTTTGGAAAAGATAAGTGTTTTGCAATCTGAACTAAATGTCGTGTCTCAAAATTAGATTATATTCTCATCAATCCATTTGCTTAAAAACATTAAGTTATTATAACTGTTCCTACTTTTTCTTAACATTAAATGCATGTTTTTATAATACCCTACCAATGTGACTCCTTAGGACCCACCTCTAGGGATAATAAAAGAGTTACCCTTCTTGGCAGACACAAAAATCAATTTGCATGGTGCTGTATCAGATGAATCCAATGGTACTGCCATCCTGGAACAAATACTACTGGATATTTTCATGTCTCTGTGAGGTACAGGCAGTTAATATTAACCACATTTTCTTATTTTATAGATAGAAAACAAGTCCAGGAACTAAAACAGATTAAGCAAATAACCCTGAGTATGGCCACAAGCCACTGTTAAAACTAAAACCATAAAGTTCTATTTAGATTTTGACTCCCTATGTAGAAAAATGCACTAAAGGTAGTGTAAAAAATAGAATGCAACTTAGAAGAACTTCCATCAACAGTCTTAATTACAGCTGCAACCAGACCACGCTCCTAAACGGTTAACAGAAACTTTAAGCCATTTTTCTATTAGCTAAAAGATAATTTAGAAACAGGGATTCCCAAAAGATAATCCAGCATATTTTAAATGAGGGAAGGCTAAACCATGATGAAATCAAGAGGTTTGGAATAATGTAACATTGAACCCATCTGATCAAAATTTTACCATATTTGCATGGACAAGGTATTCAATACTCATAGTGATATATTTGAGAACTTACTAAGTACCAACTCTGGACAACATTATATTTGAGAAAAGCCAAATCTCTAGAAGGTTTTAAAGTCTAAAAATGAAAATCTAGCTTCCTTGCTTTAAGTTACTTAAAATTTCAGAAACTATACTCATTAAGCCATTTCATTCAAATCCTTACAAACATCCTACCTTGAGACATTTTAGTAAAGAAGGCAAAAGAGGTGCTTGAGAGAGCTTATGCTTCCAAGATGGCTGCAGTCTTACGACATGACCCAGTAAGGAGAGGATGGATAAACGAGTGGTGGCTTTGCCCACATATTCGTTAATCCTGTCCAAGAGGTGCTGAAAATGTAAAAGAACAAGGGAAATCCTTACATGAATATATGAAGATAGCATAAATAAAGACAGCAATGATGTGCTCCAGTCTCTCAAGTCTTGCCTCTAATGTAAAACAAGGCTCATGCAGATAAAAGATCAAATTCAAGATTTTAAAAACCATGGTAGCAAACAAAACACTGCTGCATTTGGCCTGACAAAAGGCAGTCAGTTTGCATCTCATGAAAAAGAATCCCACAATACACATATGCAAAAAGTGGGAGACTTGTTCACAGTCCCTCGATAACCACTAGCCCCAAACTGTGACAGGTTGTTGAAGCCATGAGGGGATCCTGCTGGAAGCAGCCGCTTATTGCTAGAGCAATGCAACCTACATGGTTTGGCCTCAAGCATCAGTTAGGTAGTAGAAGTTACAATTCAGGCCAGAGTAAATAAGAAAACCAGATGGGCCAGGTGCAGTGGCTCATGCCTGCAATCCCCGCACTTTGAGAGGCTGAGGTGGGAGGACAGTTTGAGGCCTGGAGTTCAAAGTTACAGTGAGCTATGATTATGTCACCACACTCCAGTCTGGGCAACAGAATGAGACCCCACCTCTTTAGAAAACAAAACAAAACAAGATATACTGTAAAAGGCATGCAATGACAAGGTCTTCACAACCTGGGGAGCTTGCTCTCAAATACACACTTAAGACTTCCCAAAGTCTGCAGTAAAGATGCTTTACTAGCTACTTATTGAAAACAAAAGGAAAACACGAAGGAACCCTCCAAGTGCTTGGTGCTGGGAAACAAGACTCATTAATTTGCCACATTAGTCCTTTGCACTTGAAGCTTTTCCATACAGATAAAAGTCTCAAAATCCTATTCAAAGCATAGGTTGAAAAATGGGTATCCATGGGCCAAATCATCACTATGCAACTATAGTATTGGAAATGTAAGATTTCTTTAAACAAGATCTTTAACAGTCTCTGAACTATGTTTTACTTTACGAACTTTACAAGAAACACAGGTCCTACAAATTATTTTTATATATCACTATAAACTGGGAACAATGTCATCAGTGGCACACAGAAATCAAAAGAATAAGCTCAGGACAAGTTGTACAGTGGCCATGCACAGAAGCTGTTGTACCCAGAGAGAACATATGAAATTGCCTATATTTCAGCCGTTACCTTGTCATGTGGCTCTTGCAAGGTGGTCAGGATGTGCAATACTGGCTGAGAGTTGGTTTCCAGGTAGTAATCCACCAAGGTGTTTACAAGCATAGGACCACGGTCTAAATCAAGAAAAGGGCAATGGATCATACCTATTCCCCTTAACATCCTAAATTCACCTTACATAGCTGCCTGTCACAAAATCTAGAAAATGTTTACATGCTATTCTAAGTTTTATGCAACATGACATTTCTGCCTCTTAATTTAATAATAGGATAATTACAAGCTTATTTGCCTAAACATGCATAAAATGTATGATGTGCTTTTATTTTTACTGCTTTTTTAATTACAAAAAATAATTCAGGCTATGTAAAAGCACATCAAATAAAAATGAAAGTACTCCTTACCACCTGCCTCCAAACTCACTCTTCACAGCTAAACACCCTTAAGTTTAGTGTGTGTCTCTTCAAACCCTTTTCTACTTGAACAGTCACATGCATGCAGCCCTGATGTCCTCAGACACAGTTTGTGCACATGTGTGTTTTTTCCACTAAACAATGTGTTGTAACCACCTTCCCATGTCAGCATCTATGGTCTATTTCATTTCTTTTTGTCCTAGGGTTCCACTGCGTGGCTCTACATAACAAATTTAACCATTCACCTACTGAAGGATACCTGGGTTTTTCCAATGTCTCACTATATTTCACTCAAAGCTATAATAAGATACAGATTCTTATAATATGTATTTTTAAATTGATGGCAGATACTCCAAAAGACTAAACACATCAATTCATATTCATGCTAACAGTGCCCATTTCTATATTCAATATTTAATTTTGCCAACCTGGTAAGCAAAAAAGGGTACTATCCAAATTTCTATTTCTCATAGTAAAACGAGGTTAAGCACTTTACATAATAAAAGCCACATATATGATTTACAGTTAAAACGATGTCTGGAATTTGCTTTAAAATATTTGGAGGGTGGGAGAGTCAGGGAGGAAAGAATTTGAAACTGGGTTCATGGGTTAACTGCATGGTTCTTACTTCATGTGTGTGCATATTTAAGTATTTCCATAATTGAAAGTTTAAAACACATATAAAGTGAATCCACCAACACATGCTCTTTTTGGGTGTTTTAAAAAACTCTTCAGAAGCTGAAACCTAAAATGTATCAGCAGGATTCTGGTGGCTTTAAGTCAATCTCTTCTTTTCTTAGCAGATAAGCTAAAAAGGATATTACATTGCTAACCAGAATTGAGGTTCTCTTTAAAGACAGCTGTCACATCGTCCCGCACACTCAGCATGGGGGAGTCCAGCATGGAGAGGAGCTCCCCGACATTCGCTTGTTGGGCCATTCTCCAGCTTGAAGGTGCTGTGCCGGCTCCAGGACGTATCTTACAGGTTCTGAAAGCTCTTCATTGGGGCCACTACCAGACTGAGACAAAGGAAGATGAACGGTGACTAACTGGCCTCATTTTTCCCCACAAAAAAATACCTGCAAGATAAACCAATGCATGTGTTCAATACAATGCAAAGTTTGCCCACAATTCTCTGATTCAAACAGTGAATCCCTTTGGCTGATAAAAGAAGTGTATGAATAATTCTTTGATGAGTTTATGAAGAGGGTTTCTATAAAATGCAACAGCAGAAAGAAACCTTAAAAACTGATACCAGTCACAGCAACTTAATGACAGGATCAAATCTAAGTTTTATTCCTACTTCTGAATCTACCTTGGGTTTTGGCTAAGACTATATTCATATTTCAAATTGTTGATCTATAAAGCAGACAGTCTTTTTTCAGAAAGGGAACTAAATACATACTATTTCCTTCTTGACAATCTCATCAATGTCTAAGAGTTAGTACAGCTGGTTAGGTCACAAGTCTGTTAAGTCCAACACTGAGCTGGGGATCATTTCTCTGTTTCAGCATACCCCTTATCTGAGACATCTAACTGCACACCCAAATACCACTGGCTACAGGGAGGTATCCACAGATGGGATCATCAGGGCAAATCTTTAAAAACTCACCCTTCAAAACCCAGGCTCTCTATGGTAGTAGAGCAGCTGCTTTATCTTGATATACAAAAAGCAGCTCATTCCCCAAGTGTAACTATACACATTTATGATTTATCCCCCACTTGGGTCTCTGAAGCTGTATTTGTAAAAACAAGTAACAGCAGTTATCATTTATAAGACAAGCACTACACCTTTTACAAACATCACTGTATACACTCCTAACATGACCAATGTGTCATTGGCACTTTTGTCCCCATCGTACAGGGAGCAGAACGGAGATCAAACCATTTATTCTGGGTCAAAAAGCGAACAAGAGGCAAAACCAGAGGAGAAAAACTGATATTTGAACCTAGATCTCCCTGACTCCAAAGCCCCAAGCCCTTCAGTGTTACACTAAGCTAACTTGTGGTTTGGATCATCATGGCAACTCTGTGATGTGATGTGAGCAGGTATCATCCTTATTTCACACATGGGAATATGGATGCCCAAAAAGGATAAAATTTCCGTTTCTTTCAGTCAGCCTAGGTAGCAGTTCTTAAGTTTCAATGTGCATCAAAACCACCTGGGATGTTTGCTAGAAATGCAATACCTGGGCCCCTTCCAAAACTGAATTTGGGGCTCAGGAATCTTATTTTAATAAGCACTCCAGGGAATTCTTAAAGTGATACACAAATTATTTTTGAGAAACACTATGATAAAGAAAAATCCAACTAAAGAGTTAAAAAAAAAAATTAAGCTGAGGCCAGACATGGCTGAGGCTGAGTGCAGTAGCTCACGCCTGTAATCCCTGCACTATGGGAGGGGAGGCTGAGGCAGGCGGATCACCTGAGGTCAGGAGTTCAAGACCAACCTGGCCAACAAGGTGAAACTACATCTCTACTAAAAACACAAACATTAGCTGGGTGTGGGTGTGTGTAGTCCCAGCTACTCGGGAGGCTGAGGCAGGAGAATCGCTTGAACCTGGGGGGCAGAGGTTGCAGTGAGTCAAGATCATGCCACTGCACTCCAGCCTGGGCAAGACTGCATAAAAAAGAAAAGAAAAGAAAAGAAAAAGAAAGAGATAAGCTCCTTCTGCAAGAATGCCAAATTTAAATTAGCAGTGACCCCAGAAACGACCAGGTATTAACTTACTATCATTTATGTTCTCGTTTAGCTACAACCTGGTGATATTCACTAATTTTGGCTGTCAGAAATTCGATTATCAGAAAAATCAATGTCTAAATGCCTTTTTGATATGAAATCCATGATACAGAAAGTTGCTGACTCATATCTGTAAATAAAAATCTTACAAGGAAATCACATAAGAAGTTAATTTCAAAGGGCTCCAAAATGTGAGACCACTGTTAGTAAGACTCTATTGTAAAAGTTCAAAACCAAAAAGCAGTTAGTACAGTACCAGGTACATATAAACACTCACTGAATAGTACTTGTACATTATCATTAAAAATACCAGGAAAAATCTTTGGGCCACCACTTTCAAGATGACTTCTGAACAGCATATTTGCCTAGCTAACCCCACACTGATTTCTACTTCAGGTAAATCATAAATAATTCTCAATTAATGACAAAGAATACAGTTTAGAAATTTAAAAGTATCTTGTCCCTAAGTTTGGTTTTGTTTCAATAAAATTGTTACTTACATACTATCTGTCTAGAGAGACTCTGAGTTTGCCTTCTGTGTAGTCAGAAGATGATAACGTCAGATCTGATCCTCCAAATGCAGGCAGCCCCAGAGCCCAGAGTGACACAAGCTCAATTTTACACAAAGATGGCACCCATCCAGTCAACTTGGCAATAGTTAGCTTGGGCTACCTAGCTTGTTTTCCAGTTTGCAAAAATAAGGTTTTATTCTAAAATACATTAGAAACACATTTTGGCAACAAGTTTTTCTCTCTGGTTCCAAAGTCTACTGTTGGCCGCGTTGGTGGTATAGTGGTGAGCATAGCTGCCTTCCAAAATTCTACTGTTTACCATAGTTTTTAGTCTCCAGGAAAAATATAAACATTAGGTTTTATGTGAGATTCTTTGTAAAGTGGCTCAAGTTCTAGCATTTTTGACATTCTAAAAAGCCCTCCTAAGAGTTAAATCATAGCTCTTGGAATCAGTCCCATAACTAGAATATCTTGTACAGTAAGTACAAGGCGTTAAGTAGGTAAGACAGACTTAGCCAGTGCAATGAAGAATTATATGTTCTATAGCAGAAAAAAAGACATGGTTCAATATATGCACAAACAAAGGGAAGAAACCAGCTAGATTTGGACTCAATCAGTGGTGGTGGTGGTGGATAGGATGTACATGTTGAGCACACTTTACAGGTCATAGAAGACTGGCTGAGAAAAGTCACTTAAAGATTAGCACCGCAGACACACTGAAGCATCAGTACGTTAGCCACAAAAGTCTCTAGTCATAACAGTCTCTTTTCCATTTTGGAAGTCACCAAAGAAAACAGCCATATAAGAGAAGTTAAAAGACAGTAACTGGGTGAATGCATTTCCATATCCTATACGCTAAAGCAATGTTCCACTTAGTTTATCATTATCTTTAGTGGCCACATACAGCACACAGTTCAGTGCTGTAGATGATGCTAGTCATATTAAGGGGGCATGACCTTCAATGCCAATCTCTACTCTAAAACCTATCACTCTGCCATCTTCTGGATCTCAGTAAAAGGCACCTCCATCAGTCTCAAGCAAACACCCAGGTGACTCCTTGACTCTTTCACCACCCCCACCACCATATCTAGTCCATCAGCAAACCACTAGCTATCACCTCAGCTGAAGCCCCCATCATCTCTCAAAGACAAGGGAGCAGCCGCCCCCCTCACTATTCTCCCTGCTTGTTATTCATGCTACCCTACAAAATTCATTTGCCACCAATTAACCACAAGAGACACTGAGATACAAATAGCAGAATCTCACTCCTCTTTAAAATCGTCCAATGGCTTCGCATGGAATTAATAAGAGCCAATAACATGATGGAACTTATGAAGCTCATGAGTAGCCTACAAGGCCTCAAAAGATCTAGCCAATTAGTAACCTCCCAACCCCTCTCTGTCTCTTCGATTCCTCTGCTCTAGTCCCAGTCTTCCCAAACACATGAATGGCTATCTGTTGCTTAGGGCCTTTGCACTTGCTGTTCCCTCTTTGCATGGAACACTCTTCTCCCATATCCTTGCACAGCTGACTGTCTCTCAGATCTCTGATGGGCCTCCCCTGACCACCCAATCTAAAGTAGCAGAGAGGCGCTTAGTCATCACTTTTCAATAAAAGATACTTTGGAATTCATGAGAAATCTTGAACCAATTTTAAACTGTACAACTAGTCATCAGATGTGATCAAACAATACTTACGATCTCAAAAAGCATGGAAATCGGGGATCTGCTAAAGTTCGCTTTCAGTCTCGAGATGCAGCTAAAATCTGATGTGTTTCTGGCTTTGGCACTTTTTTTTTTTTTTTTTAATTGAGACAGAGTCTTGCTCTGTTGCCCAGTCTGGAGTGCAATGGCATGATCTCAGCTCACTGCAACCTCCATCTCCTAGGTTTAAGCTATTCTCCTGCCTCAGCCTCCCGAGTAGCTGAGATTACAGGTGTGCACCACCACACCTAGCTAATTTTTGTATCATTAGTAGAAATGGGGTTTTACCATGTTGGCCAGGTTGGTCTCAAATTCCTGACCTCAGGTGATCCTCCTGCCTTGGCCTCCCAAAGTCCTGGGATCACAGGTATGAGCCACCATGCCCGGCCAAAAATGTTTTAAAAATGAGGAAAAAAGTATAAACAAGAGTCCCCCATGAAAACAGAAAAATGCTATTAAAAGCTGGGCTTTTTTCTTTCAAAATAAAAATAATCACTAAAGGTGGCCAACAATTTTTTGTAACTGAAAAGGAAGCATCTTTGAGGCTTGCCAAGCTATGAATCTCAGGCACAAGGTTCCCTCCAGAAAACCATCTACCAGAAACTTTTTTGAATTCTGCTTTGCCCAAAAACGTTACTAATGAGGCTGTGTGCCAGCTGAGATGATATTACACACATGTGACATAGTGACCACAGGAGTAATCCAGCAGCCTGTAGTGCCCGCAAAGTATTTTCCTATACTAAAATTTCAAACTTCTAAAATCTGACTACTAAAATGCAATATAATTACTATCATAAAAAATGTTTAATAAAATTTGAGATTTACTTTTGTATCCCAGATCTTACATTTTATGATGGTGATATTTAGCTTGGGCCTCAATAATCTGAACACTTAACTGTTTGACTTTGGGTTCAAATTCATATACAGTGGTCTTCTAAAAAAGGAAGAGTATGAAGTATACACAAAAACACTGAACATGAAAAATCAAACTCAGAAAACTTGCCCTACTTGTGAGAGAGCAATACTTAACTTTTTTGTTAGACAGTCTACAATTTGTATCAAGACCCTATTCATGAACTGATGTAAATCTGTAAGACAAAAATCCCTACCTTATTTCATAACTCCTATGACAGAGGTGAGGCAGACAGTAAACAGCAACCACTGAGCCCTGGCATGAATCACATAGCCGTCCATGTACAAAGACAGGAGACCAAGCACCTCCCTGTCTTCCTACACCCTTCCTATACACAACTCTGTTGTGCTTGGCACTATTACTGCCAAACCAAAATTACAGTTCAGTGATCAGTTAGGTCACTAAGAGGAAATTCCATCCATGGAAATGATGGCGCCTCAACATTTATGAAGGATATATTCTGAGACGGGATCGTCTAATCCCTAAAAATGACTATAGCATATAATTTATCCCCCAAAATTAATAGCCACATTAAGATGCACATGCTCACTCACCAGCTCAAGGGTTCTCAGCCCAGGATGTACATTAGAATCACCTGGAGAGCTTATGGAATCCTGAAGTCCAGGGCCCACTCTGGAACACGTTAAGGGGTGGAATGCAGACATCACATTTGGTTTGTTTTTATAAACCCATGCGGATTTCTAAGGTGCAGCCAAGGTTAAGAACCTCTGCACTAGTTAAATGACTTGTGCCAGCACATGGGCTTACATTTAATGAAGTGGTTAACACCAAACTTTGCTGCTAAACAGAACTGAATTGAGTCCACCAAGTACTAGCTATACGTCTTCAGGAAAACATGCCATCTTTGAGCCCGAATCCTCACCTGTAAAATGGGGATACACTGAAAGTGTGGCTGTGAAGAGGAAAAGTAATGCATATAATGCACTTTGCACAGCGTCAGACAATGAATAAGCCACTCATCATCATCAGTAATGTGACTAATTACTTCATGCCATAGATGGTCCAGTTCCTGGCAAGTAGCTAAAACTGTAAATGTTAAATTCTTGAATGCACAATCATGGACAAGATAATTCCCTCCCATCTTCCTCTAACCACTGGCCTGGTTATACCCTTACCTGTTCTGGGGACAATTGGTACTTTGGTTTCCAGTGCTGTCAACCTGGTGTCTTTCATGGTCACTGAAGGAAGAAAACATACATACAATGAAGCAAAATCCCAGAGGCAATCAGAAGAGAGTTAGGGGTTCATCTGTCACATCCTTCTTCCCACTCTATCCCTGACAGGTGGCCACCAGGTTTCCACTGGAATGAACACTCACAATCACTGGAAGCACGTGCCTCTCCCCATCTACATTTCTGAACAGCTGGTTGCTGGAAAATTCTTTATATTGTGCTGAACTTGTAATCTCTGTCTTTTGTTAATGTCTGTTAGAGGTATAAACGAATGGGCAGGATCGGGCCTAGAATTAGAGAGTTCCGGGTTAAAATCCAAGCTCTGCAACTTATTAGCTGTGGAACATCTGGCTATTTATCTTAAGTCTCCAATGTCTAACTGTAAGTTATCTCGTCTGTAAAGTTAGAATAACGATGGCATCAAGCTCATAAGGCTTGTGGGGACTACATGAGATGATACAGCCTACTGTACTTGGCACAGTGTGGGGCACACTGAAGTTACCAGAGGAGCCATGTGAGGCAGGTCCAGGAAAGTGAGGGGCACAAAGTGCTGAGTAGGCCTGCCAGACCTCACCACCCGCCACAGTCCCCACAGTCCTCACCCCTCCCCAGCCCTCCCCACCACTTTGCCTCACTAGCCTTTCAGTTCCTTGGCCAAGCCACACACTGCCCATTCCTGGGCCTAAGAGACTCTACCTTTGGCTCCTCCTAAACTCACTTTTCATTGTTAAAATCTCAGCTTAAATGCTCACTTCCTCAGAGAAGACCTCCTAGGCCTCCACTTCCCACCCACTCCCACCTCCCAGACTAGGTCAGGTCCCCTATTATACTCTTGCAGCCTATATTTCTTGTGTCACTTACCAAAATCCAATGAAATAAGCTCGATTAATTACTGAACATGTCTCCTTCACTAGAAGTCATATCAAGGGAGAGACTGCAGCTTACTCAGTCCTGTATTTCAAGCAGCTACGATGGTGTCTAGCACTTGTTGATTGAATGACTAGGAGTTAAAAATCTTTCTTTTCTTTTTCTTTCTTATTTATTTTATTTCTTTCTCTCTTTCTTTCTTTTTTAGAGACAGGGTCTCACTCTTACGCTAGAGTACAGTGGAGCCATCATAGCTCACTGCAACCTCAAACTCACAGGTTCAAGTAATCTTCCCACCTCAGCCTCTCTCCGAGTAGCTAGGACTATAGGCATACACTATCATGCCTGACTAATTTTTTTTTTTTCATTTTGGAGATGGGGTCTCACTATGTTGCTGAGGCTGTTATCAAACTCCTAGCCTCAAGCAATCCTCCCAGCAAGGCCTCCCAAGGTGTCACTATTACAGATAGTTACTGCACGCAGCCAATATTTCTTATATAAATCTGCAAAGCCTAATTGTGCCTTCATGCAGCACGACTTAAGTTTAATCCTTCTACACAAAAAAAACATAAAATATTTGTGAACAGCCATCATTTTTCTGTTTTCTTCCCCCTTTCACCTTACTTTCTGTTCAAATTAACCTGTATTAAATATCCATCTTAAATATGAGGATATATAAATACATTCTAGTTTGCTTTTTTTTTTTTTTTTGAGACGGAGTTTCACTCTTGTTACCCAGACTGGAGTGCAATGGCACGATCTAGGCTCACCACAACCTCTGTCTCCTGGGTTCAGGCAATTCTCCTGCCTTGGCCTCCCAAGTAGCTGGGACTACAGGCGCGCACCACCATGCCCAGCTAATTTTTGTATTTTTAGTAGAGACGGGGTTTCACTTTGTTGACCAGGATGGTCTCAATCTCTTGACCTCGTGACCCACCCACCTCGGCCTCCCAAAGTGCTGGGATTACAGGCATGAGCCACTGCGTCCGGCTCTAGTTTGCTTTTAAAATATGGGTCCTTCAAACTATATTTAGGTACAATCTGATCACTAGATTATAAACTCCATGAGAAAAGGAACCATCTGGAACACCTAGGGCCCATCCTGGCACCTGGCACTCAAGAGGCAAACACACCCTGCTCAGGTCAGGTAAGATTTAATCAGCTTCTTTGGCAGCCATTCCAGAGTTGAATATAGAGCATGAAAGCTCAGCCTCATATACTGTGGACAACTAATTATCCTAAACATGGAAAAAACTCGAACCAAGTTCTTAAATATACAACCATGGCCAAAGTCAAACTAGTGGATTGAGCAACTCTCTAACAATTAAAATCTCTTGCTCCAGATGGCAGGGTAATTATATTTCCATGTGGAACACATTCCAGATATTAAACTCTACTGGTCTTCAATGGCATCTGCAAGCCTGTGAAGTGCTGCAGGCAGGCTGGCCCTCCAGAAAAGAGGGATCCTAATGCCATTCTCACAGGGAGTGCTTGCCTGGCCACACTCACTCCACCAAGTCAGAGGGCTTGAATTAAAGTGCAGGAGCCGCTAATCTTAGAATCTTAAAATCAGCAATTAGTCCAGTGAGTCATACAGACTTCCTCTTGCAATTAATCCTGGTTGGATCTTTTACCTGAAAAGAAATATCTAAGGCAAAGGTAAAGTTAGGATCTACACCAGATGAGATCCTGTAGACTGCCCAGCCAAGACCCCTGTCCTACATAAAGGACCTACTCTAGGAAAGCAGAGTGGTTTTACTGCTCGTGGTTTACTTTTTTGTTTTGTTTTGAGACAGAGTGCAGCCTGGAGTGCAGTGGCATGATCACAACTTAGGTTCACTGCGACCTTTGCCTCCTGGGCTCAAGCAATCGTCCCACCTCAGCCTCCCAAGTAGCTGGGACTACAGGCATGCACCACCATGCCAGGCTAATTTTTTTTTTTTTTTTTTTTTTTTTTTGAGGCAGGGTCTCCCTATATCGCTCAGGCTGGTCTAGAACTCCTGGGCTCAAGCGATCCATCCACCTCAGCCTCCCAAAGTGCTGGGAGGTGTGAGCCCCCACCCCCTGTCAAGCAAAGTGTTTTTGTCCATTACTCAATGTTAAGACTTTTAACTTCTTTATCACTATATTAAAAACGGTAATGGTACTAAATCGACAATAATTTTATGTTGGTATGTCAAAGGTTACCTACCACTTATATTTTTAAGTGTTTATTGACTTACTCATTTGTATTTGGATCCTGCCCTGGGGGTACTACCAAGCACAATCAGTCTGGTCAGTAAAGTGAGATGTGATTTGTGAACCTCCTGAGGGGAAAGGAGGGGTGCGATGGAAACACCTGGCAGAGCAGAACATCAGTCTCAACCTCTGTCCTTATCTTTGAAAGCCAAATGTGAAAAGAAACCTGCCTCCAGATCTAGATATTTTCCCTTTCAGATTTGACCCAAAAGTTGTGTTCTCACCTATGCTCATCACTGTAACTTCACTTCTATCAGCAACCTTTTTGAAAAGTGTAGGTCTGAGGAAGAAGATAGGGGCTCTGTGTTTAAGTATTTTGAGATGAAACAGAAAGCACATAGGCCAATCTGTCTTTACTGTTCATCCTAACTAATATCATTCTTTAGGTGTTTACAGATGGACAGCTTAGATGCCTAGGATTACACATGAACTCCAGCCTAGCAGCTATAGGTAGCTGTCATTAGCAGGACCCATATGCATTGTTTTCACGTGTCTCTGCCCTAGCCAAGATGCATTATGAGCTGTGAGAGAGCCAAGAGGTACATATACCTTTTGAAAATACTAGTGGCAGATCCTAAGATGTCTTTAGAAAGGATTTATCTGGAATTACAGGTAAATATTTGAACTTTTCAAAAACAAATGCTGTGATATGTGGCCGAGACACTATCCTCTACGATTCCTCAGGACTATATGTAACATAAAATAGGTAACTGTATATCAAATTGCCTAAGATAATTTTGTACACATTTGTCTATGATGTAAAAATGCACTGCATGTGTAAATGAAGGCAGATGTCTTTCCTATAACTTGTTTTCTATATCCAATTTTTTATGCATAAAAATTCAAGGACAATTCAGACACAGGGTTCAGGCAATGGATAGACTATTTCAATATCAAGTACAGTTAGAAAGAGCAGAAACATTACACTGTTAGGTTAACATTCTGCTCTGGCTCAGGAACTCTCAGGTGATTTCTTAGAGTAATATTCTATCAAGTGAACCAAGGTGCCTTCTGCATAAATGCTTCTAAAAAGAGTAAGTAAGATACTTGCTCCCATTCTATCCGCATCTAGAAGAAAGGAGAAAAGGGTAGGAAATAAGTACTTACTATGTGAGAGTAAAACAGCTGATGGTAAAAGCTGCCAACATGTGTAGGCATGTGTGATTTAAAAGGTCTCAGCAGCTGGAGTCCCTCTCAAGGACAAACTGGGGGAGGAGAGCTCCAACTTGCCAGATTCTCCATTCAGAATTTCTGCCATTGGGGCCTTGATGGATGGTTTGCTAAAGCTTATATCCTCTCTCAAAGGTGAAGAATCCTCTAGTAACTTGCCTGTGAGGCCAGAGCTTGATTTTGGTAAGGTGTATCTCGTCAATAAATAATGCTTATGTTTTCACTTTCTATTAGAAAATACAAGCCAAACAGATACCATGTACATTTCATAAGCAGCCAGGCATGGTGGCTCATTCACCTGTAATCCCAGCACTTTGGGAGGCTAAAGTGGGCAGATCACCTGAGGTGAGGAGTTCGAGACTAGCCTGGCCAACACAGTGAAACCCCATCTCTAGTAAAAATACAAAAATTAGCAGAGCATGGTGGTGGGTGCCTGTAGTCCCAGCTACTCAGGAGGCTAAAGCAGGAGAATCGCTTGAACCTGGGAGGTGGAGGTCACAGTGAGGCGAGATCACGCCATTGTACTCCATCCAGTCTGGGCAACAAGAGTGAGACTCCATATCAAAAAAAAACAAATACAAAAAGAAATATAAGCAAACTGTGAGATATCTTCAGGTTTCAGATTTATAGGGCCAAAATGGAAGTATTCTAGAGAAGAAAAGTATAATTTGATAGTCTAGGGTAGTGGTTCTCAAAAATGTGGTCCTGGCACCACGAGCATGAGCATCATGTGGCTATTTGATAGAAATGTAAATTCTCAGGCCTTCCCCCCGATCTCTGAATTAGAAACTTTGGGGGTGGGGTCTTTTAGGTAATTCTGATGTCCACTAAAGGTTCAGAACCACTGGTCTAGGAAAAAGAAGGATGAAGGTAAAAAGCATTCATTCATTAACATACCTACATTGAGGTTCAGATGGAAAAAAATATATAGTGCATAAACCTTGGGGGAATGGCCCAGTGGAATTCTGACAGGTACTAAAGGTACCAGCACAGACCAAAATGCCAAGCCTGACAAACACTTAGCAGGTTACATAGCTGGGTATAATACAGAAGTTTAACAAAGTAATTTATAATCTAGACAGTACATAAAGCCACCTTTTGACTTGGGCCTTTCCTGCCTACTAGTTAAAAAAAAAAGGATTGTTTTTAATAAAGCCAAAGTCCATTTTTAGAGCTGTCATCTACCTAAAATGATCAGCTGGGTTTCAAGCTGGGTCCATAAAGTCCCTGAAGCCATATCCAGAATTCCATGTCTATATGAAGTTTTTTGGTGATGATGGGATATAATGGGACATAGAAGAGGAGACATTTGGTCCATAGCTTTCCACAGATTTTCAGAGGGGAACTGAGTCTGCACATCTCCCCACCACCAGCACCAAAGTTAAGAACCACTGACCTGACCTATGAGTTAATTCATGAGATCAGCATGAGGCAGTTACCCAAACATTAGTGGAAGACTAAATGTTTGGGGTTTGGAGACAACCAGAAAGGTGCAATCCCAGCTCAGCCATGAATAATGGCTTTAGGCAACTTCCTTCAAGTCTTTAAGCCTGTCTCCTCTTCCTATCCTGCCTCTTAAGGCTGTAGGAAGCTAATGGGGAATCAGACATGTAAACAGTTAGCACAGTGTTTCGCACATGAGTACTCAAAAAATGTAAACTTTATTGTAACAATATTACTACTAAACAAAATGTATTGCTGGGTACATAATGCTTAGTGGTCTATCCATTTAACAACTGGTATTTGAAACACTGGTGAAACATTCTATAACGTAAAATGGATACAGTTCAAGTTTGTTACAATGCTCTGTGAACTACTTAAAGTAGCAGAGTCTTAATGCTTGCTTGCACAGTAAGGTCACTGCCTCTGCTCTCCCTGCAGCTCCCCTCTGTGATCACATCGCCTATGGAAGGGCAAAACTGTCCTTTGCTACTCAACACTCAACACTTCACGGCCTTTACTGCCATCATATATACTTAAGAGAGTGACCTGTGAGTTGTAGGGCAGTAACTACTATGCTTTATTCTGGACTAAAGCACGGTTTTTAAAGACATTTTACTTATCAGGTGGAAATCTGAATTCATTCAACCATAAAAAATATTTTTACCTTTTGCTGATTCCCTGTTCATAACAAAAGTTAGCACTGAACAAGAGAAAGGACAAGAAGAAACTGACGAGGTCCTGAAACTGCATATTTTATACACAGTACATAAGATTTGAATTTTTATTCCCTCCCATGAAAACAGACATAAAATTACTAATTTCTAGCAACTAGAGGCTTAAAAATAAACCAGAGAAAGAATAATCTTAAATTGCTGACAGGTTACCTCTTTCAAATGAATTTAAATGGAGAAGAATGAGTATTTCACGCCATCCAAATTATGTTACCAATGATCTAAGGTTAAAAAACCAAACTGAGTGTTCGAGTGTATACTACACACACACATTTCCAGCAAACAGCCACAGATCTTAATGCTACTGAGTACATTCTTCTTTCATGCCTTCAGCTACTTAAATGACAAAACCAACACAAAGACTAACCTTTCAAAGATTTCTAATATGGGAAACTTACAGGGAATTACCTTTTAAAAAAAAATCATGATGTAAAGGAAAAGATAAAGGATAAACAGATCTTCACCCAATGGAGTAGGCTCAAAGTCACCAATTTGCTTGGTTATTCTAAAACCATTAACAGGTTGACTCAATCGATTTAGTCAGAATGTTTAACTGACACCCCAAAGGACTTTAAATCACAGAAATGTAGGCCTAGAAATACTCATTAATTTACAATCCAACTCTTGCTTTCACAGATGAAGACTCTGAGGCTCAGAGAACTTAGGTGACCCACTGAAGGTCAAAAGCTATCTGACTCTTTAGAAAAGCCAGAAATGGTTGAGAGATTGCTGTGTATGGCTCATTGGCATCCAAGAATATCCAATTAATTCCAGGAAAAGCTAATTTTAGTTCACTGTGGCCCTAGAACCCAGAAATGAACATACCTGTAGCCTAACACACTTCAAATGAAGACAGAGCTATAAGATCAAGTCAGCTCTAATTCAGAGCCCAAAACTCACCCACCACTACACACAAAGAGGCTAGAAGCTATTTTAAGAAACACCTCTTGGCCAGGCGCGGTGGCTCACGCCTGTAATCCCAGCACTTTGGGAGGCCGAGGTGGGTGGATCACGAGGTCAAGAGATCGAGACCATCCTGGTCAACATGGTGAAACCCCGTCTCTACTAAAAATACAAAAAATTAGCTGGGCACAGTGGCCCATGCCTGGAATCCCAGCTACTCAGGAGGCTGAGGCAGGAGAATTGCCTGAACCCAGGAGGCGGAGGTTGCGGTGAGCCGAGATCGCGCCATTGCACTCCAGCCTGGGTAACAAGAATGAAACTCCGTCTCAAAAAAAAAAAAAAAGAAACACCTCTGCAATTAATAATAAATGAAAATAGCCAGAATGATACCTGAAGCCAGCAGTCCTCAACCTCTGGTGCACATCAGAATCAGTCTTCTTCCAAAAATACATATATATGTATATATGGTGTCTTCAAAGACCGAATATGTAGGTCTACCTACTATAGCATCAAATATCTGTACATTGAGGTTCTCATGAGCACTATGGTTTCAAATCTCATTTCCAGCAATGTCATTATTCTGCAAACATTACATGTATAGATATATATTAGATTTGCCCTAGTAAGGCGGTTAAGTTTCATCTCACGAATGAAACCAGGCATGCACAGAAGGCATCATATTACACCACAACAGGAGCGGTATCAGTGTTAACTCTTAACCCGGTGAGGAAGAAGACAACTGAGTCACAGGACTTGAAGCACTCTAATTTTATGGAAACGAGGAGGCTGCTTGCTACCTGCTTTCTAACCAGGAATTTAGGAACATACCAAGTGTTTATAACACCAGGAAATGCATGAAGCAGAGAAAGTTTACATCATCTGCCCTTCTAGGCACGTGATGTAAGAGTGTTTTGGATAAGATATTAACTTTAGTAAGAGGATATTTTCCGTTTACATCTTCTATAAATACCCCTTAAGTTTACACCAGGTGGTTACAGGAAGATTCTGCAGCTCCCCAGGGCAATGGCAAAGAATGTTGCAGTGTTTCTGAGGAGCCTCATTTGCCTGATGCATGACTGTTAAAGGTATATTTCCCTACACAACCCTAAATCAGTTTTCATATTTGCATATTCCAGGTTTACTCAGGAATGCTCAACTTAAGAATCACAGGTGGTTGCTCTGTAAATCAAAGGCTCCCCAAAGATTAGGTTTTATAATGCTTCCCGAAATTTACAGCTCCACTTTGCCAGCCTGTTTGAATTCAGATGACTCCAAGTTGATCCCAATATTATAAATCAAAGTATCTCAGAAGAGTATTATTCTATTTTAGCACTTTTACAGCTTACTCCATGCAAAGTGAAGTGCTATTTCTATGCTTTCTATTAAAAAAAAAAAAAAGCAAGGATTTTAGCAGGACTTCTTTCAGCAGTAAACTCATCAGTTTTATTAAAATATCAAATATTTTTTAGCCTAATTTAGACTAACAAGTTTACATGCGCAACACTGCCATCCCAAAAGGCGGAGAAGCCAAGTACATCCCCCCACTTCAACATTAAACAGACACACGTGCACAAGCCTTGGCTAAATGATAAATTCTAACCACTTAATGACAAGCCAGCTTTGATCAAATAATAGATAAATTTAAGAGTCATGTCTTTGGAATCAATCAGATCCCAGCAGTTCCAGTCCTGGCTCAGATACAATTGGGGTGTGATCTTAAGCAAATACCCTGCTCTCTCTGGGCCTCAGTTTCTTCATTTGAGAAGACTGGAGGTGTTAATAGTGGTTGCCTCTTTTCTCTGTCGTGAGGACCAAAGGAGATAATGACTGCCAAGCACTTCCACAGTGCCTGGCACACAGAGAGCACTCCACTAACGTTAGCTGTTGTTCTTAGGAGGACCGCGTCCCTTCCCAAGTCCCCGCCACACATCCAAAACACACAAAGCAAAACTCTTTAAACAGGAAACACAAAGAAAGAGCTGTAATTCTGCAAGGTCCCTCCGACTGCAGGCTCTGCATCCTCCGGTTCCTCAAATGAATGAATGAGCGCCTAGGAGTGGCTCTGCAAATAGCTGTCCCTTAGGAATCACCTTTGCCGACTTTAAGGTAACTGTCTTTCACCATCAATTAAACACCTACAAGTACACCCTGAGCGAGGCACAACAGTCGTGCAAATTTCAGCGGAGACACCGAGTCCAGGCGAGTCCCTGATGCCCACAGGCAACCTCCATTCATTCTCCACGCCCCTCTGCCCCGACCCCCCTCTTTAAGCAGTCCCACCCCCGCAACCCTCCCCCTCCCGCCGAGCGTCTCTACCCTGCCCTCCGCACCTCGCGTGAACCTGTCACCCCACCAAGTGAGGAGCTGGCGAAGGGGCCCACCTCACCCCTGCCGGAGGGACCGAGGCCATGGGTGCAGCGGACCCTTGGACGCCCACGAGGAGCTAAGTGGCCGGCTCGGCCCACCTCTCCTTCCCAGGGACCCTCCAGTCCCGGCCGGGCCCGCCGGAGATAGCGCGTAATATGAGGGAGGGGAGAGCCCTTCGAACCCCCCTTCTCCGGGCTCCCTACCAAGCAAATGAGCCTCTCGCTCCAGCCCCTCCGAACCTCCCCGACTGCGGTGATGGTGCCGGGACTGCCCCATAAAGCCCCCATAAAAAGGAGGGGGAGACACCCTCATACTCACCCACCGTCTCCTCCCCCTCAGCTGTTTACCTCACAGTCCCTCCAGCCTACAGGGCGCCGCCATCTTGGACGTACAGCACCTCCCCCGGCGTGAAAGAGACGAGTCCCACAGCGGCCTCCGCCACGAAAAAGAGTTCCCCTCCGCGCCTCGCCTCCTTCTGAAAACGAAGGACAGACGGCCGCGCTTGGCAGCCCCGTCGGAAGGAAGAAGCCCTTCCACTCATAACCGATGATGTGGGTTGGACGAGAAAAAAAGCAAGGAGGGTTTTTAATGGCGGGGGGAGGGGGGGGCGGGGCCGGGCGGAAGGATCCCGAAAGGTGGCTGCTGAGAGATCTTGTGACTTCGCGAAGGAGGCAAAAAGAAGGGCCGGCGCTGTGGGAGGAGCCACGCGAGAGCCAGAGGGGGCGGAGCGGGAGGTCACGTGACGGGCGGGCGGGAGGTACCGCGCAGCGGCGTAAACAAGCTGGTGGCGGCTGGGTGTGGTTGGAGGGCCCTCCCGCTTGCCCCTGGAGTCGTTTCTGCCCTTCGCGCGCCTGGCGCCCCCTCGAGTGTTCCTGTGGGCGGCTACAGAACAGCGATCCTGTTTCCCGAGGAGCCCGCGTGGGTGAAGGGCCTGCTTAGGAGCCCTTAGGGGAGTTGCAGCTCACCAGGGATGGGGCGGAAAGCCGGGGGTCAGGGCTGCCTCCTTCCTGGGCTGAGGATTTGCAGAAGCCCGCCTCCGGCATTGCGGGGGACCCCCCTGGCTTCTGCCTTCAAATAGCTCACACTTCACACCTAGTCATGACGTCTAGGGCAAACCAGCCCTAGTAGGAGGCAGCTTTCAAATCAGAACGCCTTGTTGCGTTCCCTGCTGAAACAAAGCTTTAAGTCCTCCAAGCTTCAGTTTCTTGACATGGGCACAGTGACATTTGCGACGTGAGGAATCAATGAGATGAAGTATAGACAGCGTTGAGCCCAGAGCCCTGCGCCTGCGAAATGCTCTCTCGCTAGGTAGGTGGGCTTTGTCGCGAGGCTGGATGTGAGAAGCTCCAGCACGAACAGGAAGCACTGTGAGAGGAGGCACAGTGCGATGAAGTCGAACTATGGGATCTGAAAGGCGTTTTGAAGGAGTGGGCATCAGGCTGGGTTTTAAAGGAAAGGTAGGTTTTATGACTTATTTTGGTCCCTATCCACCGGCCCCCAGCGGTCCCGGGCCCTTGAGCAGTGAACAGCCTTTATAACCATAGGTCTAGAACCATGAGGCTTAGGAGGGAGGTGGAAATTGAACTGCTGATCCCTCTGTTTTTGCCATTAAAACCACGATGACTTTTGCACCAACCTAATAGAACCAGGGAGGTGGCTGGGGAGAGAAGGCCATTCCAGGAAGACGGAACCAAAGGAGCAAGAGGCTAGGGGCAAGAAAGTGCTGGGTGACTTGTGGGAATAACAGGTGTTATCTTGGGAACTAATCGGGTCACAATGCAAGGCAGCCATGGTTAAGGAGGGGCCTGAGGCGTGAGTAGCCAGCGCCGTGGGTGCTGTCCGAATACTAAGCAGACCCCGGATGGTCCAGGGTCGGGCCGCTGCTAGCCAGTATAGGGCCTTGGTGAGGAGACTAGTGGTGGTAGGGCTGTATTAGAAAAATGGCACCCCTGGGCTGTATTTTGGTCCCTATCCACTGGCCCCCAACCCTCCCAGGCCCTTGAGCAGTGAACAACCTTTAAAACCATAGTTCTAGAACCACGAAGGCTTAGGAGGGAGGTGGAAATTGAATTGGTGATCCCTCTCTTCTAACACAGTCACTGGGGGAAGCCAAGAGTTCTAGATTCAAACAGACCAGAGTTTAAATGTAGGTTTCAGCCATCATACTATACTAACTGGATGAGCCTTAGTCTCCTCACCTGCAACATGGAAGTAATAATAATGCTAGCTCATGGTGATTTGGGGTGGATTCAGTGAGACATTAAGCTCTAAGTGATGCAGAGCCTACTCATTAGTGTTACTTTTGTTAACTGTTAAGGGCCGGCTGTCAGCATCCCTCACTCCCAGAAGCGGGTCTGCTAAACACAAAATTCTTCTGTGTCACCACCCAAGCATAGTCTGCATGGGGTCCAGAGGTGGAAATGTTGAGGGAGACAGAGAAGGATCTGGGTTCTCTCAGTTCCACCAATCTACAAACTACTTCACAGGAACAGACTCTTCCCTTTGCATTCGCACCAGGGCAGGGATTCAAGTGTGTTCAGAGATTTCTGAGACCATCAGTGAAGGGAGACCTAAGGAGGAGGGTAGCAGCAGTGCTGCTCTGGAGCTCTGACCCAGGAAGCCCCCACACCCTGACTTTCCTTGGCTCCATGACCTCATCCTGCAGGAATGCATCCGGCCACAGAGTGGAGCAGCCACGCAGAGTTCATCAATTGCTCGTTTTCCAGGGATCATAACCACATTGTCACTGTACACTGTCTGGAAGAAGAATAGTCGTTGTTATCTCAAGATGGACCACCAGGGGCTTGTGAGAAGAGGCTGAAGATGACAGGCAGAGACAGCCCTACCACCATCTCCCACCACTTACCAGCCTGGGCCACCTAGATGTTTTCTGCTTCTCTGGGGTTGATTTTTGTCATTTGCTTAACAGACACTAATCAGACCGCTACCTTCCACACACCACCCTGGAGCCTCCCTGCGACAGGGGAACTTTCTGACCAGCCTGTCTGAGCATAGAAGGGCTGAGCCCTGCATAGGCAGGTGGTGCTGACAGGATGCATGTCTTGGAGGACATCTGCTGCATTTGGCTGTGTCACGTCTCCCCCTTGCCTTCAGAAGAGGTGAGCCCATCCTTCCTCGATTCTTCAAGTGCTGATGGCCCTCACAATCACCATACCAGCCCCAGGCCACAGCAGATGGACCAGGCTTGGCCAATCTGAGATGCTCATCATCAAGCTTGTTAAAAGAAAAAAATTTGATGAAATTTAATTGAGCAAAAAAAGAGAAACAGTTCATGAGTCAGGCAACCTCCAGAATCACAGCAGTTTCAGAGAGACTCCAGGGGTGAGAACAAATTTGTAGACAAAAAAAGTAAAGTGGCCTGGTGCAGTAGCTCACTTCTGTCATTACAGCACTTTGGGAGGCCGGGGCAGGTGGCTGGCTTGAGGTTGGGAGTTCAAGACCAGACTGGCCAACATGGTGAAACCCGATCTCTACTAAAAATACAAAAGTTAGCAGGGCATGGCTGCGGGTACCTGTACTCCCAGCTACTCAGGAGGCTGAAGGAGGAAAATTGCTTGAACCTGGGAGGCAGAGGTTGTAAGGAGTTGAGATTGTGCCACTGCACTTCAGCCTGGATGACAAAGCAACACTTCTTCTCCCCCCTCCCCCCCACCAAAAAAGTAAAGTGACGTACAGGAATCGGAAGTGAGGTACAAAAACGATGAGATTGGTTGCAGCTCAGCGTTTACCTTATTTGAACACAGTTTGAACACTCAGCAGTCTAAGAGTGGTTGAAGTATGGCTGCTGGGATTGGCCAGAACTCAGCTATTGTTACAGGTGCATGCTACTCAGTTAGGTTTTCCTTTTTGTGTGTCTCTTAAGCTAGGTTACGGTTTGTCCGAAAGGACTCAAATATTTAAGTACGGAATCCTTCTCGGGCCATATTTAGTTCACTTTAACAAGCTGAAATAGTTGGTCCACAGTGGACCTGTGACTTGAGCTGGGTTAGAGTGCTCCTCTGGGTCTTTAAAGATAGGTGTTTTTTTTTTTAAGCGATTTTTCTCTTTCTTCTAGGGTCATTAAACTGGGACGAGGAAGCTGTGGCCTCTCCCTTCCCCTGGCCTACAGCAAGCTGTGTGACAAGTCGGGTTAAAGAGTGAAAGAGACAGAGACGGAGATGGAAAGAGAAATTCATGCCCCTATCTCCTTATTTCCAGAGTCCTTGAAGCCAGCTTTGCCCTGCCTTCCAAGTTCCGTGCAGCAATAACTATTTCGGCCAATGCTAATTTCACTGGATTTCTCTCCTTCATAAACAAAAGGCCTGGATATAGTGGGATTCAGAGACCTTTGGAAGGACACCACCAGTCAAAAATATTGTTCATCCACTTGAATTGCTTTTTGGCTTTAGCTTTCAGCTATCTGTGCGGCAGCCTCCTGGCCAGGAGCCCTGCCATCAGCGGGCATCCCAAACAGAATGGGATCTGAGCCTCTGCTGGCAGTCCCCAAGGCCCACGGCGGCCCTGGCCTCTCTAGCCCATCAGCTTCCCCTTGCTATCTAGCACCGTGTCCTCTAGTACCAAGGAGCGCCTGGAGGCTTCACACTGCCCTGCCTTGGCTCAGACCATCTCCTCTCCCTCTGTACCAGATGGCCTCTGCAGCCTGTGCTGGCCATTCTCCATTTGCCCTTCTCTGTCTGGACTCCCCTCTAAGCCTCACCTGCTAAGCAAGTCCTCTCCCTCCTCTTGCATTTGACCAAAGTGCAGCAGGGTCAGGGGAGCAAGGAAGAGCCTTCCCACCAGGCCTGGCCTAGCCATGATGCACAGCTCCTGCTGCGTGGCCTGTCTTGGTGTTAATAATGGTTCCCCCAACTCTCTCTTCACACTCAGAGGTGATCCCCACAGCTCATTAGTCCTTAGGTGCTTCAGCACCTCTTTTTTTCTCTGAAGCTGCTCACACCTGTCTTTTTAATTATCCCTTGGAGGGTGGTTCTATTTCCCACAGGGGTCCCAACTGCTACTGCTACAGCCCCTTCTTAGAGAATCTGCCTTCAGCTTCGGCTACTGACTCTGAACCAAGCCAAACACACAGATGCTTACACACACAAACCTCTGACTGGACCTGGATTAGGGCTGAAAACCTTCCTCACACTGAGCCAGCAAGATTCTCCTTTTTGAGAATTTGCACTGAGAGACCCCAAGGCTGAGACATACGGCGTTGGTCAAGGGTTGAAACTTTACACAACTGCAGGCGAACTATTCAAACAATGCTCCAGAAGAGGCAGGTCACTTAGAAAATGCCTCAGACAGGTGCCCATGGGGGTTTTGCAATAAGAAGGGACCGTGCTGTTCCCTGCGGGGGGAGGGGGAGTCATGTGGAGTTGGATCCAGCCATGGCCACCAGCACTCTGGACAGCAGAGGTTAAGCAGGAAGAACAGCTAAGAGCCTCGCAGAGGAAGCCAGCATGCCCAGACCAGTAAGGAGCAGCTGTGGTAATGGAGAGGAAGGAGAGCTGCAAGACTAGCCCATTGCCCAGGAGCCTGCTTACGTCTAGAAGATGCCCCTGTATCTTTTCAATAAATTCCACTTTTTCATGCCTGTAATCCCAGCACTTTGGGAGGCTGAGGCAGGAAGATTGCTTGGGGGCAGGAGTTAGAAGCCAGCCTGGGCAACATAGCCAGACCCCATCTCTACAAAAAATAAAAATTAGCCAGACATGGTGGCATGTTACTTGGGCAGGTCAGGCAGGAGGATCACTTGAGCCCAGAACATTGAAGCTGTAGCGAGCTGTGGTTGTGCCACTGTACTCCAGCCTGAGTGACAGAGTAAGACACTGTCTCTAAAAAATAATGAACACACACGTGTGCATGCACACACACACACACACTCTCACCACTTTTACCTGAACTAGATGTTCGGTTCTGTTCCTGACAACCAATGCCACAACCGAGGCCAGATGGCCAAGAATGCTTTCCTTTCTTCTTTATCCAGATCACACCTGTTCCTCCAAGACTCAACTCCAATGTGATCTTCACCAGGAAGTCTTCTTGGGACCCCCAGGATGGCATAAAGGTCCCTGCCCTGACTCCACTACCGCTGCCAAATGCACACCTTCATTCCTTCCACCGAACCACCTGCTTACTCAGGTTGTGTTTATGGGGCTGTCTCCCAAGTTCTCAAGAACTCTGCTGCCCCCAGGAGGCGGGATGGATAACAGGGCCCTTGAAACGTCTAGTTCAAGGTCGAAAGACAGGCACAGACTGGGACCGGTGGCTCACACCTGTGATCCCAGCACTTCAAGAGGCCAAGGCAGGTGGGCCACTGGAAACCAGGAGTTCAGGATCAGCCTGAGCGACATAATGAGACCCCCATCTCTACAAAAAATTTTAAAAATTAGCCAGGCATACTGGTGCACACCTGTAGTTCCACCAACTTGGGAGGCTGAGGTGGGAGGATCACTTGAGCCCAGAAGTTGGAAGCTGCAGTGAGCCATGATCTTGCCACTGCACTAAAGCTGGGCAACAGAGTAAGACCCTGTCCCCCCAAAAAAAAAAAAATTTAAAAGCCGAGAGCAAACATTTGAAGACTAACGCTAAGTAGGAGTAGTGTCAGGGGCCAAGACCTATTCTTGCTGCATGGATTGGTGTCCATGACAGCTCAAGTGCCTGCAGGACTGGTGCCATCTTGGTTGGCTGTTATTTCAACAGATGGAGTGAAATTTATTGTCTCACGGTTCTAGAGGCCAGAAGTCCAAGATCAAGGTGTCGGCAGGGTTGGTTCCTTCTGAAGGCGTGAAGGGAAATCTGGTCCATGCCTCGCCCCCAGCCTCTGGAGTTGGCTGGCCATCCTGAGGCTCGAGCCCTCCTCGTTCATTGGCTTGAGATGTATCACACTGTTCTCTGCCTTCATGTTCACATGACATTCTCCCTGTGAGCTTGTCTCTGTGTCCAAAATTTCCCCTTATTGTAACTACACCAGTAACATCGAATTGAGGGCCCGCCCTATTCCAGCATGACCTCAATGTAACTAATTGCACCTGCAGCGACCTTATAAATAGTCACATTCTGAGGAACTGCAAGTAAGGACGTCAACATGTCAGTGTTTGGGGGAACTAATTCAGCCCATAGCAGGTACCCAGGGCTGAGTTTGTCACATCATTATCCATGGTTTGTGAAGGGGCCCTCTCTAATTTTTGTACTTGCATTTGTTTGTTACCTTTTTTTATTTTTATTTTTCTTGAGATGGAGTCTTGCTCTATCGCCCAGGCTGGAGTACAGCGGCATGATCTTGGCTCACTGCAACCTCCGCCTCCCAGTTCAAACTCTGCCTGCCTCAGCCTCCTGAGTAGCTGGGATTACAGGCATGAGCCACCACACTTGGCTAGTTTTTACATTTTTTGGTAGAGATGGGGTTTCACCATTTTGGCCAGGCTGGTCTTGAACTCCTGACCTCAAGTGCCTCAGCCTCCCAAAGTACTGGGATTACACGGGTGAGCCACCATGCCCGGCCCTGTTATCTTTGTTCCCCACAACCAGTTTCCTCCTTGCACATAAGCAACCATTGTCATGTATATCATGTGTATCCTTTTGTCTGTATGCATCCTTGCAAAATGTGTGGGTATTTTTAGTTTATGTTAAGTGGAATCATGTTATAGGTGGCAATCTGTTTCTTACTTTTTCTCCCCATTCAGCATCATTTTGAAGCTCCATCTAGCTGCTGAGAATTATTTCATAATGTGAACCTGCCCTAACCTGCTTTGCATTCCCTCAGGGATTGACAACTGCAGTAGCACCAGAAGTGACATTGTGATAAACATCACTGCATACCTTACACTATACTGTTCCCTTATGGATCTAGCTCAGAATTTATTTGGGATACACAACCAGGAGTTAAACTGATGGGTCATAGCGTACATGGACTTACTCTTTTTTTTTTCTTTTCTTTTTCAGATGGGTCTTGCTGTTGCCCAGTTTGGTGTACAGTGACTTGAACACAGCTTACTGCAGCCTCTACCTCCTGGGCTCAAGAGATCCTTCCTTCTAAGCCCCTGAGTAACAGGACCACAAGCTTATGCCACCATGCCTGGATTTTTTTTTTTTTTTTTTTTTTTTTTTTTTTGTAGAGAAGGGTCTTGTCATGTTGCTCAGACTGTAGACTTACTTTTTTTTTTTTTTTTTTTAATTTCCAGGGTACATGTGCAGGATGTGCAGGTTTGTTACACAGGTAAACATGTGCCATGGTGGTTTGCTGCACCTATCAACCCATCACCTAGTTATTAAGCCCAGCATGCATTAGCTTTTCCTGATGCTCTCCCTCTCCCTGCCTGCCGACAGGCCCCAGAGTGTGTTGTTCCCCTCCCCAGGCCCCAGAGTGTGTTATTCCCTTCCCTGTGTCCATGTGTTCTCATATTTCAGCTCCCACTTATAAGTGAGAACATGTGGTGTTTGGTTTTTTAGACTTACTTTTAAGATACACCACCGAATTGTCTAGGAAGCCTGCCTCAGCCTACACTTTCACCAGAACCCTGCAAAAGCATCCACATCCCTGTCCACACTTGCTGTTGACTAGCTCTTTAACTTTTTCAGTATAATGGGCTAAAGTAACATGTTTTTGTTTCAATTGGTTTCTCTTTGACTTAATGAGTTGGAGCACTTTTATATCTTTGTTATGAGTCTGTGGGTTACTATCTCTATAGACAGCTGGTTCTTACCTTTTGACCATTTTTCCAGTACAGTTACTATCTCTTTCTTGATTTGCTGAAGTGCCCTGTGTATTCTATACACGTGTTCCTTGTTGGTTATAGATATTTCTTTTTTTATTTTTATTTTTTGAGACAGATTCTCACACTGTCTCCTGGGATGGGGTGCAGTGGCACAATCTCAGCTCACTGCAACCTCCACCTCCTTCCTCTTCAAGGAAATGCATATAAAGTTCCTACAATAGGTATAATGTTTGCTCTAAGACTTTGGTATATGACTTTCACCAAATTAAAGAATAGATGTGGACCTCATCCAATACTTTTTCTGCAGTCATCGAATTGAGGGCCTTTATTTTAGCCTCTCATGGTGAAGTACACAGATATGTTTTTAATGGTGATTTGTCTTTGCACTCCTAGGACAAGCACAACTTGATCATGACGCATTTTTTAAAATACTTGTTGGATTTGGTTAATTCATGTTTTATTAAGGATGTTTGTATTTATTTTATATGTTTACAGTTCTTTTAATTGGAATGTATAGACCATTTACATTTAATGTAATTATCAGTATAGATGATTTAAGTTTACCTTCTTGATATTTGCTTTCTGTTTTTACATCTGTTCTTTGTTCCTCTCTTTTGTCTTTTTCAGCCTCCTTTTGGATTAATTTAGCATTTTTTAGAATTCCATTTTACCACCACTATTGGCTTCTTTGCTATACATCTTTGTTTTGTGTTTTTAGTGATTGTTCTATGACTTATAATATGAATCTTTAACTTATCACCATCTATATTCAGTGGGTACTATACCATTTCAGGTATAATTTAAGAACCTTGTAACAGTATACTTCTGGCCAGACGTAATGGCTCCACACCTGTAATCCCAGCACTTTGGGAGGCCAAGGCAGGCAGATTGCTTGGGTCCAGGAGTTTGAGACAAACCTGGGCAAAATGGCAAAACCACGTCTCTACTAAAAATACAAAACTTAGCTGGGCCTGGTGGCAAGTACCTGTAGTCCCAGCTACTTGGGAGGCTGAAGCAGGAGGATGGCTTGAGTCCAGGAGGCGGAGGTTGCAGCAAACCGAGACGGCACCACTGCACTCCAGCCTGGGTGACAGAGTGAGACCCCATCTCAAAAATAAAATAAAATAAACAATACTATTTCCTCCCCCCTGTTCTTTGTAATATTGTTGCCATAAACTTTACTTCTACATAGGTTATAAAACCCTATGTGGGGGTTTATATTGTAAAACTATTGTTATTTTTGTTTTAAAGAATCAATTTTTAATTTTTTTAGACAGTGTCTTGGTCTGTCGTTGAGGCTGGAATGCAGTGGAGTGATCGTAGATCACTGCAACCTCCACATCCCAGGGCTCAAGTGATCCTCCTGCCTCAGCCTCTTGGGTAGCTGGGACTACAGGCATGTGTATTGCCACACCCAGCTAATTTTTGCATTTTTTTTTTTTGGTAGAGACAGGGTTTTGCCATGTTGCCCAGGGTGGTCTCAAACTCCTGGGCTCAAGCAATCCTCCTGCCTTGGCCTCACAAAGTGCTGGGATTATAGGTGTGAGCAACCACATCTGGCCAAATATTTTTTAAAGAAATAAAAAACTAAGAAAAAATATTTTATATTTTCCCACATATTTACCATTGCTAGCATTCTTCATTTCTTTTGGTAGATCTAAGTTTGCATCTGGTATTATTTTCCTTCTACTTAAACAACTTCCTTTAACATTTTTTATAAAATGAGCATGCAATAAATTCTCTTGACCTTCATCTGCAAAAGTATTTTACCTTTATTTTTGAAAGATATTTTTGCTGGGTATAGAATTCTAGGTTGACAGTTTCTTTCTTTCAGCCTTTTTTCTCTTTTTTGAGACAGGGTCTTACTCTGTCACCCAGATGGAATGTAGTGATGTGTTAATAGCTTACTGCAACCTCAAATTCCTGGGCTATAGCAGTCCTCCCATCTCAGCCTCTCAAGTAGCTGGGACTACGGTTGCACACCACCATGACCAGCTAATTTTTAAAACTGTCAGTCTTTTGATCTACTCAGGCCTTGAATTGATTAGATGAGGCCCACCCACATAATGGAAGACAATCTGCTTTATTCAAAGTCCACTTATTTAAATGCTCATCTCATCCAAAAACACATTTAACCAAACATGTGGTCACTCTGTTCCAGACAAATTGAGACATAAAATTAGCCATTATACTGAGTCTAGAAAAGCAAGTTTCTTAGCCTCTCTAACTGTGCTTTTATTGTTGATTTTTAAACCATTCTAAGGTAAAACGTTCTTGTTCCAAAGAAAAGCTACCATCATACCCTTTTCCCCCACCTCCTTTTTTTTCCCCAAAGAAAAGCATTGATGTAGATTAGAGAACTGTCATTTCCATTAATTGTCTTCTAAAAAGCCTTGCTTGGCAAGTAGACCAGAAAATGTAAAAATCATGTGTCAGCATAGGATATGAATGTTCACAAAAGTGATAGGCTGCTCAGTAAATCCCAGGAAATAGCCTAAAGGTGTCAGCCCCAGACAGAGATTCCAGGAACCAATGGATGCTCTTCCATTCTTCCCTGCCAAAGTACAGCAGTTTGACTTCTCCAACTGCACCCTTTAAAATGTACCACCTGTTGCTGGATTCATTCAAAACAACACATGTATTTCAAGCCTTCTCTTTTGTGCTTCCTGTGACCAAAGAATGTATTCATTGTCTATTACTATGTAACAATTAATTCTGAAATGCAGAGTTATTAGAAACATAGAATTGAAACAACACTACCTATTATCTCACATTTCTGTGGTTCAGAAATATGGGTGTAGGTTAGCTGGGTCCTGTGGCTTAGGGCTCCTCACAGGGCTGCAGTTTAGATGTCAGCTGGGGCTACAGTCATCCCAAGGCTTGACAGGAAGGATGCACTTCCAAACTCACACACAGTTATTGAAAAGATTCAGTTCCTTGTCATGTGGGCTCTTCCATAGGGCAGCTCAAAATGTGGCAGCTGGTTTCCATCAGAGACAGTGAAAAAGAGTGTAAACAAGATGAAAGACAGAGTGTCATAACCTAACCCTGCAAGTATGCCATCCCATCACGTTTTCTATCCTATTCTTTAGAGGGAAGTGACTAGGTAGTCTTGGTGTGCCTACGGAAGTTACTGCTCACACCCAATGGGAAGGAACCACACAGGTTGTAAATTTCAGGATTTTAGGCATCATTGGGGATGATTTGCATCCAGTGCTTAATACACAACTTGCATGGCCTGGGAAACACCTTTCTCTAACTGGCTGCCCTGACACCTTCAGACAAAGTAGCAGATCCTTCTCTGGTCCCCATAATATTCTTCTGTTCATACATCTACCATCCTAGGTATCACAGTAATGATGTAACAGCTAGCACTTAATGAGGAGTTGCTATGAGCCCATATTGTTCTAAGCACTCTACGTGTATTAAGTGAAGAGTATGTAGTCGTTTATGTGTCAATGCAGAGAAGCACTCATTCATTCAACAGTGATGTATTAGCGTCTCCTCTGCACTTCTTTGCTAGACATGGGGGAACTTAGTAGTGAACAAGAGAGAGTCCCCAGACTCAAGAACCTTATGTAGACCAGGATGGGAGATGAAGAGGTACAGGCACAGTTATAATACAACCCAGTATATGTTGTTACAGCAAAAGTAAAAGACACTTCAGTAGCAGGCACCCAGATCACTTTTGTCAGAGGTAGCATTTTTAATTCAGATATGAAGAATAAGTAGCAGTTAGCTAGGAAAAGTGAGAGAAGGTTAGAAAGCTAGAACATGGGCCGGGCGCGGTGGCTCAAGCATATAATCCCAGCACGTTGGGAGGCTGAGGCAGGTGGATCACGAGGTCAAGAGATCGACACCATCCTGGTCAACAAGGTGAAACCCCGTCTCTACTAAAAATACAAAAAATCAGCTGGGCATGGCGGCGCGTGCCTGTAATCCCAGCTACTCAGGAGGCTGAGGCAGGAGAATTGCCTGAACCCAGGAGGTGGAGGTGCGGTGAGCTGAGATGGCGCCATTGCACTCCAGCCTGGGTAACGAGCGATACTCCGTCTCAAAAAAAAAAAAAAAAACAGGTTTTGGCCGGGCCTGATGGCTCACGCTTATAATCCCAGCACTTTGGGAGGCTGAGGCAGGCAGATGACCTGAGGTTGGGCATTTGAGACCAGCCTGATCAACATGGAGAAACCACATCTCTACTAAAAATACAAAATTAGCCGGGCATGGTGATGCATGCCTCTAATCTCAGCTGCTCGGGAGGCTGAAGCAGGAGAATCTCTCGAACCCAGGAGGTTGCAGTGAGCTGAAATTGTCATTGCACTCTAGGCTGGACAGCAAGTGTGAAACTCCATCTTAAAAAAAAAAAAAAAGAGAGGCCAGGCACGGTGGCTTATGCCTATAATCCCAGCACTTTGGGAGGCCGAGGCGGGCAGATCACAAGCTCAAGAGATCGAGACCACCCTGGTCAACATGGTGAAACCCCATCTCTGCCGAAAATATGAAAATTAGCTGGTCATGGTGGTGCGAGCCTGTATTCCCAGCTACTTAGGAGGCTGAGGCAGGAGAATTGCCTGAACCCAGGAGGCGGAGGTTGCAGTGAGCCGAGATCGCGCCATTGCACTCCAGCCTGGGTAACAAGAGCGAAACTCCATCTCAAAAAAAAAAAAAGAGAGAAAGGAAAGAGGTTTATTTGGCTCACAGTTCTGCAAGCTGTACAGGGAGCATAGCAGCATCTGCTTCTGAGAAGGCTTCAGGAAGCTTCCAGTCATGGTGGAGGGAAAATGGAAAGCAGGCACGTCACATGGTGAAAGCATGGGCAAGAAAGAGAGATGGAGGAGGTGCCACACACTTATAAATGACCAGATCTCATAAGAAGTCATTCGCTTTCAAGAAGACAATACTGAGAGGATGGTACTAAACCATCTATGAGAAATCTGCCCCTGTGATCTAATCACCTCCCACTGGACCCTACCTCCGACGTTGGAGATTATGTGCCAACATAAGATTTGGGCAGGGACACATATCCAAACTATCACAAGGTGGCTGGAATGTAAGTGGTGCCATTCCCTGAGACATGAGGTGGGGAGTGGGCTGGGGAACATGGGCTGATGTCACTTTGGGACCAGCTCAATTGAGATGCTAGAGAGACAGGCCCAATGGACATAGATTTGGAGTTTAAACTTGAAGGCAGAGGCCGAGATTTGGGAAGTGCTGGTATTCAGAGGGTAAATGAGGCCAGGAGAACTGGCCATGGCAGCCGAGGGTGTGCAGTGTATGAGCTGGGCCCTCTGGTGAGGACAGAGACAGTTGGCCTACTGACAGCCTTGCTCTGCAATCCAGCTGTGTGGTCCTGGGTGAGTCTCCAAGCCTCAGTTTCTCGATCTGTAAAATGGAGATGACACCGCTACCTTAAATCCCCAGCTCAGAGGGTTCCCAGGACAGTGATAGATATGGCTGTGTCTCCACCCAAATCTCATCTTGAATTGTAGTTCTCATAATCCCCATGTGTCATGGGAGGGAACCTGTGGGAGTAATTGAATCACGGGGGCAGTTATTCCACGCTGTTGCGTTAGCTAGTGAGTTCTCACAAGATCTGATGGTTTTATAAGGGGCTTTTCCTACTTTGCTTGGCATTTCTTTTTCCTACTGCCATGTGAAGAAGGACGTGTTTGCTTCCCCTCCTGCCATGATTGTAAGTTTGCTGAGGCCCTCCCAGCCCTGAGGATCTGTGAGTCAATTAAACCTCTTTCCTTTATAAATTAGCCTGTCTCGGGTGTTTCTTCACAGCAGCGTGAGAACAGGTTAATATGGACTGTCCAGTGAGAGACACATGTAAATACCTAGCAGAGTACGTGTGCAGAGTGGGCACTGAGTAAATGTTGTTGATGACTGCTATGTTCATGTCTCAGGGCTGCCATGACAAGTTACTACAAACTACTACAACAGCGGAAGATTATGCTCTCACAATTCTCGAGGCCAAAAGTCCCAAACCCAAGGTGTCAGTCAGCAGGGTTGTTTCCTTCTGAAGGTTCCGAGGGAGCATCTGTTCCCGCCTCTTTTCAAGCTTCTGGTGGTCGCCGGTCATACTTGGTGTTCCTTGGCTGTGGCTGCATCAGCTCAGTATCTGCCTCCATCTTCATGCAGCCTTCTCCTCTGTGTTTCTCTGTGCTCGCTCCACTTCTTAAGAGCCCCAGGCATTGGATTTAAAGCCCTCCTCAACCCGGTGTGAATGCAACTGAACTAAACTACATCTGCAAATACCCCCTTTCCAAATAAAGTCACATTCTGGGGTTCCAGGTAGACATGAAGTGAGATAAGGAGATAATTCAGTCCCCTAGACCTGCTATCAAGGAGCACAGACCCAGCAGATGATATGGGAGGGACCAACCCCACTATGATAAGGCCCGGTCCAGCCCAGAACCAGCCTACAAAGTGCTGCAGGAGAAAGAGGTCAAAATCAGAGTGATAAGGTCAACTACTGGTGAGGGTGAGACTTGAACTTTGCTTCTGGTTTCATCAAGAATTTGATCAACGGTGATGGAGCAGATGGGCTTTACAGCAGTAGGACCCAGCTTGAGCAGAAGCATGGAAGCAAGACCACAGAAGGCTTGCTTGCTTTATAAATGGTCAGGTGTAGGGAATAGGAGGCAAGATAGGCCATGTATGAAGGACCCTGGGCTAAAGAAGCAGCCTGGACTTTATCTATCAGCAACGCAGAACCCTAGAAGTTTGTGAGTTCAGGAAAGAAGGAAAGAGTTGTCTGTTGAATGTTGGCAAACGCTTCATCTTGACATTGATGCCTGCCAGTTTTATTTTATTTTATTAATTTATTGTTTGAGACATGGTCTCACTGTGTCCCTGGTTGGAGTGCAGTGGTGCCTTCATAGCTCACTATAGCCTCAAGCTCCTGGGCTCAAGTGGTCCTCCCACCTCAGCCCCCGCAAAGAGCTAGGATTATGGGCATGTACCACTATACCTGGATACTTTTTATTTTTATTTTTTTAGAGATTGGGTCTAACTATGTTGCCCAGGCTGATTTCAAACTCATGGCCTCAAGAGATCCTCCCACCTCAGCCTCCCAAAACATTGGGATTACAGGCATGAGCCACTGAGCTTGGCTCAGTTTAACTTTAAAATTTGGGGTGTTTTGTCTCCTTGGGTAGGCCACCTTCTCTCCCAAACCCCCAATCACATCTCTACACAGCCCCAGCAATGAATTGTGCAGGGCCACAGCCCACAGCATGTTGGCTCTTAGACTCTGTCTCATGGTCACCATGAGACCATTTCCCCCTCCCCCAAGCAGCAGCCTTCACAACTAGAGGTTTTATTTTAGCTGTGTCTGCCCTGAAGCATATGCAGTGGCCATTTGGAAAAAGATAAAGTTAGATCCCTCTTCACACCCTACACCAGAAAAAACTTTAGGTGTCAAAAGTGAAATCATACGACTGCTAGAAGAAAACATGGGTGAATTTTCTGTAATCAGGAGTGAAGAACACCTTCCTAAAAATGGCCAGTCAGAAGCAATAAAAGACCAAGAAGGTAGGTGACCTCAAAAACCCAAAGCAAAGCAAAACAAAACAAAACACAACGTTTTGCATAAGAAGGAAGCAAGCAAAGCAGAGTCGGAAGATGAATGATAGAAAACATCTGCAACTTATATCACAAACGGCCCCTCTAATATACAGAGAACTATCATATCACAATCTTAATTATGAAAGTAATTTCTTAATTTCTATTCTATTTGATAGAAAAAAACAGGCAAAGACCGGGCGCGGTGGCTCACGCCTATAATCCCAGCACTTTGGGAGGCCAAGGCGGGTGGATCACGAGGTCAAGAGATCGACACCATCCTGGACAACATAGTGAAACCCCGTCTTTACTAAAAATACAAAAAAAAAAAATTAGCTGGGCATGGTGGCGCGTGCCTGTAGTCCCAGCTACTCGGGAGGCTGAGGCAGGAGAATTGCCTGAACCCAGGAGGCGGAGGTTGCGGTGAGCCGAGATGACACCATTGCACTCCAGCCTGGGTAACAAGAGCGAAACTTCGTCTCAAAAAAAAAAAAAAAACAGGCAAAAGGCATGAATGGAAAGTTTGCAGAAAAATGTAAGTGGCCCTAAGACATGTGAAAAGACTTAGCTGGCCGGGCGCGGTGGCTCACGCCTATAATCCCAGCACTTTGGGAGGCCAAGGCAGGTGGATCATGAGGTCAAGAGATCGAGACCATCCTGGTCAACATGGTGAAACCCTGTCTCTACTAAAAACACAAAAATTAGCTGGCAGTGGTGGTGCGTGCCTGTAGTCCTGGCTACTTGGGAGGCTGAGGCAGGAGAATCGCTTGAACCCAGAAGATGGAGGTTGCAGTGAGCCGAGATCACACCACCACACTCCAGCCTGGAGACAGAGTGAAACTTCGTCTCTAAATAAATAAACAAATAAATATAATAAAAAAAGACTTAGCCTCACTCATCATAAGGGAAACACAAATTAAAACTACCCAGGGATGTCATTCATTCCTGGCCTATCAGATTGGCTGAATTCCTCAAATTTGACAACCCACCCTGCTGGCAAGGCTGCGGGACAAATCCACTCTTATGGGACTGGAAGGACAGAATGGCACACTCTCTCTAGACGGGAATTTGGCGTATCTAAGGCCATTATGTGTGCATTTTCTCTTTGCTAGGCATCTTCCTTACACACCTACACACACACACACACACATGCGTGCATGCAAGATTGTTTCTTTCTTTCTTTTTCTTTGAGAAAGAATTTCACTCTGTCACACAGGCTGGAGTGCGGTGGCACCATCTCAGCTCACTGCAACCTCCACCTCCAAGGTTCAAGCGATTCTCCTGCCTCAGCCTCCCAAGTAGTTGGGACTACAGATGCACGTCACCATTCCTGGCTAATTTTTTGTATTTTTAGTAGAGACAGGGTTTCACCATATTGGTCAGGCTGCTCTCAAACTCCTGACCTCAGGTGACCCACTTGCCTCAGCCTCCCAAAGTGTGGGATTACAGGCGTGAGCTGCCGTGCCCAGCCCATGTAAGAGTCTTTCTTCTCTCTTTCTTCCTTTCTCTGCCATTGTGGTGTGTGTTTCACTCAGCTTCTTGTCATGTCTTCTCACAAGACTTTCAGGATTAAGTGATTCCTGGCCAAGAAACAGAAGCAAAATTGTCTCATTTCCCAGTGGAATCAGATGAAAACTGGTAATAAAATCAGGTACAACTCCAAAAGGAGGTATTGAAGAAGAACCAAGCTGGATTTATAAGGAATTACACATGAGATGATGGACATATTTATGTTGTATCAAGGTCACCATCATCACCATATCAAGCTGAAAATGTCTGGACATTTGGACATGTTTTATTAGGAATACATTTTTGACCAGGTGCGGCTACTCGCACCTGTAATCCCAACACTTTGGCAGGCTAAGGCGGGTGGAACACTTAAGGTCAGGAGTTTGAGACAAGCCTGGCCAACATGGTGAAACCCCATCTCTACTAAAAAAAAAAAAAAAAAAAAAAAAGCTGGGCATGGTGGCACAGGCCTATAGTCCCAGCTACCTGGGAGGCTGAGGCAGGAGAATCTCTTCTACCCAGGAGGCAGAGGTTGCAGTGAGCTGATATTACACTACTGCATTCCAGCCCGGGCAATAGAGTAAGACTCCATCTCAAAAAAAAAAAAAAGAATATATTTTTTCTCTTTGTTTACATGTTCTGCACTAGTAGGGTGGGTTCAGTAATACATATGTGAGAACTTTCATTTCAAAAAATATTATTATTATTATTTCTCTTGAGATGGAGTCTCAATCTGTCATTCAGGCTGGAGTGCAGTGGCGCGATCTTGGCTCACTGGCACCTCTGCCTCCCTGGTTCAAGTGATTCTCCTGCCTCAGCTTCCTGAATAGCTGAGATTACAGGCATGTGCCACCATGCCTAGCTAATTCTGTATTTTAGTAGAGATGGAGTTTCACCATATTGGCCAGGCTGGTCTCAAACTCCTGATCTCAGGTGATCCACCCGCCTCAGCCTCCCAAAGTGCTAGGATTATGGGTGTAAGCCACCATGCCCAGCCAAAAAAAAAAAAACCATTTCTTATGGTATTATCTGCAAAAGTTGAATATTGACACAACCCAATTGTCAATTACTAGGGGACTGATTTGTGTTACAGTTCTTTTAGAATTTGTCTAGCAGGTTTTCTGGTTTTTGCCCAAAATCCTCTACAAATAGTTAAAAAAAGAAAAGAAATAGGAGACTGATGGAACTATAGCACAGAACAATGCAGTGATAAAAATGCTAATGTTGTCAAGGACCAAAATTTCCAATGTAAGAGAAAAGAGACACAAATATATAAAACCAAAGATTTTTTAAAACCTGTAATGCAGGCTGGGCGCAGTAGTTCACACCTGTAATCCCAGCATTTTGGGAGGCCAAGGTGGGAAGAGTTCAAGACCAGCCTGGCCAACGTGGTGAAACCCCGTCTCCACTAACAATACAAAATTAATCAGGCATGGTGACACATGCCTGTAATCCCAGCTACTTGGGAGGCTGAGGCAGGAAAATTACTTGAACCCAGGAAGTAGAGGTTGTAGTGAGCCGAGATATCACCATTGCACTCCAGCCTGGGCAACAAGAGTGAAACTCCGACTCTAAAAAAATAAAAAAAATAACCTATAAGGCTGAGAACTTACTTAATGGGTACAATATACACTATCTGGTGATGGATACACTAAAAGACCAGACTTCACTACTAAGCAATCTA